GGTGACTGTAGCGTTGTTTTTGATTGGCATAGCGGTGCTGAGTAACGACAATGGTATAGTTACCGAGGAAACGACAGTGAGTTTTAGGACGACCGAAATATGCCAGCCACAGAAAACAGGCGATTTACTGTGACTTCAGATCTGTGACGACATCCCAGAACTGTGCGGGCAGCCTGACATTTTGATGGGAAGATATTCCGATCGCGTATTCTGGATCGTGCTCGGCATCTGCGCATGTTCCGCCTATTACGTTTCTCTCCATCTCCATATCTTTGTATCGATCGTCCGCGAGAATCTCTACCCTCTTGGGCACTATGCGAGCAAGAGGACGGCGACTATGCGACGTCATTTTGTGAGAATATTTGTCCTACAGGTGGCAATGATCTTTTCAACATATTGTAATAAGCTATTGCATATTACAACCCAAAGAACTGCCAAATTTTAGTCGTTTGCACTCTACGTCCTCATCTGCGGTCCCTTCGGTCTGTTATTTCTGGCCATTTTCCTTTTAAACGACCTGCCCTCCACGCCATTGCTCGAATTCTTTTGGTCCTGTGAGTCATCTCTTAATTTTGCCAAAATTTTTTGGGCTAACAAGGGGCAGCAGGGGCAGCTTTTAGATGATCTTGGAATCTGGGGGGGGGGGCGACAAAAATTTTCGAGTTGCCCCCCCCCAAAAAAAAATTTGGGTTCGTGTACGCCCCCTGGCAAAGATACAAAAATTCGGGGAGGGAGTCGGCCCTGACAGCCCACCTAACTTTTTTCAGTGGTCGGCTTGGCGACTCTCTACGTGGGCGTGCACTCGATCGTCAACAACCTAATCATCATCTTGGCAACAAAGTGCTATCGCGAACGACTTTTTCAATTATTTCGGGGTTTCATCTTGAGATCAGCTCCCGAGACTCAATCGCAAGCTCGAGTTTTTGTCACCGCCAAGCTCCGTTCATTTTCCGCAAAGGGATGAGTGCGCGTAATAAATCAAAAACAAAATAAATGCAGAAAATTCCATGCTCTTCGCGTTCCCATGCTCATGCTCTAACAACAAGACGGAAGTCTGAGACTCTACCGTTCGGGGCTTAACATGATGCTACAGCAATAAAAGCACGTAGTCGCACGCGCAGGCGCTCACTTTTCCATTTGGCTTTTGATCGTTACAGTAGCGGGCCGAACGCCCCTCTACGTTGGCGCACACTCTATCGTCAACAAGCTCATTATCATCCTTGCCACGAAAGCTTATTGGGAACGGATTTTTCTGCCATTTAGAATAGCGATATCAGGGCCAATCGCCGAGGCTGCATCGTAGAATAGAATTTTGGTTAGATCAGTCGTCCTCAGGCCTCGCTCGTTGTCGGCTAAGAATTAATTTGGCATAAGTAGTATAAATTTTCAGGGTCAATTCAAGTCGAGACCAACCAGAAAATTAGCATTACCACCAAACACGCTGATTTTAAGTACACGTCATTCCCTATTTTCTTGTGTTCAGCACCAACCCAAAGAACAACAAGTCCAGGGGCAGGTGCAAAATTCGCACTATCCCCGTTTTTTTTGTTCCGATTCCGATCGTCTTTCCATTTCTTGGTGTAATCAACCGGGTTCGAGTACAAATTCCCAAATCACCCCCGTAGAACCCACCATAATGTGCAATATTTTATTAGGTGCATATTTTATTAGGTGCATAAGCCGCCGTAAATTCAAGCGATGACCTTGGCGGTCGGGGCGGAGAGTCCCCAGGTCTCGAACTTGCACGTGTCGGTGCCGCGCTTGATCTGGAATGGGTTTATTAGTAAGAAAAGTTCGTGGTCAGGATCTACCTGGAAATATCCAGCCATTCCCCAATTGGTTCCCCACGAGTTCTTCACCAGCCAGTAGTTGACGCCGGCCGAGTTGGTGCCTGAAACAGCAGTTTGCGCATTTCGCGGCCGATTCTAGTCAGTTTTAAAGTCAGAAGTTATTTTATGGATTTTAGTTAATGTTAGAGCTTTTAAATATGGCCTAATTCAACTCACCGTATCCCATGATAGTAACAGCGTGTCCTCCAAGGAAGTTGGCGCTGCTGGTGGTGCAGTTGGTGCTGTAGATGCCGCTCGTGTAGTAGTAGAAGTCCTCGCAGACGTAGAAGGCTAAAATTTGGCATATTTGGAGGCTGCGGCTCCAAACCGGCAGTGATGGGTCCGGTGGTGCCGACGAAGCTGAGTGCGCTGGCAACATTTCCGGTCATGTCGACAACGGTGTTGACAGGCATGTCGACGGCCTGAAAGATAGTGTTGAAGAGAGAAGGAGAGAGAGAGAGAGAGAGAGAGAGAGAGAGAGAGAGAGAGAGAGAGAGAGAGGAAAAGAGATAATTTACTTACCACGCTAGGGCAAGCTGTTTCCTTGCCAGTATAAGGGACGGTAGCGGTACGCGCGGCTCCTTTGGTCTTGATCGAGCTGAAAAAAATAGCGTTATACACTGTCGATGACCTATTCTTGCTGTAACATCTGATTTTTATGGAGAAAAAGGAAGGGCTAATTTTGCTTACTTCAACGCCGTTGCGGGCCATCCACCGTTGCAGGGAGACGACTGGGTGCAGGTCATGATTTGCTGCTCCGAATAGCTCCTCTGGCTGGCGTTGTAACGCTTGTTGATGATGTTGGAGGCGGTCTCGACGGCGGCCGAGGCGCTAGAAAAATATTTTTATGATTTTCTAGCAATAACTTGCAAATTAATAATCCTATAAATTTATATAACTAACGCAAAAGCCCAGCAGCATCCGCATTGTCCCTGATTCTTAACGGGGGTGACGACGCCCTTCGTGCGCCAGTCGAACGCCGTCGCGGTAGCCTGAAACCCAAGTTTTTAATTGGTCGGAGCGAAACGACTTCGCAAAGTATCTGAAGCCAGAAGAAGAGCTTGGAAGGCTCAATATATGGTCTTTGATTAAGTAAGCGGAAGCTGAAAAGAAGCTCCGGAAGTTCTTACACGCTTGCTCCTCTTCGGCTCGGGGACGACGATGCTGTCGAGTGGAGCGGGCATCTTGTCCGGGTTGATGACCAGCTACAATAACCTTAAAGCGCAAAATATAGACCCGTACCTTCTTGAGGTCGGCGGTCGACCAGTCAGCGAACTCGGTGACTCCGAACTCCTCCCTGAAATGAACAATTTAAACTCTTTCCTTGCAAACAGTCTTTTTTAAGTTCAAAACCCACTTTGTGTCGGTGTTGTTCTTCTGGAACTTCTTGATGCGCTTCAAGTTGTTGGCAAAGTTCCGTTTGCGCTGCTTGCACGCGTCGGCGCCGTCGGTGCAGTTGCGCTTGAATCTGGAAGACAACGAGGATGGGTCAGCCTGTGAGTTTCTTACCGGCCCTTGAACGTCTCGAACTTGTCGTTGTCCTCTTCGTCAAGGATGCCGTCCTTGTCCGCCTTCTTGACCCTTCCGATTTTGGCGATGGCAAGCCCGGTGAGGCCGAGGAGGAGGAGCACGACAAGCCGATTCATGGTTACCCTAAAATATGAAAATTAAAGGTCTGAAAAAGGCTTAAATCAAGTATGCAAGATAAATTACAATATACACGGCAGTCCGCTACACTTCATTGCGCAGGCACGCTATGCAACTACGCTAGGATACGCTACGTTACGCTACACTACACGCCACTACAGCTCCTCTTGATATAGCCGAACTCTATAAACTGAAAACCGGCCAAAGCCTGTGAGATGCCATCGACCGATACTTGCCCCATTTTATAGCATGGAGCCGAGTCTCGATCGGTCAGCCCGCATGACTGCAGTCTACCGGCTGGGCCAACAACTTCCTCCGTCCGATGGGGCCATTTTTCCGCGTTACAACTATACACGAACGGCTGTGTCAACCAGAAGTCGAAGTGTGCTCGCGCGTCCCACGTCCTAAAACGGGAGCTGAAGTTGCGCGGGGGTGGCTCGAGTTTTTTTGGGGGGATTCGGATGAGCCGGAGAGCCAATGGTCGGCTTTTTTTGGGCTTCATCCTTGCAGGGAGGCTTGTATTTGTCCATGTATGGGGGCGGAAGGATGGTGAATCGAACTATGGTGCAGAAATTGCACCGGTTGACCACGATGGTTGGCTATTCAAAGCATATTTTCGAGGGGTGCAAAAAGGCTTCGGTGCGCTTACATGTAGAGGTTGTGAGGTCACAGACTCCAAATCGGCTCAAAATTGGTGGAAAAATCAAATAAAATGCGGGGAACACGATGCAATAAAAATTATCTGCCAATGGGCACTTTTCTTTAATAAACTTTTCATTTTAAGATTTTGTATGGAAAACTACCTAAAAACGCGACCTGGGTCACCAAAACCGTTTCGCGCAGGGGAGAACTCTTGAAGCGTTCCTAAGCGCCCAATCCCGTCGGATCGGTAATGTAGGGGTAAATTTTTTGCAGATCAATTTTTATTCAGGTGTGGAAAGGTGTCTAGTGTCGTGGTTGCTATGAAAATTCCATCAAAACTTTTTTTCCAAGCCGTAAGGCCCGAGAAAGCAGCTAATAGTGCATTTCAGGTGCACTTTTTCCATTAAAATCAAAAGTTTATTAAAGAAAAGTGCCCATTGGCGGATAATTTTTATTGCATCGTGTTCCCCGTATTTTATTTGATTTTTCCACCAATTTTGAGCCGATTTGGAGTCTGTGAGCTCACAACCTCTACATGTTAGACTTTGGCTGGTGCTCGGGCCTAGGCTTAGGCTTCGGCTTAAGCTTTGGCTTAGGTTTCGGCCTAGGCTTTGGCTTCAGTCTGGGTTTACAAGGCTTGCTAACAAGGAAAAAATGTTTGATCACAAAACTTGCTTGCAATTTTTTTCGGTCTTTGAAAGGTGAAAATAAATTTAAAAGAATTTTGCTGTGTTTTTATCCATGTTTTTTCAGTCTTTTCGAAACGAGCTACACCATTTTGAAAATACTTTTGCTATGTTTTATCGATCTTAGCAGTTTTAACAGATTTAGAATTGTTTATTCCTCAAAGATAAATTATGTTCAATTAAAACGTTCAGCTCAATCGCCACGTCGAATCTCGACGATGCTATCCCATTGGTACCGTTCACTCCGGTCCTTTTTCATCGATTCACGGCCCCGGACCTGGTTCCGTGGGGCTTCGGGGGTTTCACTAAAATTTGGGAACCATAACAACCGTTTAAAATTTACTCCGAACAAAGAGCCGTGTCGTCACATTTACAGGAGCAATCCGCTTCATACCAAGTGCCTAAAGTACTTGCTTTTTGATGCCGGCATGTTCCAGCCCAAAAAATGCAAAAGAAAAACGTTCTAAAACTACGTTTAAAGATACCCATACAACATAAACACACATACCCATACAACTCATCCGTTTTGCTTCATCGCAAACACAGTTGCACTGTTCATCGACGATTTTGTTGACGTTGTGGCATTGTTTGTTCTAAAAAAGTGCGTTTCGGTTCAGAGCCATTCAAAAATACTCACGTCACAATTATGGCAATTACAGGCCAAATGCTTCTCCATGGCCACCACCTGATCGCCGTCGTATTTGAAGTCATCGCCACCGATGTATCTCATCAACGCTACCTAAAGACACTCTTTACGTTTCGGAACGTAAGCGTACTGTGTAGTTTTGGAGGACCGTATACGAGGACTTGCAGCCTTCGCTGCTTTCACAACAGGAACCGATGCAGCGGGGGATCTAAAAAGTAGAGCTTTATCTCTCTCTGACTTTCTCTCTCTCACTCTAGCTCTCTCTCTCTCTCTCTCTCTCCCTCTTTATCTCTCTCTTACCTGAATACAGGTCGGCCAAATAATAACCGCGTTGTCTTGCGGTAGGAATGGGACGGGCACGCAGATCTCTCGGACCTAGAAGTGTTAAAAAATACGTAAAAATGGTTCAAAACGTGTGAGTTATAGAAACTTAATAATTACGCAGTAGCTCACAAGACTAGTTCCCCAAAACAAACCATAGACTTATCCAGATAAGTTAGAATATCTTCCGCCTTACCTCACAAGTATCATTCCCCTGCTGCAAGCTCTCCAAATGGTGCAAATTCACATTGTGATCTAAAATATACGTTAAATGCGATGAGTTTTTGAAAACCTGGTTCAGTGTCATGCACCATTTCCGCGCTCGCCAAACCGACCTGCGTGTTCCTGTGTTTCATAGACATCCCGGCCATGCTGACGCGATCTAAAAAGATGGTACGTCAAATCCAAAGCTTCGTTTTACCATCGGTGTGTTGCACTTTCACTTGCTGTCCAGCTTTGTGCCTGTGGGAAGCCATGATATTGATATTCCGGCTGAGCTCCTAAATGTATGACCGTAAGTTAAAGCTCATTTTAACCTACTGCCTATGCCCACGCCTAATGTTGGGCATGAGCCTCTGGCTAAGCCTGAGCCTAAGCCAACGGCTAAGCATATGCCTGTGCTCGAGCCTAAGCCTAAGCCGAGATCAAGAACAGTCCCTAACCTAAGCCTAAGGATAAGCTGCAGCCCAAGCCGAATCTTACGCCTGAGCCTGAGCCTAAGTCAGAGGCCAAAGCCAGCCTCTAAATGCTATCTAAACATTGTCGAAGCACTCATCGAACCTAGTACCTTAAAATTCTTCGAATTTCTGAAAGTCTTCTTGTGCTCAGCGCTCTGTGAAAAAATCGTCGGGATCAATCCCAGAAATATCAGTAGCAATTTCATGGCGCACAGAATTATGAGGGTGGGGATAAGTCAGTTCGTTTATATCACGTCGACAAGTGTCCCCCCCAGGCGTTGAAATCGATGAGAGAGAAAAAAGCTGTTTACGCCCACACTCCGTAGATGGGCGGCAAAATCATATGGGAGGGGTGCTGACAGATGTAAACTATCGGGTGGATGGGTTCCTGGAACTGGGTAAGGGTGGTCGAGAACCTTCTGGTCGCCCAAAGAAACTATCGAAAAGGAAGCGACAAACATCAAAATTAAATATTCTATCCAATAAAAATTGAGGAAAGGGATCAGGGGTACAAATCCCTACGACTGCAAAAACGATTAATTTTATGTACGGTTCCAACAACGAATGAAAGTAGTAAGATACACAAAGTAAGTAAAAAGAATATTTACGTACAAAATGACACCAGTGAAATGGCTGAGGCCAGAAGAAAACTCAAAGAGAAGGTCCCTCGTCGCCAGCCAGGCCTACACTTCGCCCAAATTGGGAAAAAGTAAAAAGGGCGTCGGCCGTAGCGGATCCGCCGCATGCGATCCGTCCACGACAAGACGCGGTGGCTTTTGCTTGCTCCCTTTCGGTCCTGGGCCATTCCACCACTCTTTAACCGCCCGGGATATCTAGGGCTCCCCCCAGACAACCCTGGCGACGCCTCGTTTGGCTCGGACACGCGGCCCGAAACAGACCGAACACCCCGCTGCCAAGTAGCTGGCTCACAGGCGCCCGCCACGACGCCCAGCGGTTACGGGTCGCCAAAAGGGGAGTTATGAAGGGTGGGGGACCAGGCTGGCTGGAGAGTGCACAAGCAGGAGAATAGGTGATTTCGTTTTCATTTTTCTCAAATATTGTGAAAGGCTTTCGCTAGGATTTTTATAAGCTTTTATACTATTTTAATTATGATTTAAATAATCTCAAAATGGCCTCTAATAAGAGAAGAGTTTTTCATGAGATTTTCCGCGTTTTCTTACGGGTTTATTTAGCTTTTTGGTTTTTCTTTTTGGGTTTTTGGTTGTTGCTGACCGCTTGTTGCTAGCGATTTTCAGTGCTTATTTTTAAGGTTAAAAGGTGTAAAGTCAAGAGCGAGCACAGTCAATAATGCAAAAACAGCACATAAGCACAATAATAAAACCGTTTAAATAAATATACAAAATAATATGCTATAATAAATGAAAAAATTTTGAGATCTAGGTCTAGGCTGAGGCTTATATTATTGGAGAGGATGCGTAAATTTTCCTGTCATTAAACCGCGTAAAATGTTGGAAATATTTGAAATGAGAGCAACATGTCAAGCGAAGTTGCAAGGTTGTCACTCCGGATTCGAGACAATTGCGAAACCGCGAAAAAACGAAACGCATCAATAGGCATTCCTGGAGAAAGAAAGTCCATATAAAAATTTTTCATCCGGAACCATGTACGAGGACTTAGGGTACTTGTTTACATTTTCATTAATCATAATATTTAATCATTATTACACTTTGCGGCTAAACCTTACTTTACCCCCTCCCCAAGCTTTTCGTTATTATCCCTTTATTTTGGGCTATAATTAAAACTCTTAGTATATTTTTTTATGCTCTATCAAATGGCGTAGCCAAAACCCCGACAAAATAGGGGAATGTCGAAAAACTTCCGGGACTTACGGCTGAAATGATGATGAAAAGAAATTAGAAGAAATGCAAAAGCAAAAATGGCCTTGGAAAAGCCAGACGGATATCTGTTTCCAGAGTGCCTGCCAGGTCCCCGATAACGTAGCCGCCGTTTGCAAGGTGATTATTCTGTCGCCGAAAATAGCCATCCGCCTTCTCCAAATATCTGTCAGCACCTTCGGCTGCTGTCTTCTGGCGGTTAGTTTTCATTCGCAAATTAAAAACTCACCGCCTCAAGCAATTCTATATAATTGGCGCATCGTACGTGTTCTTCTCGTTCATCTATGCCGGCTTCGCAAAGGTTCCTCTGACGCAGCGGCGCGACCACGAGATTCGGAATCCGAGGCGGAAACCTGCTGCCGTTTTGCGTGCTCTTATTCTTGCTTGGCATCTCGGGTTCACTATGGTACTTATATTTCTGCGACTACGTAATTATGGATCCAGATCAGGTTGGTAAAGGCTGCTTGCCACGAAGCAGCGGCGCTGAAATGAAACGAAGCCTATGGTATGCAGAATTTTGCGCTTAATTTTTTTCTTTTTTCCAAATTTCACGCGTCTGAAAGGTCAGGTTTTTAAGAGTAAAACCTGCGATCTATTTTGCAGGCGATCTCCCGCTCTCTCTCTCTCGCGCTCTCTCTCTCTCTCTCTCTCTCTCTCTCTCTCCCTGTCTCTCTATCTCACCCTCTCTACTGCTCTCGGTTGAAGTTGAAGAGTTGCTAATTAATGCCCAAACCAGGCCAAATCCGAAAAAACTCAAGCTCACGCTTTCGCAAAAAAAAACAGTTTTCCCACAATTTTCGCCAATTAGCTGGATAGTAATGTTGTTTCTACGATGTCGCAGTCCAGTCCTCTCGACAGCCAAAACAAAAACAACAAAAATTTAGCCCCCAGGCTGCGACTTCCAGTCACCATTCCCGACTGTAGGAGATGGCCGGTACCAAATTCTTGCTCGTCCTGTTGTATTTATTCTTTAAAAGTACCCGATCATCACTGCTCGACCGAAATTTGGATGTATCGCATGAGTTTGAGCTTTTTATGAAAAAGTATGCCTGAATTTCGGGTTGTAATAAAAAATCGTAGCTATAACCGGACGTATCAAAACGACGCGGAAGAGTTGGAGCTCAGGAAGAAATACTTTGCCCAGAATTTGTTGAATTTGGCGATATATAATGTTACCGAAAAAGCGGGAGGGTATGTGCTAATACGCAAAGGTACCTTAGGTTCTTAGAGCAATTTATGGCATTACAAGCTTTATGGATTGGTCTCAGGAGGAAAAGAAAGCGGTAGGTGAGAGAGAGAGAGAGAGAGAGAGAGAGAGAGACCGAGAGAGTGAGAGGGAGATGGAATGCGAGCGCGAGAGAGAAAGAGAGAGAACTAATTTGCAGCTCCTTCTCGACCCAAAATCAATGCCGGAAAAAAATTGCACTTGGGTCTACAAGAATAGTCGCAACTCTTCGAAAAATGACAATGTCGATTGGCGCGACACCGGAGCTGTTTCCGATATTAGAAACCAGGGACAATGCGGATCATGCTGGGCTTTTGCGTAAGTAGGCTTTTGGTTTTAGCGCCCTTTTTAGCGCAACGGCCGCCGTGGAAATTCAGGAAAATTTTTGGAGCGGCCGAACGGGTTCGAAGAGGGTCGACTATTCCGAGCAGGTAGCCGGGAATATTTTTGGAAGTAATGTACGGTTATAGTATCTGATCGATTGCACCGACGCGGGCAGTTGCAAGGGTGGATGGCCAGGGAAAGCGTTGAAGTGAGCGGTTCGATTCCGATAGCGCTTCCAAAAACGAGAACCATAAAAAAGAGATTTAGGCGAATCAAGCAAAAGGGATTTGTTCGCGAATCGGAAGTGCCGTACGATGCGCACGACGATCAATGCCCACCACATCTGGTAAGTACCCTGATACTAATTTTATACGAAAATGCAAGCATTTTCCTAGGCATTCTAATACCTTTTACACATTTTAGCACTTCGAATTCCCCGTAAACGACATCTGGGATGTGACGGGAAATGTGGACCACATCCTGGAATGCGTTGACATTGTTGGCCCGGTCACCGCAAGTAGACCTTTTGTTAGAATCTAGATTTTGGAAGAATTTCAGGTTTCAAAGTCTGCGACGATTTCTTCAGCTACAAAGGAGGTGTCTATAATCGCGATTGCAAAGACAAGGCCGGCGGGCACGCGGTGACGATCATCGGAGCCGGTATTTTGTGCTGAATTTCGCAAGTTTTTCGGTTGTTTTTCAGGCACAACTTCTGCTGGGGTCGACTACTGGTTGGTACGGAATTCGTGGGGGAAGGCCTGGGGCGAGCAGGGCTATTTTAAGGTATTGTTTTTTATGGTATATTTTAATATTGATTCGATATGATTTTAAGGTATACTAAAGTAGTGCACGACGTTCCTTAAATTCAAAAAAGCATCAGTTTTTTAAGATCAAACGCGGCGTCGATCTCTGCAGTTTCGAAAGCACTGCAAATTTCTTGCCGATTGTGAATATTTTGTAATAGGGCTCTATGAACTGTTAGAACTTTGTTTTGCCTTGTCTTTTCCATCCTGTTTTGAAAAAAATAGTATTTTTTTCCGCCTTGTCTAAAAAGAAATAAAAATTTTTAAATTAAATTGTCTGCCTGACGATTCTTCGTATTTAGGGTTTGAATAAAATATGCAAATATATTCCATAAAATTGGGTGTACGCTCCAATCCGTTGCGAACGCCCGTTCCGTTTTTGCCTCCTCCCAGCAACATGGTGTTGTTGCTGCTCGAAGAAATGCGAGAAAAAGGGTTTGAGAAATGGGCGACTCGCAACAGTTCCCACCCCCGCTTCTTTTCGAGCGTCCCCCACCGATCGGGGGCAATTTATGGACAAACGAGCGGGGATGCTGATCTCCCCCGGTCACAACTGTGCCCGCCTTTTTGTAAGATTTTAGCATGAGTGCGAGGGGGTTCGTGGGAGCGTGTAGTCGATCTCACGGTGGATGGAGGTGGAAGGGCTTTTGAGATTATGATCGGGGGGAATTGGACGTGGAAGGCGGTGCGGCTTTGAATTTTAAAGGGATGACCAAGGCATGGATATGGATTTTCTATATTTTTCACCTTACGTCACGCGAATATGAGCACGAGTGACACGTCATGAGCACTAGTTATTTGTGACAATTGCGATACAATCTATAAACAACTCACTCGATCGTAACGCATTGGGCGTTCCTTTAAAGGACTTAAATGACAAAACTTTTGTGTTCGTTAGGCGATACATGCTGATCAATAGGTGCAAAGGAGCTTGAATTGGAATTATTTTTATGGCAATTAAAAGTCGCCAAAAGGCAAGGCAGTGGTCAAAAAAACCACCGTAGCAATAGTTTCAAAAAGGAAAATTGCCTTTTCAATCCTCTTGTTCCGACTACAAATTCTTCACCTGAAATACGACGATCTTCCCCGACCTCCTGCTCCCTAAACCGTGCCCCAAACCATCCACAGTTCCCCAGTGTTGCGGCTCACCGGTTCGCAACTCGCTAATCCGGCGTGGTGGGCCATTTTTCAAGGGACGCTGAACGGGCGGGGAGGACACTTTTTGCAAGAAGCCCCCGGGTGAGCGGCACCTTTGTGAGGGGTGGGTGTTGAGCGATTGGGGGAGGCTACGGTACCGGGCGGACGATCGGAGCGACGCGTAGCCGGGTATGATGGATCACGCTGCAGGAATAAGGGTGGAGCGAGAAGGGGTGGGAGGACCGTATCCTGGGCCTGGCAAGGTGGATTTGACACTTGGGGTCAATCGTTGTGCTTTTTTGGGATTTTATGTGATTTTGGCTTCGTTTCAAACCTATTAGATCTCGAATTTTATTGGGGTTTTTTTAAAATTGAATTTGAGGTTTATTTTTGTGCGCTTCGCGTCTCACTAGGTTTTCAAATAGTAGTCCTAAGTTCACACGTAATGTAAGATCATAGGGCGTTTTCGATAACTTTTTAGGCCGTTTATTATCCATTACGCTGTTAGTCCGTCTTACAACATTTTTTAGAAACTCCGAAGCATGGGAATGTTCCCCGGAATCCCACTATTCCTGGCGAACTCCATTTTCCCTCCTTCGTCAGCACTCTCTCTTTTTCAACAACGTCTAGAGGAGCAGGTACCGGTAAGTTCCAGCGAATTGCGATTGGTATGCTATGATACAAAGGTCTCCCTGCAGTTTCCGGGCTCCTGATAGTAGCAAAGTTCCGACAGCCAAAATACCGACAAGCTAAGATACCGAATACCGAATATATAAATCCCGCGATATTCTTAACGCTATTTTGAACGCCGCTCCTTTTGAGGTGTTTTGGATGTCGTGTCTGTGGTCGGTATCAAGCTTTCTGCGTTTGAGTTGACGAGGTTTCTGCTCTAGGAATTTTGGCGTTTCTCCCTTGTGCATCCCTCGAACTCTCCAAAGCTTACCTTGAGCTCGACAAATTTTTATAAATTTGATACGGTTTCCAGGAAGAATACATTCAATTTAGAATTGGCAAGACCTCCTCAACCTGGCAGCCTCTTCAACTACTGATACCTTGACCCCATTGGCCGACGGACTGCTGAAAATAGTTTCACCTGGAAGGGCAGGTGCCCATAATTCGGGAGTCGCCATTTCTGATGACCAACCCGGGTCCTCGGGCCAATCAGCCGAGAAAGCACCTGGCATCTATGCGCATATTCTGGCGGAGAGCCCGGTCAGGAAACTGACCTATTCCGGTAAGCTCCAATTAACGCAAATTTTTCAAATTTAAAAGTTAGACAAAAAAGATTTGCTTCAGCTTGCTCGCCAACCCGAAATCGCTACGGCAGGGTCTACGTTTCCGGTCGGCCGTTGATAATGAAGGATCGCCTGAAAATCGTGGAGTTGCATAAGAAGGTAACGAATATGATCAAGTAATTGATTCTTTGCGAAATCTTTTTTAACACCTTTTTAAGCCCAAACAATCTTCTTCCAGGGTTATAAGAAGATCAACATCGCCAAAGAGCTCGGCGTGACCCATAGCTGCGTCAGTAAGGTTTTGAGAAGGTAATAGAAAAGTTCAATTCTAACGTATTTAAATTACTTTTTAGATACCTCGAAACCGGGAGCTGTGAAGCTAAAAATGTAAAAACAAAGAGGAAAAGGACACCAGACGCTGATGCAGCAGAAGCCAAACCGGAAACTGCCCCGAAGCGCGTGCTGCGCTCGTTTACTATTGAAAAGTGAGTCTTGACGCCAAAGCATAAAAAAATTATTAAACCTATCTTTTTGACTAGGAAATAAGAGTTATTTAAACCATAGCTATTCAAAATTAAACCACGTAATTTCCTTTAGTTTACTATCCACGGAAACCCTTCATATCGTCTATACCTCCAAATAAAACGAATACCTCATCCAAGTTTATGATTTCATTGTACGTGATTATTTTCCTTGTGATATACAACAACTTTATTGATCTCAAAATTGTGATATAATATTAAGCTTTTGCCGGGGTTGTAGCATCGAGGAGGAGGCACTGAAATAAATTCATGTAAATGTGCTCAAAACCCTGAACCACCTCATAAGCAGAAGTAGCTGCACTGAAAACAGGCACATACGGCTTGCAGCAGTAGGTATCGGCTTGGATCGATAGGGTTGTGGTGTCGAGTTTGATGGAGGCGTCGATTTTGCATGCCGGGGAACCACAGCGATCGGCCAGTTGTAGGGGATTGCGGAGACTATATAGGTATCAAATATTATTACAGCCATATTAGTCAATTTTAACCATTAAAAAGAGCAATTTTGATCCAAACGACTTCATATTTCTTTTTCACGAACTGTAATTCGTAAAATAAGAATTTATGACAAGCCATTAATCGGCTTTTAACAAAAATACTTTTTTGTTTGTTTTCCATCTTTTAGTTTCGATGGCTATATTTTCTATATGATTTTTATATGTTATTATAGAAAATGATAATTTAAGTCAATGATATCTAAAATGGTACCTAAATGTTAATACTTGCATCTTTGTTAGACAAAGTACCGTTTCAAGTTAATGGGAACTATACCTTACCCCTACCTAACATAACTTCATGTTTGCATTCAATACGCCAAAAATAAAAGATTTTAAAGACTAACAGACCCTTTCATGGATATTTTTGCGCTTTTTTAACTTTTTAAATACCAAAACATTGATAGAAATAAACTTCCAAACTGGCATCGCCCCTTTCCAACCCCGGCGCATCGATATCTTCATTGCTTGTCCACCTGTCAATTATTCCCGGGGCGCCTATGCCTCAAAAACCCCTCCACGCGCCCCCTCCCCATCGCCTCATTGGCTCAGTGGCAGAGCGTCTGTCTAGTAAACAGAAGGTCGCTGGTTCGATTCCAGCATGAGGCACCAACTTTTTGCTGTTTCGCTGAGGGTTTGTGGAGCTTATCAGAAAACTTTTTGCTCTATTTCAAACCTGCAGGGGCAGCCGTAGCTATCAGAAATGCAGGTTCTATTTCTTATCGGAAGTCCACACATTCCACAAGTAGCAGTGCAGGTCTCGTTCCATGGTCCCCAGACCCCTAAAAAAATAAGAAGCAAAGCTATATAAAGGTATCGAATTCGAAAGAGACAAAGAAAAGCGTCATCGGGCAAAAAATACGTGAGAAGGGCCAAGACAGGCTAGATAAGGAAATTGGTATCTAAACGTTAACTTACCATATTTCGGGCACTGGTTCATATTTGCCTCTAAAAATGGGATTTTCATGACCAAAGAATTATAGCATACCTCGATAAGTGGCACAAACGTATGCCTTTTGGCTAACTGCCAACATTTTAATATATGGCTCACAACAAAAATCCTCGTGCTCATTCGCGACGCATCCCTGGACGCCGAGCAGCGTTCCGGGCTGGATACAACGGACGGTTTTGGTTGGGCTACCGCTAGAAAATATTGTAGTTTGTAGTCTTCCCGAATTTCGGGCTTACGTGCAAGCGCAACCCTTGGTCAGACAAGTTCTTGCGTATTTCTCAACACCACAATAGCCACATCGAAAATTGCAGGGTTGCGTGAGGTTCCACTCGGTCCAGTAACCTTGATAATTTTAATTAAACATTATTAAAACAATTTTTAAGGAATATTAGTGATGCTCCTATAGCTATCATGCAATACTGTTATTTTGATAGCATTATTTAAAAAATTAATTAATTTTTTTATTACCCCACGGATTAGTTTGAAAAGCTTTAAAAGATAGTTTTAATGCGCACTCATCTTTTACCTCGCTTAATTTTATTCCAGAACTAGAAAATTAAAAACTAGAAGAAAACCCAGAAGACTTAGGCAAGTAAGAAGGGTAGAAAAAAGTTTACGGGCACCTACCTCCATCCATGCAATCCTGCAAAACGGTAGCTGCTCCGGTTATTTCAATAAAGATAAAGCACTAAAATTTATTCGACACAAAATCAGGAACAAAATGCATACCAAAATATAGACCCGACATGATGAAAACATTAGGGGCGGCGAGGTGAAGGAGTGTGTGCGGTTCGATGGGAAAATATGTGCAAAGCGGATCGTAACGCGGATTTATGATGTGTGAAAATTGTAGGATGATGCAGAAAGGCGACGAAGAAGCATAAAGTTTTAAAATAGTGGAAATAAAGTATACTAGATGGTTTCATTAAGAATTGAAAGAACCCATTTAATCTCGTCTGACCTCATCCGCTCGCTCCGGGGACGAAGACGAATACCTCAAAAATTGAAATTAGCATCGTTTCGAAGGCCTAGGCTTGGACTTCGGCTTAAGTTAGGCTTAGGCTTAGGTTTAGACTTAGGCTTAGGCTTAAACTTAGGCTCCGGCTTAGGCGTAGTCTTTTGCCTGGTTTTGCGGGTAGCTCTGGTTAAATCAAAGTTTTGTTTTAGACCTAAGTTTAAAAACTAAAAATTTAACAACTTACATCCTCATAGAGCAGCTCTACCTTCGAAGTTGATGGCTCGACATCCTGATTTGCCATGGAATTCACAGCGGTTGTGGTGCCGCCCAATATCGTGACAGTGAACTCCGCGAATTTCGAGGTAGCGGGAGGCGCAGTAGGCAATGAAACGGTGGTAGTGATTAACGGGCTCGACAAGCTTGTCGATGGGAAGGTGGCAGTGGTCGTGGAGGGCGAGGTAGTTGTCGTACTTGTAGTAGTTGTCGTCGTTGTCGACGTCGAGGTAGTTGGAGTCGTAGTCGCTGCAATGGCTGTTGTTGTGGTTGTTGTTGTTTTTGTTGTTGTTGTTGTTGTCGTTGGTGTCATACTTGCTGAAGTTGTGGTTATTGTACTTGTTGAAGTTGTTGTTGAAGTCGTAGAAATCCGAGTGTTTGTAGTTGTTGTCGTAGTTGTAGTCGTAGTAGTAGTGGTAATGGTAGTAGTAGAAGAAGTAGTAGTAGTTGTTGTTGTTGTTGTTGTTGTTGTTGTTGTTGTTGTTGTTGTTGTCATACTTGCTGAAGTTGTCGTTATTGTACTTGTTGAAGTTGTTGTTGAACTCGTAGAAATCCGAGTGTTTGTAGTTGTTGTCGTAGTTGTAGTAGTAGTAGTAGTGGTAGTGGTAGTAGTAGAAGAAGTAGTAGTAGTAGTTGTTGTTGTTGTGGTTGTTGTTGATGATGATGTTGTTGTTGGGATCGTACTTGTTGTTGTCGTTGATGTTGTCGTTGGAGTTGTTGTCGTTGGTGTGGTCGTACTTGTTGCTGTTCTCCTGGTTGTGGTCATTGATGTAGAAGTACTAGAGGCCGTAGCTGGCTTGATTGATGTCGTGGTGGTAGTTGTGCTCGCAGTCGTGTGTGTCGGTAGAGTAAGAGTCGTGCCATAGAGTGCCATAGAGGTCGTAGGCGTTGACGTCGTTGCCGGCGTCATAGTGGTCGTACCGGAACGCGGTGAATTCGTCGCTGCCGTCAGCTAGACGATAGCTGGAGGGCCGTCAGCTTAGGAGTAGTAGGGCTCCTCGTCGTGGCCGTTGCACTACTCGAACTCGTAGTTGATGATGTGCTTGTAGTGCCAGTTTCTGTATTCGTTATTAAATCAGAATTCGTACTGTCGATCGCAAATTTTGATGCTGTGTAGATCATTGGAGGGCTAATCTTAGTCGTACTACTCGGAGGAGTCGGCAAGTTCGTCTTCGTGGTGGAAGTTAGCTCACTTAAAATTGCTGAAGAGGTGGCTGGAGTTGGTGGTGTTGTTGAAACCGTAATTCTGGCTTCTATCGTCTTCGTGGTAATACGCACCGTAGCGGTCGATAGAGAAGGAGCTGTTTTATGCGTATCGATTGGATTCTGAGATTTAGAGCTCGTAATGCCATGGTAGAGCATAGAGTGAGAAGCAGTCATACCCTGACGTTGTATTTCGTACGCCTCCTCGCCATAACTTGGATCGTGTCGTCTGTTTTCTTGAGATATCTTAACTATTCTTGAAGTTGTCCGCTCAGGAGATACGGTTGCTGAAACGTAGGTTTCAGGTTGAGCTCGGTGCTGAGAAGGATGGGCATTTTTGGAGTCACTGGGTGCTTTGCTGCTCGGACTCCGTAGCCTAGGCCCTGGTTGTTTCCGCCAATTCCGAATAGGCACTGGAATCGTGGTTTTCGAGTGTCTCGGCTTAGGAAAATCCGTAAATACGTGTGTGGGTTCACCATCTAGAGAGTTTGGGGTGGTAGTTTGATGGCGATAGCCTAGAAAGTGGTAAGGTATACGGGACGGAATCGGAGCCGCTGGGCTAGTCGTCATAAAGGATTTTCTAGGTATAATAGTAGGAGTAGAATATCTATGATAGGGTCTCCGAGCGGGAAATCTGCTTCTGGAACCCGGCCTACTCCGAAAACTCCGATTATCGTAAGCATGGGAACGAAGTTTTGAATTTTGCGAAATTCTGCGTCGCGGATTTAGCGAATTAAGCCGTCTAGAAATAATCGTCCTTGGTATTTGTGTTTTCGGAATTCGTGGAGGTATCGTCGTGCCTGAATCGTATTCGTATCTATTGTCGCGGTGCGTTGGCCTCTGGGGCCCGGAATTTCTGTTCCGGCTCGGCGACCTTGGGCGGGAAGAGATATGGGGCGTAGCATTTTGCGGCCGTCGATGGTAATAATGGGGATTTTTAGTATTAAAATTTTGATGAGTGGAAGGAATTGCGGGGCGTCTTTTGGAAAATTCAGGATATCTAGGAATTTCCGATCGAATTCGAGATTGAGATAACCTGAAAAAAAGAATTTGTTAAATTAAAAAATTTCCTACCTATTGTCACAAAACTCTTTATAAAATTCTCGATTCCATTGATTATCGGGGTTGATTTGAAGAGATCTTCGAACATTTGCGCATTTTTTCAAAACCGGATTGCTAAAAAGGCTAAAATTAAAGCATAAATCCCCACCTATCCACCGCAAATGTCAAAAAAATATCGTACAGTAATAAGATCCATAATTTCATTAAAATACCCAATTATCGAGCCGAATGCAAAAATAGAGGTGCGAAAGTAGTAAGTCGATGTGCCGGCGCCGAAAATAGTCGATTTTGATCCGATTTCCCTCTGCGACAAGATCTTGCCACCCGGCCGAACGGAACAGAAAAACCGAACGGAAAAATCTCGCGCGCCAAAGCTTACCCGAGATAGCCGCCAAAATTATTGGGGCGTTGAAAAAATACTGGACTTCCCACCGGTCCGGCAGACACCTATCTACGCGGCGGGTACGGAATTATGGAAAAATTGAGAGTTTTACGCATGAAGCGTCGAGAACCTATGATTAAAGCATTTTCGAAAAATTTATTTTTCTGCTATAACTTACGATTTTTAAACCATTTGAAAGCCCTCAAAAAAGCGATTAAATCGGGTTATTTCGTTTTCCAAAACTTTATGACTTTACTTAGCTTTTTTCCAAAAAAAAACAGGTTCCTCACCGCGTGAAATCAACAAATATCATGTCGCTAAAAGGGGTCGTTTTGAACGGTTAGATTTTGTCTTGTTTTATTGTTCTGATAAGTTTTGAACGTAAATAATAAGAATTAAAATACGATTAAAATAGAACAATTTCAGAATTTGAACAGTTAAAATACTTTTTGTGACGCCCAGTAGTACGCGAGCACTAACGTGTACTGAATGACGAATGATTGTGAGCGTATTCTTATCGCATTGTCATCAATTCCTAGGGGAATACAAAAATACTTGAGCCTGGGCTTTTATTTGTTTTTTTTTCTGAATTTTGTCGTGTCTGTATGTTAGTTTTAGGCGGTGTATTCTTGAGGCTCCTCCGGATTTAGCTCGGCTCCTCCGGATTCCAAATCCGACGCATTGCTCCCGAGGTGGGCCGCCGGGGTGCAGGAGGTGCACTAAAATATTGATGAGGGTTCTCAGCTGTTTGTGCTACTTTAGATGGCAACCCTGGGCTAATGATTTTTATTCTTAGCGTCCCTCTTAATAATCCAGGAAGCTTTTCCGAGGAGAAGAAGCCTGAATTCCTCCCCATTCTAAGCACAGATTTCTACAGAACTTACACACTTTCCGCTCGGGGGTTTACGCTTTGCATCCTGGTAAGGCGCCGTTTTTAGCGACAATCGAGTTTTCACATGGTACCAAGCCTATCTTGTGCAGAATTTTGAGCAGATCCCAACGCTGGTTTCAACATTTGCGAAACGATTAGCTTCAGAACGTTATGAAGGTTTTGAGCGCGAAAAGGCTCAAAATGACCCGTTTCGGCAAATTGGCCTTTTCGCCCTAAAGAGTCTCGTAACTTTTTGAACCTGGCTGTTTGGCAGGTTTTGAAAACCAGTTCGAAACTCCGCACAAATCAGCGCAGGATTCTGCACAAAAGAGACTTCGTGCTATGTGCGGAAATTGGAATTCACTCTAAAACGTCTCCTTATGAGTCAGGCCGAATTAGAGCCCACGAGAACACGACTTGTTCTGCAAATTACCTGCTTTACTAAAGGAACTATGGGAACGTACCTTAGTTAAAATTGAGAAAATCCCACGTACGTCACCTGATTTGCGAAGCCGGAAATCCAAAAAGGTGCGTAATACTAGCACGTGAGCGCATACTGAGCTCATACGCATAGGCATCGCTACTGTGTTTTAAACCGCGCTTTCGCCTCGATGAATTTTCTCCGACACGGCCAGACGTATACAACGTAACGTCACCCCTGATTTTTTTGATCATTCTCCCACAAAATTACCGGCACAATTGCCCTGTGTTTTCCGGGTATTGTGAGCTTTTCTGCTCCATAATGCCTTCCGGTCTGGCCGGAATCCAGCTATTTTTAAGGGGGCTTTAGCGTGATTATTTTGAAGCCATAGTCACACAAACACACAACCGCCTTGAAGTGACCCCGCAGCAAAACCTGGTCTTTCGCGCGCGCCTAATTGGGTTTTCGCGATCCTCCAAATGACGCGTGCACTTAATCAACAAAATTGGGATGCCACCGCCGAAAACAGGGTGGAAGCTGGTAAGTAAGTCGAAAATTTGAGACATAGACGATGAATGGGGGGTTAGACAAATTCAAGGCGGTGCTCCAAAGACCAACTCTTTGTTCGACCGGGACGGAAGTTCCTTCTTTGGGGAACTTCAAGCTTTCGGAGAGTTCATTTGCTCAAACTCCAGGGTTCGTTGCGGTGTCCGATAGGGCTAGGTTGCTTCTCGAGATTATGGCAGCTTCTTGCTTTGACCACTTTCATTTGTTTACCCTATTTATTTGACGTTTTTATCTGTCAAAAAGAAAATTCTTGATGAAGTGGATTTCTGAGAATTAATAATACGTATTGAAATCCTGCGCTTAAAAAATTCAAATCGAAGCTTATCTCCGCAGAAAAAGTGGAAGACGATTTTGCGTAGTAAAGGCCCATTTAAAACTATTTTGCATGAATGGAACCCAATGAAAAGCGCAAATCTTTGCAACTTTTTCATATTTTCTATTTTACTCGTCTATTTTTGAATTTTCAACGTTAACCCCTTTTTTGCATAGCTCCAATCAAAGACCAAACTCCCAAAAGCTGCGTGATTTTTAAGCTCTTGCCGATGAAAAATACCACCGCCCTGCAGAATCAAATTATGTGGCGTACCGCAGAATAAGTCCAATCTTTTCGGTGGTGGAGCCCATTGTTTTGCCGGCAGCCCATTGTGGACGAGGACGTGGGATAATCGCTTAATATGAGAAGCTTTTGGCGTCGGGGGTACATGGGTACAGGCTGTATACCTTTTTAACGGCCCCTTTAATAGTAGTATTTTTTCTAACTTTTCAAATTTGAGAAATTTTAGTTAAAGTTATTTTCAGCGACACTGGTCCCTAAAATGCACCCATCAACCGCCAAAAATCTCGTCCTCTTCCAAATCATCGGCGTCACCAACACGGCGCTCACTTTTATTACAAACATTTTGTTAATATTTGTGATATTACGGTAGGTATCTGAATTTCCAGATAAATTACTTACCCAAAAATTTTAGATTTTCCCGACGATCCCTTGGTTCATATCGTTATTTAATGATATTGTTCGCGGTTTTTGATATGCTGTATTCGGCTAGCCACGCGCTATCAAATCCGGTTTGTTTTAAGGAAAAATGAGGTTATGATCTTTTTACACCCAATTTTTACAAGCTACAAAACCACTACGCCGGAAAGCTCTAAACTAAAATATTGCTCGCATTTATAGATAATGTTCACCCACCGTCACGCATTCGTCGTATTTGCCAGCGGGCCGTACACCGGTCAGCTGGTCTCGCTTGGATACTGTGCCTTTTTCTTTGCACTTTCGTTAAGTCTGCTGGCCGGTCATTTTCTGTATAGATATCTGCTGATTTGCAAGTAAGTTCAAGTAAGAAATCCGTGTTTGCCAAACCCTTCCGATGGCTACCCATCATTACTTCTAAAATCATTACTTCCAAAATCATTACTTCTAAAAGTCATTACTTCTAAAAGTCGTTACTTCTAAAATTCTGAGCGTATTTTTGGGCATAAATATGCCGAAAAAGTGGTAATCCGGCATACCAAATTTTAGAAGTAACGTTTTTAGAAGTAATGATTTTTAGAAGTAATGACTTTTAGAAGTAATGACTTTTAGAAGTAATGACTTTTAGAATTAATGACTTTTAGAAGTAATGATTTTAGAAGTAATGACCGTACCCCCCTTCCGATAACTCGATTATTGTCTTAGAGGGGTTGGGAAATCAAAAATCGCATGGGCAGGCTCGTCCAGGCGGTCAAGACGGGGTGTTATTAAATTTCTAAATTGCCGATCGACCAAAGGTTAATAATACCTTCAGAAACGAATGGATGTTCCTCTTTGACGACGTTCGCTATCGCCCGATTCTCATTTTGCTGTGGTTGAGTCAGGGTACTGTTTGGGCCCTATGTGTCAAGCTTGGCATGTCCGATTTTGAAGTTACCAAGGTATGCCAAAGCGCTTTTTAGAATCCAGCTCTTAAAGGGATGCCCACCCTTTTCGGGGCTCAAAAAGCAAAAACTATGCCGCGGGCGGGCGTCGAACCCGGGACCCCCGTTTTGTAGGCCAGGATGCTATCCCTTAGGCCATAGCGGCAAGCCATTGGGTGGTATGGGGACGCCACAAGAGGGAAAGGTGTGCGAATTGCGCGCGGCACTGGCGCCTCATTGCCACACAAAATTCCCGCGTCATTTGTACTGCCCGGAATACATAACTATATATTTGCCACCAAAACCTTGGGTATCCCTTTAAGAATTACACCCGGGACGCTGTGCTCGACGAGTTCAACGTGGACGTCGACCAGGCCGGCATGGTGGCGCCATTGTTTTTTGTGAGGGGAAGCTCATAAATTCTAGATAGTTTCTTTAGACAGATGCACCCGATGGCAGTAAGCGCTTTTTCTGGCCGACCTGGTTGGGGATGTTGGGGCCGTGGTCGATTCTGGGGTTGACTTCCGGGTATTTTGATATTGGATTTGAAAAATATGGAATAGGACGATATTTTTCTGCTCTTTCCGGATACACGACAAGTTGAAGAGCTGCACGATGAGTGAGAAGTCGAGGCGGTTGCAGATAGAGTTGTTTAAGGCGTTAATAGTACAGGTCATTTTAATACTCTCACTCTCTCTCTCTCTCTCTCTCTCTCTCTCTCTCTCTTTCGCTCTTCTCTCTTTTAGCTTGTTAGCGAAATCGCAACCACACTATACCATTTCAGGCCGTAATCCCCAGCATCTTCGAGTACACGCCATGCCTCGTCGCGATGGGCACGGCAATGCTCGGAATTCCACTGGGTCGCTACGCGAATTGGTGCCCAACCTTGCTCACCTTCTACACCTGGTTGGACCCGATCTGCATCATGCTGTGCGTCAAGGATTACAGGAGAGCGTTTCGACGGTGCTTCAGGTAAGTATAGCATGGAGAAGTTATTGAAGTCGCAGGCCGCCAAATGAAATCGGCACTTGGCAACTCGAGGTTTGGTCCATGTTTTTTAGTCCGATAAAAGTTTAACCAAGCAGTTAAAAATTCCAATATTGTCCGGAAAATTGCTCAGATCGAATTGAAAAAATTGAAATTGAACGAACAAATTGAAAAAGGGATCGCCTGTCGATTTATGCGTCCAAATATCCAATTTTCCTGGCTTGGTTACACTTTTAAAGACCGTTCCTAGTGCTCACGTGTTTTTTGTGGTCCAGTTAAATACCCATTCACCGAAAAATGTGCTATTCCACCACCTTTGGCTTCCCTGCGAAAGACTAGAATCATTCCTACCACTTTAAAAATTAATCTGCTAACCCCGTCACCACAATTCTCGCCTGTTTTAACACATCCACCGTAACCAAACCCGGTCCAACCGTCGATCCTCGTTAACATGCAGTAGTAATCTGAATATAATACGTTTTTAGAGCCGATTCGAGGCCCGGCTCGAGGTCTACAGCCGAGAATAGCTATGCCTCCCGGAATCTCAAAACACGAATCGAGCCCTCGATCGTTAAGCTCGAACTCTCGGATGTTCAAGTTTGAAGCTAGGGGCTGTGGATGGACGAAATACTATGAAATATGCCTTTTTCCGTAATAAAAAATTAAAATGCAGTGGAACAGCAACAACCCCAGGCTCCTAACAATACGTACATTTTTGCAAAATAAAAATTTGCAGTACAGTGGAATATGACAACATCGTAACTTCAAAAATCGCTGCAAATTCGGCGACTGTTAATAATGATCCCCAATAACGTGCAAGGCCTTTTTATAGTTTTTTTTTAAGGCAAGGAATCGAGAACATCCACAAAAAAATTTCCACGTGCTTCACTCCGGAAGCTGCTCACATTCCCGCGATGATCTCTTATTTTCTCAAGCTGGCGCGACCCCTCTAATGAAAAATAGATGAGGCCTTCGCAAGGGGCGTGAGCCGGCGCGGATCCTCTTTTCGGCCAAAAGCTTGCCACAACTTTTTTCTTACCTCCGAAACCTAAAGGACTCCGCCAGGGATTTTCAATACAAATTAAAAAGGTCAATTGCCCTCGAATTTCTTGAATACTCTCGAAATAATGAAAGATCAAGCTGCACCACTCGTAAGATGCCCTCTAAATTCAAATTCCAGTAATAAAGAGCATTTCCCAGTGGCTACAAAACGGCAGGTGGGTTTATTAAAGCTACGTCCGGGACGAAAATCCCACATTCTCTCGACGCGTTTTGTCATCAATGTACCACGGAAGAAATGGACGAATTCGGAGAAAATTCTCTCATTTGGCCCTTGTCGCACACACTTTTCATTCTTTCAACAGTATACTTGAGAGCCGGTGTGTTCAGTAAAGTTCCGTAATCCTCGCCCAAAATTACTTCTGTTGTTTCGCGGCAATATTAATTTCCCCCCAATAATCTCTGCTAAATATACTTCTTGCAATTAAGCCTCTCGCACTACAAGCTATAAACTTTCAATAGATTTAGTCCGAAAAATGCTTCCAACAATGGTCGAAGATCTCGAGGTTTTCAAGGTGATCGGGTTGATCAATACGGGCCTCACTTATATTACAAATATTCTGCTCATTTATGTAATAGTTCGGTAAGTTTCTATAGCCCGAAAGTATGCTTTAAGATTTTCACCACGAGCCCTGGGCACCTATCGCTACCTCGTCATAACATTTGCCGTTTTTGACATTCTGTATTCGACTAGTCATGCGCTATCAAATCCGGTGGGTTAAGAAAACTTAATTAATTGCTATAATATGACATGGACCACGCCAAAAATTACCTGTAATCAAAATTTTAAGGTAGCCTACGTATACCGCCACGCATTTGTCATTTTTGCCACCGGTCCTTTTACGGGTCAACTCGTATCGCTGGGATATGGTGCCTTCTTCTTTGCCTTGTCGTTGAGCCTCCTTGCCGGGCATTTCTTATACAGATATCTACTAGTTTGTAGGTAAGGCATACCTTCCAAATAGGCACTTAAAATCACTAGCAGCAAGCGGTCAGCAACAACCAAAAAATCGCCAAAAAAATAAAATAAACCGTGATAAGAATCAGGCTTTTATCTAAATAAAGGCGATTTTAAATTATTTAAATCGTGGCTGCATGTTAGAACCAGGCCCAAAACGATCCAAAAAGCTAAAAAACCCCGCAAGAAAACGTTGAAAATCTCCATGAAAAACTCTTCTCTTATTAGAGGCCTTTTGAGAATATTTAAATCATATTTAAAATAGTGTAATAGCTTTAAAAGAGACTCGCGAAAACCTTTCACGATATTTGAAAAAAAACGAAAACGAAATCACTTATTGTTCCTCTTGTGCCACTCTCCATCCTCGCGTCCCCGGGGCTCCCCCACCCTTCATAACCCCCCTTTTGGTGACCCGTAACCGCTGGGCGTCGTGGCGGGCGCCTGTGAGCCAGCTACTTGGCAGCGGGGTGTTCGGTCTGTTTCGGGCCACGTGTCCGAGCCAAACGAGGCGTCGCCAGGGTTGTCTGGGGGGAGCCCTAGATATCCCGGGCGGTTAAAGAGTGGTGGAATGGCCCAGGACCGAAAGGGAGCAAGCAAAAGCCACCGCGTCTTGTCGTGGACGGATCGCATGCGGCGGATCCGCTACGGCCGACACCCTTTTTGCGTTTTTAGGATGTCAGGTTACTTTTATTTAGCACTCATAAAGCTGATCCGTAAGTAACAATAATTGAGGCGATTTTTGATTGATTTTCGATTCGATTTTCTTATTCTATCCAAATTTTCGTTAATTTCAGAGAAGAATGGATGTTCATCTTCAACAACAAACGTTTCCTCCCCATCCTGATCTTCACCTGGCTGAGCACCGGCTTCGTCTGGGCCTTCTGAGTAAAGCTCGGCATGTCAGACTATGAAGTCACCAAGGCAAAACACCCATCTCTAAGGCTAAAAAGAGTCTTTTTAAAAAAGGGCTTTTGGTTTTCGCAAAAAGAGATGAATTCTCGTGGCTACAAAAAGTGCTAAATTCCTTTCAAACTCTGAAAAATGCCACAAAATGGGGGAGCAACAAAAAGTTGCTGGTTAATTAAAATCTTAATAAATTGGGACTATTCTAGATTACAGGTCAGGCCTCCAGATTAATTTCAAGAAAGTGTAAATAGATCATAATACAGAAATTATTTGCAAGCCGAAACGGTTAAAAACTAGATCTGTCCCTTTTAATAAGATGCCAGCAACTTTTGGTTGATCCCACATTTTGTGGCATTTTTCTGAGTTTGAAAGGAATTTAGCACTTTTTGTAGCCACGAGAATTCATCTCTTTTTGCGAAAACCAAAAGCCCTTTTTTAAAAAGACTCTTTTTAGCCTTAGAGAGAATTTAGCCCTTTTTGCCTCAATCTGATTGTTAAGATCGTAAAATAAGCCAAGGAATACTTATTCAGATGAACCCTTGTACGCGAAACTTCAAAAAAATTTGCCTGCGGCGCTTTGTGACGGCACTAGAAACCATAAGGATGCACTGGGGGCCAATCGGCAAAAACCATGTTTCGGGTGGGGTTCGAACTCGGGAGCCCAGTCTTCCCAGTACAGCGTGCTAACCACTAGGCCAACGGGGAGACTGGTGGCCTCTCTTGGGGAAGCTAGACCCGCCCGCCCTGGCGCGGGGGTGCCGAAGGGGAGGGTGGCGCCCCGTATGGCGAAGGTTTAAAGTTATAATATCTCAGAGAAGAGGCATTCTTTCGATGCAATTTCTTCTTTACTTATTCCGGCATGGTCTAATGCATATTTGAGCAAAATTTCAGTTCAAACGGACATCACTAACCCTTGTTTTGGCCGCAATTTAGCTTTTAAACTTAAAAATTAAATATAAATTTTTAAAAAATCTATTTTGAAAAAACGCTTCTTCCTCACCTTCATTTACATCAAGTCGATATATGTGGAAAATTTCAGCCCAAACGGACAATGGGAAGGCACTTTTTGACGACTACAAAGGTTTTGCGTACATACAGACATACAAACGCAGACCCCCTCGAAACGCAATTTAAATCGGCTGTTAAAATTCGAAATTTAACTTTTTTTCAAATTTTAAAAGCTTATAGTATGCAAAAAGTGTCGCCGGTTCCGATGGTGTATTCAGTTTGGCGAGCCGATGCATGGTTCTTTTTTAAATCCGGAAAAGGACCCCCAAAGAGTCGAGGGGTCCTCAAACCAAGGGTTAGGGTACGCCCGCTAACCCCGATTCTGGTCAATCTCGCTTTCAGAATTATACACGAGCAGCCGTACTGCGTGAATTTAATGTTGACGTGGATCACGCTGGAATGGTGACTCCGCTCTTCTTTGTGGGTTGCAAATTAGTGTAAATACCAAGAAATTTTTTTAGACAGACGCGCTAGACGGAAGTCGTAGATTTCATTGGCCTACTTGGTTCGGGATGTTGGGCCCGTGGTCGATTCTGGGACCTACTTTTGGGTATGGTGAAAATGGCATGAATCCCTGGATTTTTAGAACGATAATCTTCTGCTCACTTCGGATACACGACAAGCTGAAGCGGTGCACGATGAGCGAAAAGTCTAGGCGACTGCAGATCGAGCTATTCAGGGCACTAATAGCTCAAGTAAGTTTTCTAACAATAAGTCAATCCAAAGCCAACCTTTTTGAAGTTACACAAAAATGCCCGAATTACGAAACCAAATACTTCAGACCATCATCCCAACAATCTTCGAATACGCCCCCTGTATCGTGTGCCTCGCTTCGGCCATGTTCGGCATCCCGCTCGGGCGCTACACCAACTGGTGCCCAATTCTGCTCACCTTCTACACGTGGCTTGACCCGATATGCATCATCCTGTGCGTCAAAGACTATCGAAGAGCCGCCGCCCGCTGCTTCAAGTAAGCTTCTCCACCCCTTAATAGCTCGGCAACAGGTTCCCCTCCAGAAAGAAGATTTTCAAAAGCCATCAGTCCAATAATAACCCGGAAACTATCGTTTATAAGCTATAAGAAATCGGTAAGCGGTCAGTAGAAAGTAATTTAGGAAATCACACCAAGATATGATATATTTTTAGACCCGAGCCCACCACGCGCGGGGACAGCAGTTACACGTCAAGACTCGATAGATCAAGGGTTGACCCTTACGTTATACCCGCGGAAATACCTGATAAATGATATAAGAGAAAGTGTGAGCACGAGGAGAATAATGAGAATAACATTGCGAATGAATCATATGATAGTTAGGAACCGTCGTGAGGGCGCTTCCGGTTTTGCGGAGTACCATTGGCTTCAACGGCGGCAGCGGCGGTCTTCTTCTTCAGCCTAGAAAAGCAAAATTGGCACCGAAATTACTATTAAAGTTATATATAGTAATACCTACACCTTACTGTATAATTCGACTTATTATTAGGAACATCAAAACGCACTTTATGACAAAACTTACGCAGCCTTGATTCGATCCTTCACATTTCTTGGCCGGTCCGTCGTGGCAAGCTTCTCGTAGAGGGCTACGAACTCGATGATCCCATCAAAAAAATAATACGTACTGTTTATCAATTGTTCGTTACTCTGCAAAGCGGACTCTGTGAGCTGCGGGGCGAGCACCTGGAACCACGGCTGCTTGACGCTCATGTCGGGCAACTAAATGAAATTGGGTTCAAAAATCCGACTTAAAAATACCGGATGGTTTGCCCAGATGCAGACCGCGTACACGACAATAGCAGCGATCTCGGCTGCCGTGTAGCGGATCGACCAATCCGTATATGCAAGTCTAAATCAAATCTCTGGTGAAATAGAGATAAAACTTACACATCAGAAGCGAAAAAATAAGCTGCTTCACGTAGCTCACCCACTAAATAAATAAGTATGAAACAAAATATGGGCATCACCGGCACCCAGCGCTGCCATTTGTTGTAGGACATAGGGATGCGGCATCTCCAGCACCAAGTCGAAGCCTAGGACAAAATGTTGATCACCCGCGTTAAAATACCGATCGTCTGTAGCAGCATCGTTTCAAAGAAACACATTCGGTCGTAGGCATCATCGTAAAGCTGGAAAACACAAATTAACAATAAATTTTAGGTACTTCACCTTGACCGGGATCTTCGACACACCGAAACGCATGTTCCACCAAGCCAGCAAAATCGAACGCGGGCTGCGCGGGCAATCGTCCGATTTTGCGGTTAGAAAAACGGAGGCCAAGCAGACGTCCTAAAATTGGGGAATCGATACGATTCAATGATAATTATTACGCGCAGATCGATGTCGCGAAACGAGTGCACGTAGAAGAAGCGATTGGCGTGGACGATAGCTGAGCAGATCGACATCGTACGACTAAATAATGATGAAGAAACAGATAAAAAGAACTAACAACTGGAATTGCCTTTCGACATTCGCGTTGAGCCGATCGGCGATCCCATTGATGAAGCGACCGATCTTCTGGCGGAGAGTAAGCTCCTGCTCGTAGGTCATGTGCTTGCGGGAGGGCGACTAAAACGGATAAGCAAATAGAATTATAGGCAAACGAAGACGCTTACAAATTTCATAAGCTCTTCTTGCGTGTGAAGCCAACGGTCCCTTGGGGCGGAAGAGATCTCGGTCACGCCCATCGCTGCTAAATAAATATGTAGCTTACAAAGAGACGGTTTTGGGTGAGCACGGAGTCTCGAGACGGGACCAAGCCTAACTTGTGCAGAATTTGTTGCTGATACCGAACCGGCTTTCAGAATCGACGAAACGCCATATTGGAAAGTTATGAAGCTATAAAGCGTGAAAAATACCACAAATGGCCAACATCGGCCGTTTTTTGGCGTGGGACTTCATAACTTTATTATTCTAGTGGTTTCGCAAATTCTAAAACCTAGGACTCAATCGGCGAGAAATTCTGCACAAAATAGGCTCGGTCACATTTCGACACTCCGACACGAAACAAACGTCGCTTTTTAGAAACGATCAAAAACTTTCATTGAAGCGCCAAACTGTTATCTGTAAAATCATCTCGCATTCGTAGTTTCGAGGGTAGCTTTACAGGGTGTTCACAAATAATAGCTTTGTAGTCGAATAAATTGCACGCTTTATTTCTTGAAACAGGATATATCAACAACAGGCTATAACAGAAAGACGAGACGGTGGGACGGGAGTGTCTGGGCGGAAAGTATACCTTAAAGTTGCACGTTTTGAGCACCCTAATTTAGAAATATAACATATGCCTAGCGGAAGGGAATGTGGGGGGACTATAACACGCAAAATACTAGAAGACCATCAAGACAACCGTATGTAGAGACCCACGGGGGAGCAACAGGAACAAAGAGTTAACAACAACGATACGCGTAACAACACCGGGGCACATAACAATATAAATAACGTCAATTTTTCGGCTATAGATGGCGCTGCTTGGCCTTCGCGCGCGTGACGGGCCCCATTTTTGGCATGGGCTCGGCGATGAAGACGTCGAAGGAAGCCGGTAGAGAGGTGTATCTAAAAATGGAATAAAATTGATTAAACTTTTCCTAGAAGTCTAGATATGTCTAGGTAACCAAGCCATTGAATAGATTTTAATAAAATTATCTAGATTTAAAGTTGTCACACTTTCGAAAAAACTCAGAAATGTTAGAAGTGTTCGAAATTTTGCTCGAAACCAACCAATTTTGGGCGAAAAACCGATATGTTTGCATTTTTTTAAATATACTATTGTATTTTTACGATTTATATGCATAGGAATAGTACAAGTCTAGAAACACCGCCTCTAACAATATCAAAAGGTTCAATCCTAACCTAAAAAGAAATTGAAAAATACCTTCTTCGACGCAGCATGTTGGCGTGGCGGTTTTTGGAGGGCAGCATCCAGTTCGGCTCTTGCTCCTTGCTGCATGAATGGCGTCGTGGGCGTCGTGCCACTGCAAAAGATCGAGTTCAATAGATTGAAAAGCAAGCAACCAACCATCAATCTGCGCGTCCTGCAGGCGCTGCTCAACCTCTTCCTTAGTCTCGGGCGCGACGACATCGCGGCGATGTTGTTCTTCGTACTCCTCGAAGGCCGCCCACTTCTCCGGGTCGGTGAGCTGTCGAACCCTAAGAAGCCAAGATGATAAAATATTTCCAACTCATACTTTGCCCGTACAAATTCACGGTAGCAGGGCATTCGGACCATATAGTTGACGAAGAAGGTAGACCAATTAATGTTCGGGACGGTCTAAAAGACTATAAGTAAAAGATTTTAAAACAGTTTTTAGAAAACCAGGGCTAAAAATAGCACTGCAAATTTTCGCCAAAATTCCGATTTTCGGAAAAAACTTTGGCAAAACGATTTTGGAAAAAATGATCGCCTGTTTCGAAATAAAACCAAGAAAGAAAAACTCACGCTCGGATCGCGGTATTTGCTGAAGAAGTCCTCGACGTATTTCAACAGGAACACGCCGCAGTCGACGAAATTCGACTGTTGCGGGGCTGGGGCGATAATCGGCACGAGGCGCTCCCTTGCAAAACTAAAAAAAATATATGAACACCGAATTTAATGTAGGGAGAGCTATACTATCTACAAAATGAATCACAAATATACTGACCATCCTTTCGGCATCTTCTGCTCGCATTCCAGCTCGAAATAGTCCCGCAGGATGGGGACAATGGCTTTTCTATCAAAACGAATCAAGCCTTCAAAGCCAAATTTACCGCTTTGGATCGGCGTTCATGTGCAGCGAGTCGAAGACGATCGCATGGGCAAGATTGGTGTCCTAAAAAAAGTCTCCAAACCCTTTCTTGAAATTACCTTGTTAGCCTCCAGTTCGGCGGAGTCTTGGGAGGCCGAAAAGATCATCCCGCTGGGGTTGGACACGACTACGAGATACCTAAAAAGATAATTATCGACTAAAAATTTCATCTCAAACCAGTGATACTCGTCGACAATCGGCACGACCACGTAGTCCTTCTCGAAAAGGTTGACGTTTCGAGTCCATCGTGCGATCGATTTATAGTTCTCCATGATCTAAAAAAAAAGACATTTTAATAATTGAGCATTCACTTGCCTTCCTAAGCCGCATGCGTCTGTTCGCCAAATTGTGGTGGGCGAGGCCGGCCGTGAGCTTTTGGTGGAAGAAGTTGGACATGATGTGGACGCGGTCGCTTCTAAATTAAACATTCGACTAGCCTAATTTTCGGAAGAAATATGACAATCAAAACTCACCGATCTTTAGGCCTCATCATCGTCCCAGCCACCAGGCGGATCCAGAAGTCGATCAGCGTGTCGTTGAGCATCAGCCCGTACTGGAGCCCTAAATCACAAGTTATTTTTCACATTAAAAGCCTGATTAACCTCGCATATCGGCAAACGAAAGCGCAATTTTATCCCGGCCCGTCGGTGGATAGGCGGTGAGCGTTGTCTCGCCGCTGAACGAAGGCTTGGCCACTTTTTCGACGGGCTGAAAAATGTTTAGCATTAGAGAAAGCCAGCGAGTATTGAAATCTAGATAAATTTCAATTTTCAAAGCGCTTCGTCGATAAAAAACGGAGGCTACCTAAATTTAGATAAAAACCCACCATATCTCCGGCATCGAGCACTATCACGCGTCTTTTTACGGTTGCAGCGCCGTTCGTTTGTCGTGCCCTTGGCGGGACCATCAGCGGCTGACGAATGGTAGCATTGAGGTTGGCCGCAATCGACGGTGCTGGCGTTGCGGTTTCGTAGAGAGCAGACTGAGTTAACAATTTATAAAACTAGGTTGAAAATCACCTCTGCTGGTAGCTGCTCCTTTCTTACGGCCTCGATTGCCTCCGTGCGTGTGGGCGTCAATTTGCCGGACGCGCGATCGAATGTGAGCCCTTCTTCGCTCAAGATTTGCAGCAATCCCTTCTCGTCTAGTGTTTCTGAAATCCCAAATAGTCAAAATAGATAGTTTATTCACCTGGATACGGCAGCAACGGGGTTTTGTCGTCGACGTTTTGTACCAACAAGCGCGTCCGCAGCAACTCGAGAAAGTCCGCCCAACTCTTGCTGAGCTTACGTCCGCCATCAGTCTCGCAGCTCACAAAGTTTGTAGATGGATCAGCGACCAGCAACAGGATCCTGAACAAAATTTACAAAATTTAGTCGAACCGCAGAATCGTACCTAGATGCCGACTTGGCGGGCCCGTTCTCTTGATCCTGAACGGGAAGACGCAAACGCTTAGCCGTGTTGCGGAAGACCTTCTCTTGTAAGCATAGACTGACGATTCGGAGTGGCTTCTCTTCACAGTAATAAACCTAAAAGAAGGGTATTCAGCCCGCCGTCAAAAACCACAAAACTTTCGAGGTCAACAATGCTTACCCCAATCGAGACCAGATGCTTAACACCAATGGCTAGCGGCAGGCGTGGACCGGCTGGAGGGTCTAACGTTATGCAGAATCGTGTTTCATCTGGCATTTCGAAGCCCTATATGAAAAATTTTAGAAAAAGTCAACGCAAATACCTGAATACTAGTCTGGCCCGGCGCCCCTCGAAGCACAGGGAAGCCGCCCAAGAAAACGGCGCAAGTGTGAAACTAAAATAATCGAAGTTTGTAAAAGCTTAGGGATGAAACCTCAATAGACCATTTTGCCCCGAGGGACGGAGGCTCGTCGCCTTCAGCCATACAGAAAAATGACCCAGAGTTGTTGGACTAAAGCTTAGTTTTACATAAAAGTATTTAGAAAGAGAAGACGCAACGGAAAATAAACTAAAAGAAAATGGACGTGGCGCCGAAAACGCCAAAATTTAAGTAGTAGTGTCCAGATACATTGCGATGCTTTATAAAGAGACAAGAGGACACGGAAAGTAAACTAAAAAAGAAAAGCCGCGGTGCCGAAGATGCGAAAATGCAAGTAGAGAATGCTTGATACGGTGCGATGCTTCGAATGATATCTGCTTGCCAATACGGTATTTTCCCATCGAATAAACAAACAGCCTTGCCGATATCGGAGACAATGTTTAAGTATTTATTGCAAGAAAAGCGCGAAAACACCGAAAATCAGAACAAAATATCCTTAACCGTAAGCAGCAGGAAGTATCACAAATGTTATCCTACAAATTCTGAGCGAGGGTTAAAAGTGAGGAAAGTAGAATTCAACGGCTTTTCTGAGCGTAAAATGCTTCGAGCTGTGTCTTGGCCTTGGTGACGATGGTGGGCGGGTCGAGGCAACGTTCCTTCAAGAGTGGCTTGACGATGTCGCGCAGCAGTTGCTTGTACTCGGCGCCGGAGATCAGCTTCTTCTTGAACGCCGGCTTCACCACCAGCATGACGTGCTTCTCGACGTCTTTCTAGAACAATTCAATGAGTTTTTAAAAATATAAAACAACTATAAGAAAGGCTAAACGTACGGTGTGTTTCTTGTAGAAGTCGCGATTGCAGTCGCCGTCGCCGTTAGGGGGCTTTGAGGAGCTGGCGGTCTTGGGATGTCTCTTCGGGTGCTCTTTCTAAATAAAAATTTTATAAAAACTACGCTTGCAAACTAAATACCTTGCCCTCTTCTCGGTCGTGTTTGTGATGCCCATTTGCAGATGTTGAAGAAACGGCTCCTGAAGCCAAAATTATTCTTACGTTCCAGAAGACAAATACCTTCGTTATCAGCCGTCTTCTGTTGATAGCTAGGGAGGCCGTAGGAAGAGGATGGCTTGATCGGGTTGTAGGTAGGCACTAAAAAAGGATTGAACTGAGGAAATGGACGTACTGCTAGAACCATAGGCCTCACGGCGCTGCTCGGCGAGTAGCTCTTCGCGTGACATCTTAGCTTTGCGCTTCTCGTTCTTCTGAAAAATCTTAGCATTGCGCTCTCGTTCTTCTGAAAAAGAGGTATAAAAAACGAGAAATAAACGCTAGATGGAAAAAATGTGAAAGACGAGCCAGAGATTAGAAGAAAAACAACGTATTCTGGCGGAATCTTCGAATTTCGGGAAAACACAATTTTGGTTGCAAAATAAAATACTCACTCCGTTCCGCAAGCGCTTTTATGCAATTCCGCCGACTCTCTTCCATGTACGCGCGATCACGAGCTGCTTTTTCTTTTGGGTCTTCGGATTCGGAGGGCGATCGCTGCTTTGAGGTAGATTCCAGCTGAAAATGAGTTTATTCCGGCTTTTTCGATTAAAAAAAACCCTTGCGATTTGGATGAAAAGCAAAAACTTACGCCGAGTGCCTGCGCGACGCTCGTTGACATTTTCCTATTCAGCGACTCTTTGTAATTCTTGAAATCCTCGGTGGCGACCAGCTTGTCACCTTCCTGGCGAAAATACTTGCCAGGGGCCAGCAGTTTCGTTTGCTCGTCGATGACGTCGCCGAGTAGATCCCTAAAATAGAATCATTTTTACCGCAAGATTTGTTAGAACTTGATCTTCGTGTTCAGACTCACACTGGAGGCACGTATTTGACAGGTTCTGGCTTCTTAGGCTTGGCAGTGACACGATTTAGCGGTTGGTCGAAGAGTCGTGATAAGGCAGAGCGGCTAAAAAGCTATGTTTTCGCTTGCGTCTTTCTACGAACGTGTATTCATCGGTGTGCTCGCCGTCAACTATCGAACTGTACCCGGCGCCGGTGGTCGAGAGCCTGGCGGGCTCGAAGAAAGTCCTAAGATTTTATTAGTATAAATGTAACGGAGATGCACCTGTGTTTTTTCGGGCTTTGTTTGCCTCCAGCTTCCTTTTTATTATCCCCCCAGAAATCATCCAAAATTCTCATGTGTCTTTTCTTCCCGGAACGCCGCCGTTTCTGAAAAAGCTTGATTGATAAAAGCGGATTCGGAGCAGTATACCTTCCTTCGCGTCACTTTCCCCTTTTTCGTTGTTTTAGTCGAGGCAGCCTTCTTCGGTTTACGCCTTCGCCGCTCAACTTTTGGCAGATTTTGGTGCCTGAAAAAGTATTATACTTTCAAGGAAAACTTACGAAAGGAGCGGCCCGAAATCGTCATCGTCCGATCCAAGGACGGCCGCGTCGACTCGGTGAAATCTCGGACCAGTAACCTAAAGAATCATTCCATTGCTACAACCAAATCCGGTTGCACCTCTTCTTCGGAGTCGTCTGGAAGTTCAACTTCCTCCTCGTCCTCTTCGTCTTCTTCATCGGTGTCCGTGAGCTCGTCCTCTTCTTCGTCACTCAATAGTGGCAACTCGTCCAGTTCTCTCACCAAACTAAAAAACACCTATATTTTTCAAATTAAAAACAAACTCTGTGATCCTCGAACGCACTCGTTCTGCAGCTGCCGTCCTCGGGATGGCCCGAACAGCTTGGGCGCGTCGTTGCTGGTTGCGGGATTGCTAAATTCTTTTGTAAATCCCTTCGAAAAATCCCAACCATCGTCCGCACGCAATTCGGGCAGTACCAGCTGCCGTCCGGGACATTTGACAACGGTGTAGGCAGGCAAAAAGTGTGAAAACTAAATAAAATTGACGGAAAAGGTAAAAAAAACACACCCCTGGTCACAACTGTCGCATAGTAATAAAACATCTTCGTCGGAGTTTCGCCCACAAACTTGGCAAGCCGTAAAATCTTCTTCAACCGGGTCCTAACAAGAATTAAACTAATCGCGAGTCAAGGAAGGCTTACATATACTTTCTTTTGTTCAATGGTCTTTTCTTTGACCGTCTTCCCGTTGTGTTTGAGGTAGATTTTATTCACTACAGCGCGGCAGTTTGGGCAATTTGTCGTCCGCTAGAGATATGAATATTAAATAGCATAAATAAAATCGAAAGTACCGCTATCCATTGCTCGATACAAAGCGGGTGAAAGATGTGCTTACACCCATCGAGTGTTGAATATTTCTGTAAAGAAAATGTCTAATAATGCACCAGTTATCGAACAAACCGAGCCTATTCGAGCCAAACATATGGGACACTCCTGGTCCACAGGTCGGTCCTCTTCTTTTGAGGTACTAGGCTCATCCATACCTGGGAAAAATCATTTAAAAACTGCTTGAGATCGATCTGCTACTACACAAATAGAAAATAGCAACATAACATTGGAAAAATTTAATAACACGCCCAGAAACTATTTTTAGCTGGCCCAGAGATTGGTCGCCGTTTTTTGTGTGAAATCAGCTGGTCGCCCGTAATCACCCGTGCGCGCAATCATCAACGCCTACAACATCTGCTGGGGAAAGGAAAGTAAAGTACTTCTAAGCATTAATAGTCGTTTTAAAACATGAAAACACAAAGAAAGCCGAAAAATTTAGTTTATAGTCTAGCGCCCAAAGTTTGTAGTTTGTGCTAGGATGTTGCCGCTGCCAAGAAAATCACATTATTAGTGAAATCTGCGGTTTTATTTATGCTTTTTGTCTGTAATTTTAAAATCCGCGGGATCAATGCATTCTTTGGACGATCCAAGTCCATCCCGAAATGGCACAACTTTCAACGATTTATTTTTACTTTTACGTTTGTTTTTGCGCCAAATAAATGCTTGCAGAGATCAATGGGGGATTTGGGTTAAGAGCTGTTTCGGGTTGGAGGATGGGGACGCTGAGGTGAAATGTAGGAGATTTCGGGATTTTAACTAGTTTTGCGATGAGACCAATGAGGGTTGAGGGTTGAGATGGAGGATCAGGGGGGTCGGATTGAACGATCTGTTATGTACAGCAGAACGGGAAGTGGAGACTTGAGGATGGTGAGAAGAAGACGTGTAGGGCCTGCCAGAGGCGATTTCAGTATTTTTGATGTCTGAAAAAGTGTGGTTAGGGAAAGTGGGCGCTCTCGCGGGCGGCGCCGAACAAGCGCGGGCTAGTTTCGAAAGTGAACGAATGCGCATATCTTGGCGGTAAATAGCAACGAAACCCGTTTTGTTCTATTTTTTGTGAGAGATATAGTTTTGAATGTGTACTGCTTTACTTACCCCTCCCCCATGCAGCCGATTAATTTTGAGGCGTATATCGGCTCCCCTTTACGTTACGGGGCTGTAAAGTGCACCAAAATGTTCGCCTTGGCCTAATTTTCAAGAATACATTGCAATTTGAGCCGAAAAAATCCCGGAGGTAAAAAATTTAGGGTATAGTCGCCGGAATCTCGGCTGGGAGAAGCGCACGAAATCTAGTCTTGCCCTTATTTTAGGCTTTTTCTGACCTTCAGACTACGTTCAAAACTGCAAACGATTCAAAGGGGTTTTTTGTCTGAATTCCAGACAATTTCGATAATTGGCTCTTGTAGAGAAAACCCACACTCACTTTGAAATGGTATTCTGTGACGGGTAGGTAGGGCGATGCTAAAAACGTATTTATTTCATTTTGATATTTTTAAATACCTGCGGCGGGTATCTATTAACCCCGTGCGCATAGCTGGATGGTTGACTGATCCTTGGCACGGCCGGCGGGGGCATCGACGTGTTTGGCGGGCGGTGTTGTTGCCCATACTTTTGCTGTTGATTCTGATGGGCGGTGTAGGCTTTGTGAGGCTAAACGTTGGCGTAACTACGTAACGTAACGAAATTAATTTTTAGAGGTTAATAGACATTTCGTTAATGTTCCATACCTGGGATATCGAGACCCTTTGTTGTTGCTGGTGTTGGCGTTGTTGCTGTTGTTGCTGTTGTTGTGCCGCCGCGGACGTGGATTTTCCGAGGATCTAAAAAGTTAGGGTTCAAAGAGGGGTCTAACAGATAAGGGTAGATAGTTTTTTGAACGTAATTTTAGCCATGCAGGATTTGCGACATTGAGCACACTCCGTTAACTAAAGGGTCTAGGTGTGGGGAGTTTAACTAAGTTGGGATAAAGGATTTGAGGTTTGGTAGTCACGCCGGGTTGAGATAGAATGTCAGAATAGGCTCTAGAGTGTAGGTAAGAGACATAATTAATAGTCCCTGGTAGTTTCTAGATAATTTTAAAGTATCTATTAAACGGTACCCATCAGAAGGATATAGTGAAAGCGCCCGATGAAACCATAAAATTAGTCTAGTTCGGTTTAGAAATGATATCCCCGTACCCCGAGGAGTTGCTGGGTGGCGGGTGATTGGGATTGGGCGAGTGCTTGGAGTTGTTGTTGGATGGAGGGGGTTAGCAGGCATTGCGAGGCAGGCAGCGTCCCTACTTGGCCGAGTCGGGTGTGGTCCACGCGCGTGTCGCCCGACTCGTGCGAGCTGGTCGAGCCGGCTAAAGTGTAATTTGAGTTGTTCTAGGTATTTAACATACCAGGAGATAGGAGGATCGAGTTGGCCTTTTTCCGCACGATCGGGTCGAGTCGGTTGATGGCGTTCTAGAATAGAATTTTTTGGGTTTTTTCGCAGTATCGGGGTCAGCTTTTTAACCTTTACCGAAAAACTTTACAAATTGGATTAAAAAACATGAAAATACGGATTTATCGCCCAAACCGGCCAGAACCATTTTTTCCTAGGTTTTCTGAATAGTTTTTGCATTTGAAAAATTCTTCTTAATATATGGGATCTTGTTGTTTGTATTATCCTTGTTTCTCTACTCACCAAGGACTTCGGATTGATGCCAGAAGCTGTATTCCCGGAAGCCGCATGACTTGCTGCAGCGGCCGCAGCAGCCGCAGCCGCCTTTGCCTTGGCTGCGGCTTCCTTGGCTTCGCGGGCCCGCCGTTGCTCGGCCTTTCTTTGCAAGGTCTTCTTGTACGCCATGAACACGTCGTGCTTTGTCGACTCGACCTGCTTCAGCTTTTCCTTTGTGGTTTCAAGCTAAAATTCTGGTTTTATCGTGTTTCCGGGCTTACCAGTTCTTCTACTTTCACGAGCTCGACGACAGCTTCTTCCTTTTTTGTTTCTTCCTCTATTCGTCGCCTTTTCATTTCTTCGACGCGCTCGACTTCTAGAGGGTCATTTAATTTTGTTTTTTTGTAGCAAAACTAACTATTTTTAATGGATTCCGCCCTCATGGAAATATGCCTGAGCATGGCTTGGCGGGTGAAGTCGGTTACGACAAGTGGTTGCCATCCGATAGGGACACATTCCCCTGAAAATTTCAATTTTTGCTTAGGTAAAGGTTTTTAAGGTGTCGGCTAGCTTGTGATTTTTCGCACCTTTATTTTCCGGAAGTACGATTTCCCCATCAGGATCACCGTTGAGGCCGAGTAGGGATTGAGGTAGGTATGAGAGCAGTGGTTCTAGTAGTGAATCGTCCAGGTCATCGTCGGGCGGTTCCCCCAAGGGGGGCGCCGAAGCGTCCCCCCGGGACGCCGGCAGGGATCCGGGGGCCACCTGGAATTCGTGTAAGGTTACGGTAGATTGGGCGATAGGTAGAAACAGGTCGAAGCTTCTCGTATATGTAACGTTGGCCTGATAGTTTTTGTTGATGGTAAATTCCGCTGTTAGTTGCAACACGCAAAGCCAAGTAGCTGGCTACCGCGTGGCTACGACGATGCATTACGCCATGAAATGACGAGATGCTACGAAATCCGTCCGGAAGCGATAGTTATGCCTTACACGCATCTTTAAATTTTGATAATCAATGTAGTTTTTGCGCTGTATTTAAGCCGTCATAATAAAACGTAATCAAAAAGGCAAGACAACGCGTTGCGTGTCACGTTTGCGCCAAAATCCGTAGGAAATTTATAGTGAAAACAATATCCAAGTCATAGCCCATCAGGTCCGTTAAAATCCAGTAATTTTCAGATAACGTGGCTACAACCACTTTTTTACATTTAAAGAAACAAAGTATAGCGAAAACTTTATTAAAAATGGCAGAAAACACACGAGCACACAGTTTACATACATGTAACAGCAACGGTTTCTTACAAGTCTCGGGGTTTTTTTAAGCGAACCGAATCGGGATTTGTTTTAAGGCATGTGCCGGTTTGGGGGAAAGCTACCATTAATGCATCACAGTCGACGAATCGTGGGGGGCGGGGAAAGTGAATGAGCGAACCGGTAAAAGATGTATGGGGATTTTTGGCGGTATCTCACAAGGCTGGGAATTTTGAGCAAGCTTTTGGGGGACAGCGGCGTTGATTTTGAGGGGGATTTTTGATTCAGCAGAAACATTCTAGAATGGCTAGGCAGTTGGTGGAGGACCGTGAGACAAGGAAAAGGTACTTTAAAACGGCTAGATAATTGGGAAAAAACGTGGAAATTTTGTATGATAAATACATTATAATTCATCCAGAATTCCAACATGCTCCGCGCCGAAGACGGTGCGGTGCCAGCGGTCCGGGACACGGCGCGCCTGGTTTTTGAGGACCTGGCAGAGTTTGTCCTGAAAAAAAAAGTGTTAAACAGTGGCCGGAAACTCACGTCGTTGAGCTTTGCTAGGTCCTGGATCTTGACGTTGGCCTCCAGAGCTTTGCAGGCTCGTTTCAGCTCGGCATCGGTGCGGAAGAAGAACCATTCTCGGATGTCGTTAGCCTGAAATAGTTTTATTCATGGCGATCTGAAGGCATACAGCAGTCCTGTGAATGCTAAAGGCCTAGCAACCGCTAAATTCAACCCCTCCCCCTTGACGAGGCGTCGACAGCTACGCCACGCTCCAAAGACGCTCAATCTAATTTTGTTGGCCATTAGCAACGTGATGTTTGAGCAAAATACATTCCTTTTACACTCCCTTTGAGATTAAGCTTAGAGATGGGCTGAAGGATATGCTTCTCTTCGGTTAAGTTACGCTTCGAGGCTAATCTTTCAAAGCTTTGCTCATCTAGTTCCACTTCTGACTCCACCAACCTCAATGACCAAGCAGGTGTGATGCTCAGTGACGATCGCGACGCCAGTGAGAAGTTCATCTAACCGAAGCACCAAGAGCGCTCTCATAAACTCATCACGGAGCAGCTTCTCCCCCTCCTGGCAGATCACCAGGTGGGTGTCGGTGAGAATCAGGGCGCAGGAAACAGCGTCTTCTCCGTCCTCCTGAAAATCGGGTCCTTAGAATTATCTAGAATCAAGGTTATGCTAGGCGAAAAGCCGGTTGCCCCAAACTTACAGGTGATGACAGAGCAATGCTCAGCAAATGCATCCATTTTCCCATTTCTTCACGGGAGGTACACTGCAGTTGAAGCGGGGCCTCTTCCGGACGATCGGGGAAGATGATCTGAAATTTTTCAGTAAGGTTTTGTTTCTAGTTATTCCAAATTCCTTTTTTATTTTCGTTTCTCACCTGCAGCCCAAAGCTGTGGTTCTTCTTCAGCTCGACCTCGTGCGTCTCCACGGCCCCGCCGCTCAGGCTAATGACACGCTCGCCAAATTTGCACGTGGAATCGGTGAAGACGTATAGTTTGGAGCCTCTGGAATTGGAAGTGGATTTCACTCTCGAATCCTTTAAAATCGTCTAGGAAGTGAAAATCGACCCCTTTCAAGGCCTAGGTCTCGACAGCACCGAACTACGCCAAAATACACTAAAATCCAATCAGAACGAAAAGTTCATGCTCCGTACTTAGGTGTATCCGGTAGTTGTCTAGACCTAGTTGAATCTGACGCTTTCTAGGTTTTTGACATCTGCTTTATACAGAAAATTACCTGTAATTTGACAAGCTCATTATTATCATTCCTGATTTTTAAAATTTTTTTGCCGTGATCTGACTTACTGTAGCAAGAAATAGCTCTGCTTCCAGTCGTCGTTCGGCCGCTTCCACCAGCTCAAATCCAGCGATCTGTGCATCAGATATCCCTGATGAGACGTTTCCGGGCCAGTGGCAGAGACGCTTGTCTCTCTCCAAAATACTGCAGAAGTATGCTTGACTTTGGGTGCCTAAAAAGTGGCTGGAAGTCGAACATAAAACTGAGTATACCTCTGCTTTCAGCTCCTTTTTCAGGAATCGTCGAACGATGAGGCTGTACGGCGTCGTGTCGCTGAATATGGGTGGAGCACCACCTTGCCGCCCTCCTTTTTCAGCGGCCTAGAGATAAAAATATTTATATTTACTCGGAATATCAATTTAAGCTAATAGAGATTGAGAGAGAGCCAGAGAGAGAGAGAGAGAGTGAGAGAGAGAGAAAGAGAGAGACAGAGAGAAAGCCCCCAAAAATAAATAATATGCCTACCCGACATATCTCATCGGCGATGACCTTGCCGAGCTTCATATCCCCGGCGGCGATTGAGACCACCTTTCCGGATAGCCGATCGACGTCGTGCATCTGAATTTTAAATTATTTAACAATTATAAGTAAAATCTACCGCAAATTCAATGTCCTTCTTGGCAAAAAGGAGTACACACTGCGCGTCGTCGCTCAGTCCCAGGTAATCGATGGCTTCCATCGGGGCCTGGCAATGGGTGTGGTATTCCACGGATGTCCCCAGGGTTTCCGCCACTCTGAAAACAAAAATTAAAAGCGTACTAGGACCTGAAAAATACATATCAACGCTGTAAAGTATTAAAGCTGCGATTTTTACGCTTTTCCAACCACTTACTCCTCATTTTCAGCCCCAAAATTTGCCACCGTCTGCGACAAGATGTAGACGTTGCTCTCGGTGATGGCGAGAAGTCTGAAAAAAGGTTAGGTACGCACTAAATTGTAAAGTTATAATGTAAATACATTATACACCTTAAAACGTCTAATTCCCACCTCTCGGCCGGTCTCCCGACGACGAACGTCTCGAAGACTTGGTAGCATTTCAGGAGGGATTCCGCCTGCGTGCCGGTGAAGACGTCCATCGAGAGCTGGAGTGACTCGTTGGCTTGAAGGCTGAAGAAATCAATGGTATTTCAATAAATAAATTAATATAATCTGGCTTAAAAGCTTAGAGGTCTATCTCCTAACTTACAAAACTTCTCCGTCAACCTTCGTTTCTTCGGGCGGGGCCATCGTCTCCTTCATGGTGCTCGGCAGCTCGAAGAGGCTGTCGAATGATGCGGCGACCGCCTGGAAATTTTTGCCTTGAATTAATTTGGAGTAGATTTTTATCGCTATTTCCATAGTTTGAAGTTGGAGTTTGTAGTCTAAGCTAACTTCAATCGAAAAGCCTCTCACATCCGGACCCATACTGCCGAACAGCCCAGACATGTTGCGCTTGGAGATGAGGATATCCAGAGCTGCAACGGGTTCGTCAACCTCTTGCGATGTGCGCGGCTCCATGACGTCGACCTATGAGGAGCTTTATAGCATTTGCATGGTATCGTTTTTCTATAAGGCCAGTTAAGGTATCCTTTACTTAGAAATAACTAGGAGAGCGGCAAGAAATTCATATTTTCAACGTTCTTACCGTAGTCCCGTTCGGCTGCTGTCCAATTAGCTTGTTCTTCTGATTCCGAGTGTTTAGCAGGTCGCCGAGCATGAAGTCCTGCAAAGGAGAGCGTTACTTTAATCAGGTATGTTCGCGACGTACCGTATCCATTGCGGTTGGCATTGAGACCTTCATCGTCGGGGCTTGGACGGGAGGCTCCGATTCTGAAGATTTTCTGTGTTTTACAGCCTTTCGAATATCTTTGTCGTTAAAAGTCGCCACTTGCTATAAAAGATTATGCTCACCCGACTCCAATCGATTCCGGATCTTTTTGGTGATTCTCTGACGCCGCATCGTGACCACCGGGGTGGACTCGACGACGACGGCGGCCGGGACGAATTCTTGAGCGGCGGTTGTGGGACTCTGCAATAGAATTATTTTTATTGCAAACTTTTAACGTGGTGTCAATTTAAAAAAAAATTAAACAGCAAATCAGCTATTTTTCCGCCTATTGTGAATAGTAACAATTACACTACCCACCACAAACGAAAACATGACGTTCGTCAACCGCTCGCTCTCGACCGTCACGTTCTTCAGCAAAATCTGGTTCCGCATGCACGAGTTTGGGTGGTAATACTTGTTGACGAGCTTCCTTAAATCCCTGATATCAATTTCCTTCCTCCGCTCTTTTCGACTCACTTGTTCTGCTGGATGGCCAACATCTGGAAGTGAAAAGATCCGCGGTTCAGCGCGTCTTTTAGCCAAGCTATGGAGAGAGCACGATCGGATGTGCATTGCCACTCGACCTAAAAATGGAATTACCTTATTACAAAATTATTATAGTTGATTCTTTTGTTTTGCTTTCCGCCCGTTTTGGCTCACCTTCAACAACTGCGTCTCAGTTTTTGGCAAAAACTCGCGCACAAAGGGCCAATAGCACTTGTTGCAGGCGAATAACCTAAAAAAATTATTCTCCTAAAGTACAGTTTTCCTACCCATATCCAAGGAACGTGTCCAGCATGTTGAGCAGCTTCTTTGCATTTGCTTGGTCGATTTGGACAACCTTAACTCGTCGAATCAAATTTTATTTGGTGACCTACCTCTTTCTCCTGTGCAATTCGATGAATGAGTGCGAGCAGTTGCTTTTCGAAAATCGGGTGTTGGTCTTTTTTGGCCCGGACCTCGGGCTTTAATGTGATGGGACTCAGGTGGAACATCTTGCTGAAAATCGCTGGATTAGTAGGACTATAAGTTTTTTTAGCACAAAAAGCTTGATTTTAACGCTGACAGCTGAACGCCTAGTCGATAATTGCCCGCCCATGCCCCCAATAAAATCGTACATTTCGCCTCTCGTTTTGCAAAACGAACCTCTCGGACTGTCGGCGCCTCTCCTGCCCGCCAAATGTCTCATGCCTCAACGCTGGCTTCCGCGGAAACTGTGATTCACTGCGCGCCGCCGGGAATCACCTGTAATTTATTTGTTTTATTAGCCGGAGAAAGGACAGCAACGAAAATGGAAAGCAATTTAAATCTACATAAAAACAAGCTAAGAAAAGGACCTATAATTTAGCTGAAAAACCAGTCGACTAGAAACCCGTTACTATGACACAGAAGGTATAAAAGTAACACGCAATGTAGGGTACCGGGAAAACGAATCAAATTTGAGCTAGACAATATCGTGGCAAAGACAAGAGGAAACCGGGATTAAAAAAGGGATTCGAAGACACGTAATCGCAAATCACCTAATGTGCGAGGCCTATTTTTCATCCCCGGGGCAACAAAAACGCATTTGAAACTCTATAAAAATCACAACAATTAGCGTCTAGCATCTATTTCTTCAAATCAGCGAGAATCTTGTCAGCCGCCTTCAGCGTCTCGTCCTTCTTGAAGAAACAAGTGCGGATGAGGTTCGCGTTAGCATGCTTGTGCTCCGGCGAGTAGAAAGCCGAGGGTGGGATCGTGGCCAGCTTCTTTTCCTTGCACAACCAGCGGACAAAGTGGAAATCCATCGGCTCTTGGCTGGACTCGGCCAAATTTTTGTAGTCTCCATCAACGGCTGTGTAGTCGGCCATCATAAAATATCCAGCCTGGGGCATAATCGGCCTAAATCCCGCATTTCTCAGCGAGTTGGCGAGCTGATCCCGCTTGGCCTCTAGCTCGGAGGCGAGGCCCGTCTTCAGGTAGCTGCTGGCCGGGTCCGTCTTCAGCAATTCGTACTCTTTTTCGAATCCTTGGGCCACGGCTTCTTGGATCGGGGTTGGGCAGGTGAAGACGCAATTTTGGTGAATTGTCTTCAACGGCTCGAGCAGATTTTTAGGCCCGACCGCCCAGCCAAGCTTCCAGCCAGTAACGGAGAAAGCCTTTCCAGCGCTACCGACGGTAATTGTGCGATCGTACATTCCGGGAAGGCTGGCAAAACGGACCATTTCATTTCCGCCATAGACATGCCATTCGTAAACCTCGTCGGCGACCACAATCAAGTCCTTCTCCTCAACGAATTTGGCCACCTCCAAAAGTTCGGCCCGGCTGAAAAGCTTTCCGGTCGGGTTATTCGGGTTGTTCAACACGAGCATTTTAGTTTTTGGTGTCCAGGCGTCGTACAGCTTCTTCACGTCGAGCTTGTACTCGCCAGCCGACGTTGCATCCTTCGGCAGCTCCATTGGGATCGAGATCGGCTTGCCACCGGCCATGATCGTTTGAGGGGTGTAGCAATCGTAGGCGGGCTCGATAATCAGAACCTCGTCTCCGTGATCGATCCAACCGGCAAAGGTATAGTACAACGATAGATAAGCTCCGACCGTCACCATGACATCAGTGTTGGCATCAATTTTTCTCGCAAAGTGGTCTCCGTAAAGCTTGGCGAGTATGTTGACGAGCCTTGGATGTCCATATCCTCGGGTATATTGATGCCAATCGACCCGCTCCGGATGCTGCGCAATGTTCTCGAGCAGTTTCGGCACGAATGCGGGCGGGGCGAAATCCGGAAATCCTTGCCCAAGGTTGACCGCTTTCGTCTCGGCGGCCAGCGTCGTGAACTCGACCCAGATGCTCGGCTTCGCGTCTTGGGCACGTTTAGCCGGGGCGACCATCTTCCCTGAATTCCGACCGATCATCTGCCGCACGGCCTGCATCGCGCGAGAACGGAGAGAGGGATCGAAGGCCTCAAAAAGAGAAATAGGAAGGATTTTAATTTAAAAGTGGTCCGGCGTGTTTTTAGAGTAAGAATTAACGTAAGCTTCAAAACGAAGCCGGACGACTTTTAAAAACACTGCAAACTGGCATGCAGAAAACACCGAGCCGAAAAAGGGAAGGATCCGAAATATAGTTAATTGCTCCTATCAAAGTGCCGGAAAGTTCGCGTGGTACAAAAGAATGTGCCGTGGAGTAATTTGAGTAATTCTATTATTCTTTTAGAGTATCTAGACGAAAATACGAGCTTTTTCAGCATAGATAACTTTAAACGAACGCTACGCTAGATTTCATGAATAAAAGTCAAGCCGAGCGTTTTCTACGAATTTTCATTGTGCAATTAAAAGATATTCAAAAGAAATAAAGACTAAAGAATAAAATTAGCATGGAAAGCGGCGGTGGGGCGGCAAGTTTCACGCGATAACAGCGCGCTGAACATTTGCCAAGTGACGAGGAGGGCGTAGAGAAGACAGGGGGTCGCTGTGGGACCCTGGGGCAGTTTGCAGATAGGAAAGTATGGGAATCATTGGTGAGGCAGAATAAACATTAATATTAGACTCCGAAATACCTGAATCTAGAGAGAAATATGTGAAACAGAAGGTAAAATTAAAAAGAGTGTTTCAAAGTCGGTCTGGGAACCTGAAAACGGGTTATTGAGTTCGAGACTTAAAAAAAAACGCTGAAATAAGAGTATTAGAATCTACTGGAATAATAAAGCACGTGAAAACATGAAGAAACAGCCTTCCGTATACTTGAAAAACATACTTTAGGGTGCAGACTTGTTATCAAATCAAAGAGTCGGCACCGGAGGGGGGAACATAGCCCCAGGCTACGTTTCTCACTTTGGTGCGCCGACACCTCACTGACCTCTAAAACGCGGCGGGAAATCCCCCCAGCTATTTATTCATCCCTCTCACTATTTTCCCCAAACTACCAAACACCGACCGATAATGCCCGACTTCCAACTTCCAGCTAACCCCCCCGGCACAACCCGATCCAGATTGCCAGGTACTCTCCACTTTATCCCTCCTTTTGGTGTTTTGATAACTGAAATAGTAACCTACTTTTCTCGTTTAGAAATGCGATGCGCTGATCGCCTCCAGAAACCCGGCGGCCCTCTGCGCCCACTTCCTCGAGGCGCACCCCGAGCAGATCTACACGAAAACAATCGAATGCATGTGGTGCACATTTACGGTTAGTACAAGATTCGTCATTCAATGACTGATTTCTTTTAGGCCAAATCTGTACCCGAAGTGGCCCGACATCTCGCGCAATGCCACAGCCTCGCCCCCAGTGCAATCACGCCGATCACAAGCCTTTATCAGAATTTTTTGAATGGCACCCCGCAGAAGCGCTGTTTTTCTGTAGGTTTTGTTGACAATTTCTGTATCCATTTTTCTAGGAATCTGATCCGCAAGCTGCCGGAGACGTTGGGACTCCCGCTAATACGAGGCTCAACCATTTAGTCGAAACTCCGCCTCACTCGCCCGAAGGTCCTGCCTGCTCATTGGTAGATGAAAAAGGTTCTTCGCAGTCCGAGGTAATTCCGTTTTCGATTATCTATCATTCTTTAGGAGTCTTTTCCGAAACCCGAACAGTCCTCTATCGACTCACGCATCGCCGAGCAGGAAAAGGAAATTGCCCGCCTGAAGGAAGAGCTGGTAGTTATTTTTTTGAGAGTCTAAAAACTTTACTATTTTAGGAAATCACAGAGGATCGCCTATTGTGCGTGCTGCGCAAAAATGATGCGCTTGAGGATGAGCAAGAAGAGGTTTGCCTTCAAAGATTGTAAGAAAAACGTTATCATTTTTAGTTTCACGCCCAGATCGGCGAGCTCACCATCGAGAATCGACGGCTGAAGGCGCAGCTCAAGGGTCGCAGCCGCCAATCATCGAAAACGGATAGAACGACTATTATCGAATTGGATTGAATTTTAGTCGAAATTTTTATATCTTATTGTATGTATTATTGGCATTGTCACGAATGGTGTTGAATTTGAATTGCTTTGAGATATCAATCTGTTGTTTTTCTTTTAGTCTTTCTGGACTAATAATAGCTTCATCCCTGTATTTGATTTTGTCAGTTTTTTTTGGTTGTGTTTTTGTTTGGTATTTTGGTGTGAATAAATGGAATCAAAAAGCATTTCGTAGGGAAGAAAGTATCACACCTGAAAATAGGCTTTTGTTGCACTCCGAACGCTGCAAATTGGTGTGAACTTTCCGGTTGACCGGAGAACCGGGGAAACCACCTGACATTCCCAGGATTGCTTTTCGGACTTGAGAAGTTGTCAATAAACGGTCGATGGCTCGAGGTATTTCTAATTCAAGTCTGGAACATTTCGTCACGTTTTTCCAAATTTCCAGGGCTACACGCGTCGCGTGTGGGACCGTAAATGCGAAACGGCTTCATCTATTACTCATGGCAGAATTCGGAGCTCATGAATCGTGACTGAATCGCTAATTCTTTAGGCATTTCGGTTCCAGGCTTGAGCAAAACCTGTAAAACCCGTTAGAAATTGCTCATCAGTGTTTAGCTAGAGCCTGATACCTATTTAAAAATGGATGCATATTTGAAAAGATTTTCACAAAAATCGAAAAAATAGCGTTGAAGACCCCGCTCAAATATCTTTTTGCTATAACCTTTTCCATTACATTATTTTGAGCTGTAATTAAAACTCGTAGCATAATTGCTGATGCTCTATCAATTGACGCCTATAAAATGTCGAAATTTCGAAAACCCCCAAAAATTAGTCGTATATTTTTCGATGCTCTATCGAATGTCGTTCAAAATCCGGAAATACTCGAACATCCAGATTTCTCGAAAACGTTGATTCAGGGGCTGGCTAGCAGCGATTCATTGGGAAATCAGAAGGACGGCAAATTTGAGTGAAACTGGTTTAAGAATCAATTAGCGTGCTAAGCCTGTTAAAAACATCAAAAGCGGCGCGACAAAACCTCAACGTTTCAGAAATTCTCTGGGCCGCAGGGTTAGAGCCCCGCCCGGATAGCCTCCCCCAGCTTATTCATGAATGGGGGCTCTTCTAGGGGACATTTGAGGGTGGAGAATGTCCGCGGGTGGCTGGCTGTCCACTAGGGCCATCTCTTCTCCCGCCTTCTTCTTCTAGCTTGAGGTGGTGGCCGGCCATTCCCTCCCCCCAATAACGGGCACCCCCTCAAATACTGCTCGCCTAGCCAAAAGCCCCGGCTCCAGCTCCCACCCCCATCCACCACCACCACCCCCATTCCGGGGGGCTCACTTCGATTTTCGCCAAAGCTTCCAGTACCTATGGCGGTTTTCGCTCTTCCTTGTTTTGTTATCTTACACTGAATTTCTGGCTTTAAAATGAGCTTAATTAGTGTCAAAACTATGTAAAAACTACACTATAAAGGCATACACATGCAAGTGCCATAAACCCGGAATAGAACTATTGCCTTCTTAATAGCATAACGCATTCTACTAATTCACGTAGAGTTTCGAGTTTCTAGAGCCTGTAGTGTTCATAGGAGCGCTACGCTTTGGTATGCAGACTACAATGGGCTTCGCTGCACGCGTTTATTCTATTCGCCGGTTGCAGCTTATATAAATTTATTTTAATGCATATTACTGTAGTAAGGACATCAAAGCAGATACTTTTCCATAAAGCTGAAAAGTATAACGCTGTTTATTGACTTTTTTTAGGGCGTTGAGAGCCCGACAAACTCGATAGTAGTGTGTATAGAAGCGTTACGTTCCCGACTTTAGACTGCAAGGGGCTCCTATGTACTCGTTTATTCTATGCACCGGTCGCAGCTTGTTGCTGCGTAATTTTGAAGGTAATTTTTCTCTTTAAAAGAACGCAATATTAAATAGTGAAATTGGGATCTGCCACAATTGTCTCCCTTTGTCTTTTCATGTCTGTCCCTCTGTCCACCCCCATGCGTGATGGCCGGAAGCTTGTTGTCGGGCGGCCCGGGGGCAGCGTGTTCGGGTCCCGGGTCTTTTCAGTTCCGCGCGGTTGAATTCCTTCAATTTTGGGCCCCTGAAAGCGGGCCCCAGGGCTTGCTGTTCAGCCGTGGCATTTGGCATCAGCGGGCTGAATAGTTTTCGGGGTGGGCAATCGATTCTTTAGGAATAGGCTCTTTTTGAACCAAATGTTTGGAAGATTTGCATTACATTTATCGATAGTTTTTCTATATTTTATGACCTTCCTCTTCACTACATTCATATATTCCGATCGCCATTACTACCACCCACATCCCCCGCTCTCCACACCCGAATTGCCCTCATCTAATTTCCCGCCTAACATTCCTCTGGGTGGTGTCAAGTGGCCCGGGCCCTCTTCGGACCTTCGGCCCCGGAAATTGGCCTTGTTTAGGGTTATCCCGGGCCCCTGGCATTCATTCTGGGTACCCATTTTTGGGCCCGGGCCCACGCAAATCCGTTTTTGGACCCCCGGCTTTTCGCCTTTTTGCTGGATGATTCTGACCAGGCAGATGGTGCTCTTCGTTCTCCGGACGACGTCTAGTGTCCGCAATTCCCGGCCCCTAAGGAAATCCCCTAGAGAATTGAGCCCAAGAAGAGGAGGGAGGGGTTGACTAAATTCTTTACCATCACAGCCACTCCGACCCGCTCGCTAATGCCGTTGCGGGGAATTTGAAGGAAGTGGATTTCGAGGGGGTGGTGTCCTTTGTAGTGGGCTATTGTTTACCAGAGGGCCACTATTCTGCGTATCTTATTTTGCGGGTAGTTGTGAAATTTGGATTTAGCAGACGCTTAGAAGCTTGGAATTCCCTAGAATTTTTTTTGTCGAAATTATTGTTCTTGTAATAATAAAAGCTAGAATGTCAGTATTACTTTATATAGCACTCACTTCGAGACAGATATTCCCTTTTAAGCGTTGTTTCGCGTTTCCTAGATACGATGCTTCGGTTTCTGTATGTATGTTTCTGTTTCTGCGGCTCAACCTTGCCTTGCCGGTCCTCGTAGGAGTATTTTTTTAAGTTAATTGTCCGTATGGGTTATTTTAACCGTGCCTACAGAACCGTCTCCTTTGTATCGCAATCTACATGGCAGCTTCACCCCTACCAGAACCTTTGGCGCTACTTGGAAGCGTTTCTGCTCAAAGGTATAGATGGTACTTTACCTGGGCCATACTCGCTGAAGTTGCCAGATTCTGAACAGAGTAGTGTTTTAAAATCCGTTCCACTGCCACCCGAATTTTCTCACGAAAGTCTCTCTAGCCGAATGCCGAAAATAACGTGAACCACCTTTCGTGGCGGGACCCTTATGGCCGGCCGCTACGAAGACGCGTTAATGAGGGCTTCTCTCCGCATATTTTCGGGGGGTGACGGCTCAAATTTGTTCCCGGGCAAGCGAGTGAGTAGTATTCGGCGGGGTGGCTCTCGCCCTGGGTAAGATCAGACATTTTTTGCACGTTGTACCAGCCCCCGATGAAGCCGTTCAGGCAATGGGGAACATTTTTTGAGCCCCTGCAGATTGGCATGGGGCTCAGGTGATTTATAGCAATAGAAATTACTACATTTTAGGAAGCTATATAACGCATCTAAACTTAACTTTTCTGGATCTGTTCTATATAAGCCTACGTTTTCTTCGATTTGTTTTGATTTAAAATGTCTAAAAATTATTTTAAAAGATCTGAGTGATCTAGAAGTTTTCATCTCTTCGAATTTTGCCTAAAAGCCATCTATTTTTTGTTTCAATTTTTTTCGTATTTAATAACGTATTTTTAATGAAAAAAATCCGGACTTTAGATGATCCTCGTGATTAGAGCTCGGAGTAATCTAGGATTTTTCAAGTATTCAAAATTTTTCCTTTTCGAGTGTTTTTTATAAAGTTTCCTTCAAGTTAGAATTTCTCGAAATTTTTTGCCTGACAGCCTAAAATCATAGATTTTTCGGTATTTTATGAATAGCCCCTGTCCTACCGGATTTCACTGGCTGACGGCGACAATAAGCCAGGTTGGGTAATGCATAAACAATATGCTGTTTTGCCGGCACAAATTCCGTCTCCGGACCGGGTAACGGCTAGCCGGCTAACCCTCGAAAAAGGGCAATTCGTCTTTGGCGGGTGTTCGCCAGTGGATTGCCGAATTTTCTATGCGCTACGCCGGGTCTTTTGCTGTTTTTCTCCCCTCTGCGTCACTGGGTGGGGGCCTGAAATTTGATCCGGGTTGCCCGAAAAGCGGGGGTTCGAGTATTAGGGCTTCAACGATCGTTTCCGGAGCTTTTCGAGGTGTTTTGTTTTGGGAAGGTGCTGAAGCCGAAGCCTACGCCGAAGCGTAAGCCGAAGCGTAATTCTAAGCCGAAGCCTAAGTTTAATGCAGGCGTAAGCATGAGCCTGGGCGGAAGCCTAAGCCTATGCCTAAACATGTGTCCAAACCTAAGCCGAAGCCTAAGCCCAGCTCAACACAAAGACTAAGCCTAAGTCTGAGCCGAATCTAGACCTAAACTAAGCCAAAGCCTAGCCCTGCCTGAGCCTCAGCTCAAGCCTAAGCCTTGACACTATTCTGACGCTTGCCCCTCGAATCCGGGTGGAGTTTGGCTCCAACTCTTTCCGCTCAAACCCGCTCACACGGAACGACATCGCTTCCATTTTTTCCGCCGGCATCCGGTCTTCCAAGAACCAGTTTTTTTTGTTGCCATAAAACAAAAAGTCTCTAAAAAACTATATTAATTTTTCAGACGATGAATTTGCTCGGCATTCACCAATCGGCCTCCCGGCCCAGCCTGATGTCGTCGTTTTGGAGTATCCACGCCCAAGTGCCGGTAAGTGGATTATGATCGTAGAATCCAATGCTTAGAAGTTGTCATTTAAATCATATTAAGCAATAAGATTTATTTAGAACAATGACGCCGACAGTTTGGACATGAAAAACTGTTCCTTGATATCGCTACCGGACGCGGCTAGTCACAGTTTAATTAAATCGAAGGCGTCGAGGAGCTTAACAGGTTGATGGCAAAAAAAATACAGCACGATACCTATTCTAATGCTTTTTGATTTTTGAATTGAATTAAAAAGCAGCTTCAAGTTCAAAGCGTATTTTTCAAATTTTTCCGTTTCGATATTTAAGCAAATTTTGGCACGCTTTTCATGACGATTTTGCAGATAGAATACTTTGCTTTTTGGAAATAATTTTTTCAACAAATTGCGGCATTAAATGTATAATTTAATGTTGATTTAAGCATCAGAATTGGATTTGTCGCTATTCATCGTAGTTAAATTAACAAAACTCATGAAAATGATGTTATTGCCAACAATCTTGGTAGCTTTGGAATTTTCCATCAAACGTAGAGGTGCTCCTTAAATCGCGTTTTCTAAAAATTAACTTTTAGATTTACGAGACGAAGACGCCTACAACCGTTCCGGTCTCTTCACCAGCAGAGAACACGAGGACATCCATCTGGTATGCAAATTTGAGTGTTCGTCCATACCCTCGATTTCTCTAGACGAAAAACAAGGAAAACATCTCCGTCAACATCCAAGAATGGCTTCAAAATGTCCAGCCAGGCGCACCGCCCGAGAACAAGGCGGCTTGAGAAGATGTCTGACAATTCTTGTGAGATCCAACAATTACATGTAAAAATGGGTCACTTAGAGTGCTGTATTATCGTTTCATTGTTTTGGTTTTTAAATCGAAGGGTATGCAGAAGTTGCGGGGAATTTTCGGAACTGGAAATGCATTGGAAAAGCGGAACGAAGCCTATTTTTGACGCATTAACAGTGCTTGTAAAACGATTCCCGCACACTTCGACGCACCTTTATTTTTTGCCTGAAATGAGCTTTTTCTTGTGACAATGTAATTGTTAGTCAACTTGTGATCACCCTGTTTTTTTCTCTCTTTATCTCTCATCCGCGCGCTCTTTCTCTCTCATTCGCTCTCTCACTCGTTCTATCTCTGTCTCTCTCTTTGTTTCTCGCCATCTCTCTCTCACTCACTCTCGCTCTCTCTGTCTCTCTCCCTTTCTCTCTCTCTCTCTCTCTCTCTCTCTCTCTCTCTCTCTCACGAATGTACATATGTTCCCGTGTGGTATCGATTTAGACTGATAAATAGATAAGTTTCCCGAAAAAGACATGCAAAAAATCGGACAATTTTTTGGTGCCCCCGAATTGGTTCCACTACCATGACCAGACCGCATTTTTGCGCCGCGGATCCCCGGGGTTTCGTTTCCGCATTCGGCGCTAATTCCCGGGCGATTTATCGGTGTTTGATTGGGTTGATTCGAGCCAGACAGCGCAGTTAAAATTCCGAAAAAACCTCCGCTAGCTTGCCGTAACTGGGATTGCGTATCGCAAGTAATCGTGGCTAGCTTGCCCGCTTTGAATCCAAATTATTGCATTTTCAAAAATACCGAGTTCTTAAAAATTTAGAAAACGCTTTTTGCAAGGTATTTCCTGACGAATTTTAAATATCCAAAAATCCGAAAGTCTATTAAAATGGAAATTTATTTAATTCATAAACCTATTAAATCTATAAACTAGTCAAACGCGATCCCCAGGTTTTCCTAAAATTTTCCCTTTTTTGATGTTTCCGACAAAAATCTCAAGATTCCTAGATACGTTCCGAATCGTTCCAGACCACGAGACCCCGTTCCAGCCCCATGATAAGCCTCCAACTTTGACCATGATAACAAAATACAAAACATTTACAAGCATCCCACCCTCCTGCATTCCAAAGACAAGTCCACCAAAAACTCGCTCCAAAATCGGGACACACGTTCTATCTATCAAACCGTCAAAGGGGGGAGAAGGCGGCGGCTCGTTCGCGAGTCGCGCGGAAAAAGCGGCCAGCCTGCCGTTTCCGAACCCATACAAATGACACAACGGTGCGAGGCGGAAAGGTTGTGGGAGAGGGAAATGCGCGGGAATTGTCCGTTTCCACGGATGGGCTTTTGCTTCCCGGTATGGCCGTGGTTTATTGGGGTTCTTACTATTGTCTTTTTTTTTGGGTAGATGGGGTCATACTTTTAATTTGCATTTTGCGTGGCGCTACGCGACGATCCGCCCACTGACGCTTGGAGGTTTTAGTATTTTTCTGACTTTTCGAAGAGTTAAGCGCTAAAACGGCATCGGTGCGTCGTTTTGAAAGCTTTTCCTTGCTAGTTACGAAAGTTATTTTTGGCTGGTTAGTAATTTTAGTGATGACTTTTACTTGGGTAAGGCCGAAATGGAGTATGAAGTCGAAATTTTATTTCATTAAATTAAAAAGCTACTCAAAATTAACTAGCGGCCCCTTTTAAACCGTCAACTTGTTATTGATTTCTGTTCTGTCTGTCGCTCCCTGTCTCTCTCTCTCTCTCTCTCTCTCTCTCTCTCTCTCTCTAAATTTTACTTTTAGGGATGTCTACTTCAAGCGGTTGGGTAATCCTATTCCTAGTCCTAATTCCGACCCTCATATCTGCTCAGTCGAGAGCCGAGAAATTTGCCAACCCACCTACGGACTATGAGTAATTTTCAGACCTCTTTAGATTTTTTTAATCCTTAAAGACGCCAACTCGTATTCCGTGTCTTCCCGAAAACTCAGGATCAACTGACGACGTTGAACGATTTGTACATGAATTCACATGAATATGGGGTAGCTTCTAACGACTTAATGCATTAATACACCCTGTTAAAGCTGGACTTTTGGAAGCCAGCCACTGGTAGAGGTCAGTATGCAGATGTGATGGTGCCGGAGAAAAGGGCTACATTCTTGACAACCATGCTCAATGACTCGAGCATCGACTGGACGATTACGATACCGGATGTTCAACGGTAAGCTGACACATACCTTTAACGTTCGACTACGTACGTACTGTTTATTTCCTTAACTTACGCGTTTAGGCTTTGGCGAGGCTTAAGCTCCGGCGTAGATTAGGCTTCAGCTCGGGGTTTAGGCCTAGCAAGGAGACGTTTTTGAGTGTCGTCGGGAATTTGGCACGGGACCAAGCCTATCTTGTGCAGAATTTTACGCTGATCCGAATATGTTAAACGTTTTTGCGGAATAGCCATTTCTCGAAAGTTCTGAACGATTTAAACCTCAAAACAGCCCAAAATCGGCTGCTTTCGATAGTCATGAAAAGCTTCGGAATAGGTTTTAGACAAAACTTGATAGTGCATCTTGTTCAGAAAAAAATTTCTATAAAATAAGCTATTTAACTCAAAAATGCTGGCATTTTAAAAATTTATCAAATTTATCAAATTTTTCTAACTTTTCAATGATTTTGGAAAAGATGGTACATTTTATAGAGAATTTTTTTCTGAACAAGATGTACCATCTGGTTTTGTCTAAAACCTGTTCCGAAGCGTTTTATTACTATCGAAAGTAGCCGATTTTGGGTTGTTTTGAGGTAATCGTTCATAACTTTCGAGAAATGGCTATTCCGCAAAAACGGTTAACATATTCGGATTCAGCGTAAAATTCTGCACAAGTTAGGCTTGGTCCCTGGCCAAAGTCCCGACGATACTCAAAAACGTCTCCTGGTAAGTTTATCTTATATTCATTCTTTTAGGTTAATTATTGAACGCGAAGCCCCGAAACACTCCTCCTGGATGAGCTACCTCGGCTCAAATACGGTATTCGAAGCATTGTTTAAGAGGATCAGGAAGAACACTGGCGCTTATGTAAATTTTTTAACGTACCGCTCGATTCGATTAATACATTCTAGCATGAGATTTAAAGTTTTTCATCATATATTGATTTTAGTATCGATTCGGGGATTACCACGAGTATCAAGAAATTATCGATTACGTGGATGCGATCGCGAGAGAGTATCCTGAAATTGCGAAGACTTTTATCGCCGGCCATTCGACCGAAGGGAGGGTGCTTAAAGGATTAAAGGTATAAAAATATAATGTTTATAGTAAAAATTTTAAAGCTTAAACATACAAAAATCATAAAAAATTTAGATTGGCTCGCCAATTTCCGACACCAATAAACGAGCCGTATGGATTGATGGAGGGATGCATGCCCGAGAATGGGCCAGCGTTCACACTGCGTTGTATTTTATTAAACAGGTATTTAGTATATTTTTCTCTTATAATCTAGCAGATTGATTTGGGAAATCCATCGTTCTTGAAAAATGTTTTTCCTATCCTATTTTCAGCTCATCGAAAATTACGAGCGCCAGCCCCAGGTCAAGGCCTTCATTGACGAGTTGAACATCTACATCCTGCCGCTGGTGAACCCGGACGGGTACGAGTACTCGAGGAGTGAGATTACCCCGAAAGTAAGCTCAAGCTTAAGCTCGGGGTGTAAAAATTCAGGCACGATTATGGCGAAAGAACAGGGGGAATGTGCGGTGTCAGGTCAGCCGCTGGTGGGGTAGTATTTGCTGCGGGGGGACGGATTTGAATCGAAATTTCGACTATCATTGGTCAGGTAAGGTATCTGATATCTATTGCTCTCTCTCTCTCTCTCTCTCTCTCTCTCTCTCTACCTTTCAGCAGCAAAACTCGAAGCGCTTTTCAGAATCCGGCTCATCCCCTTCAACGTGTTCTGAAGTGTACCAAGGAGCCGCACCTTTCAGCGAGCCGGAAACAAGGCAAGAATTGGTTACACTATATCACGATACCTTATCATTATATGGGTTTGCGAGACGATCGATTTTGGTATTTTTCTTCAAAACAAAATTTCAGAGCGGTGCGAGACATGTTACTCTCGGCAGAACTTTCCGGAAAAACTGACGCCTTCATTACGCTGCACACCTATGCACAGGTAATTTTTAAAACTCGAAATTGCGAAGAAAAGCTATATCAAAAACAGGCAAAATCTAGGAGGTCTTTTAGATGTGGATGCACCCCTTTGGCACTCATACCTCGGACTATCCGGCTGACGTCGCGGAATTGGTATGCATTCGGAATTTTCTCATAGCGTATTTGGGCGTATCCTAGCACCGAAATACGTTACTTTTTGGAGTGACCACATACTAAATTAAAATATTGCAGCGCGACGTCGCCAGAAACAGTGTCTCAGCCCTCAGCGGTGTGTATGGTACTCGTTTCAAGTACGGTACTGGAGCAGATTTAATGTGTAGGTATTCAGTCCTATTTTTTCATTAGTTTTTAGACCCATCCTCCGGCGGGTCGGATGATTGGGCAAAGGGCAAAGCTGGCGTGAAATACGTGTACTTGCTGGAGTTGAGGCCGTCGGACAGTTGTGAGTAGATGAAATTGGTTAAGCCATGAAAAAAGCGCTTAATTTTGCCTCGACGGTTTCAAAATTTGTCGTTTTTCAGCGTGGGATGGGTTCCTCCTCGACCCACGTCTTCTGATCCCTGTTGGAGTAGAGACTTGGGAGGGCGTGAAGGTAAAAGTTCATCTACTTCCAATGTACTTTTTCTTGCTTTAGGTAGTCATCCAGAGAGTACTTGACAATAAACGACGACAGTACGGTAGTTAAAACTACAAGTTCTGCCCTTCTACGCGCCTTTTAGGAGGTGGTGAAACCCTGCAGTCCGTCACGGAGGCGTACACCACACAAGTGCCGTGGTGGATGACGACAACGAGGAGGAGAACAACAATGACTACTACGAGTACAACTACGACGACTATGGCAACTACTAGAACAGCCACACGGCCCTGGTGGGAAACCACGACCACGCAGAGGCCGTGGTGGGAGGCGACCACTACGCAACAGCCTTGGTGGTTACGGCCGGAGTATCAGACGACGACACAGAGGTAGGAGAATTTGATAGAACAAAAATTTTAAAGGGGCTGGGAAGTGAGGGAAGTATGAAAATTCTTGAAATTGACGTACTTATCGACGCGAAAATTTCGTTTAGGACCGTACCGTGGTGGGAGACAACCACGACGGCGCCATGGACCTCTACAAGACCGTGGTATGTCTGAATTTGATGGAGATTACTTAGGTGCTAGGTGGGAAACAACGACAACGACAACCACAGCGAGTCCGACGACGACAACAAGGTCATGGTGGGACACCACGCAGGTAGGCGGCCGGAGCTGTCTTCAGTTTCAAAATTCTAGATATTTTTGTAAACTACCGTAATTTTTCTTCGATTCAGAAACCCTGGTGGGAGACCACGACGACGGCCCGGCCCTCAAACTTCCCAAGAGCTTGGTGGGAGGTCCGACGGCCACAGTATCCACCCGGACTCCGCCGGAATAAGGGCTGGAACTATCGGGACGTCAACAAGAAGTGCGAAGATTTGGTACCGTGGTGTAAGGGGTGGCTAGCCGGCAATTCTAATATGTGCTCCGTAAGTTGATTCTCGAAAATCAGGTGAAATCTCGACCATTAGAGCCCCTCGTTCTTCGTCGCCACCAAGTGCAGTCGGACGTGTAACATTTGTTGAAAACCTCCGTTGATTGTCGCTAGGTGCCGACAACAACAGAAAACGCCTTTTCTGAATTTTCCCTACATAGATTTTTTCTTTGACAAGTTCTACCTCGGGTCCCTGTGCTTGTTGTGTGATTTCCGGCTGGGTAGGCATTGATAAATTGTTTTTTTTTACTAATAATTCACTAGAAACATGAAAAGCCACGCAAATACCGACATTAGGAATGGCGGCAACCGAAAATCCGGACCGCCAAGATGTCGAGAGACAAATCCTCGACAGCCGCAGTTTTTGAAGGGAGCCGACAAGCCGAATTTTTGGCAGTCGGCGTACCAATTCTCAAAATGCCGACAAAAGCGTCGAAACATCCGACTAGCAAGGGTAATCAGCCGAGAACCCATGCAAATTGCACCTAACTTGCCAACTTTCCATGAAAAATTAGCAGAATTCGTGAACGTAGCGAAATTAGCCGGCGCGAACCATTTCCACTCACTGACCTGCACATCATCCGGCCGTCCTCCACTCGGCACGATGCGTGGTCGAGTGCTGCTCGCCGCTGCCGTTCTGCTACTCGCTGGTGTACAGGTCTGCTCAAAAAGGGGGCAAAGTTTAGCAAAAATTTCTAGGGTAGCACGCTGAAGGTGACGCTCAAGCTCATCCCGAATGATAAAGAAGTTCCGTCATTCAAATGTTGGATCGAAGGTGGGTAGGGGTGGGGTTTACTCTGATCCCATGTTGCCACGAAATTTGAAGACCGAAGACCCGAAGACCTAATGACGTATCACGCGTAGTTGACTCACTCGAAATCCGCCCCAACATTTTACTGAAGGCGCCTTTCCAGTTGGAGATCCGCTCAAGGAATACAGCACACAGAAGTACGACTATGATGCCACGCCCAAGGACGGTTCCACACTTCAGCCGTGGACGTCGGAATTCTTTAAAGATGTGGGGGGCCGGTTAATGGCATCGGAAAGGGCCGCGGAAATTAGCATAAAACTTTACGCCCCCCCCAGCCGGAAGTTTTTGGCTATAACTTTTTTATTTTACATTCTTGTAGGCTCAAATTAAATTCTTAGTATATTTTTCGACGCTCTATCGAATGGCGTTGCAAAAAGCCCGACAAAATAAGCGAAAATACCGAAAACTTGGAGACCCTTCGGCTGTGGGAGGGGGGGGGGGTAAAGTAAAGTCTTACCCCGGCATAAACTATTTAATTTTTTTGTTAGAATTCGGGAATTTTTACCTTTTTCTGGTCCGTTTTACACATTTTTGACCAAAAAGGCCAAAATAGGTAAATTGCATTTAAGCCGTTTTTACATTCAAAAGACTATGTAAAATGCTATAACCCCCCGCTAACAGTCTAGAACCGATCCTTAGCCGTAAAACTTTTAATCCATGCCTTACGAATTGCATCCAACCTTTTCAGAACATTAATACGGAAGACATGCGCGAAGACTTCGTAGGAGGCAGCAAGACAGTGCCGATCGTCGTCAAGATTCAATACGCCAACGAAGACACCGAGACCAGCGAGCCCTACGTGTTCGACGGGCAGACGATTTCGAAGGATTTTAAGCCAAGAATAGGGTTGGTTTTTGAATGGCAATAATTGGCATAGGTCTAGATTAAGGGATAGAGGGGAAGGTATCCCTATTGTGAGGCCCCCCTGCTAACGAACCAGAACCGCTAGAGTATTTTTCCAAAGCGACGAAAGAGTTATTTCGGTTTCAAAACAAAGTAGTTCAAAAACGCTATAGCTAAGATACTGGTAAAAACGGAGTTGCGCCCATTTTTTGCAATTAACATTAATCAGTTATTCCGTAGAACACAGGGTGTCCGAATAACCCCCCCCCCCCGGCCTCCAAATCGACGCAGAAGTATCGGATCGGAACGATAGTAACATCATTCAAAACGGGGCGCTTGCAACAATTTTGAGCTTTTTTACAAGCCATCTTAAATTTTGCCGTTTTTCCGGGTTGCATACGAGCTAATTTTCCTAAATGTCTCCAAGCAAAATGACGCGAAGTGGCCGTTAATTAGATGCAGAGAACGTTCCTTAATGGTTTACAGTGTGGCAGTGTCCTTAATGGCTTGTAAAATGACGCGTTCCAATAAAAACGTAGTTCTGAAGATTGTTGCGAACGCGCCGTTTCAAGGGCTTTCGAATGGTGTAACTATCATTTCGGTCCGATATCCTGTGTCGAGTTAGACGGGGGGTGTTTTTTTATTGGGGCCTCCTGCATTTTTTTTTGCAGAAAAGTCGTGATCAACGTCCGACAATTGTGCGACAGCGCCACCAAGGGCTTTCTGTGCCTTGAGGAGTGCAATGTGAGCGATTTAACAAATTTGATTTCCCGGCTGTTTGGTATTGTTCCCAAGCCCAAAAGTGGCACAATTTTAAAAATACAAAACATAGATTTTTCTACTAAAATTTCCAGGTCTTGCATTTTTCTACGGCTTTGAGACTAAAATGTCTCAGTCAGTATTCTCAATATGAGTATAACAAAACGTTCTCTGGTCTGATACAAAAATGCATCCCCGGTGCAAAAGAAACGATTCATCCTGATTTCTTTCCAAAAATCTTCCTTCCAGTGCATGGACTGCAGCTCGGCGGTATGCGACCCGATCGACCATGGCTTCGGAGACAAGCCGACTGAAATCGGGGTCACTAGTGATTGGTCCACTGGGGTACGGCGAGTTTGGAGGGCTATGCGCAGCGGATGCGTCGCGGACCGCGGTGCTTTTACGTAGCGGATGCGGCGCGGCCCGCGGTGCTTTTACGCAAACGATGCGTCGCGGCCCGCGGTGCTTTTACGTAGCGGATGCGTCGCGGCCCGCGGTGCTTTTACGTAACAGATGCGTCGCGGCCCGCGGTGCCCTTTCGTGCCGGATGCGTCGCGGCCCGCGGAGCTGCATAGAATCCTGTTTTTTGTAGGAATATTTCACCGCTGCTGCCGTCGGGGTTATCGTCATCTTGACGTTCATGGGAGGGCTGGCATATGGCTTTTATGCGTGCGTATTACGGTTTTTAAGATTTTTTTTATATTGACGGGTGGGGGAGTAGTCAATTTTGCTAATATAAATAGAAGAATTACACTGCTTTTACTATTACTAAGTGCAAAAATTTGACCAATTGATAGTAAAAATACAAAATTTTTGGATATTGTTGTTTTGGTCTTACTTTAACTACATCTCAATTTCACTAAAAATTGTGTGAAAATTCATCCCATTACCTTAATAGGGATTTCTGCACCCATAGTAAAAAAAATATCGCTTCTCTGATACCCCGATAATGCAAGAATTTCAGGATGCGCCGCAAGCCCGCCTTCGACGAGACCTACGACGGGTACGACGCCGACGAGTTTGACGTCGAGGCGGCCGTCGGCACCAAGGAGGATGAAGACGATGATGAGGCGGACGACGAGGGCAAGGAGGGCAAGGATGGGGTCAGCCGCGACCGTCATAGCCGCTCCAAACACTCGAAGACTGCCAAATCGTTCAGCAGCCGGTGGGAGTTAAACAGATTTCTGGAATCCTATAAATTTTCGTTCTAGTCTGTTAGCGGGGGCGGGACTCTTTCAATCCAAATTCTTTTCAGGGAACGCGCCTCGAAGGAGCGAAAAATCAAGAAGAACAAGAAGAAGAATCCGTCGACGATGAAGACCAAAACCAAGAAGCGCGACGACAAGCGGAAGAAGGATCGCACCCTCACCCGCACGCAGATCACCACCGAGGCGTCCAACGAGAAGAAGGGGTCGTCGGGCGAGGCGACCACCGCGAAGCGGGTCCCGTCCCAAGAGACGCAGACCGCCATGGGCAGGGTGCCGTCGCGCGAAGCGCAGACTGCGAATAACACTGTGGGTTTTAGGGTTAGGGTTAGGGTTTTTGGTGCTGGGCTGTTAGCGGGGGGGGGCTTTATCGGGAAGGCTAATATTTATTTTCCCGTGGATCCTATTTCGGTTCTTTCGCATTATCGGGGGCGGGGGGGGAGGAACCAACCCTTTGTCTTAGAATCGACTTTTCAAATAAAAATAGTGGCAGTGTTCTAGACGTTTTTTACGTTTTTAATAGGCCTAAGTGTGAAAGTTTACAAATTTTGATTTGGGATATCAACAATTCGATTTTTGTAAATATTTTTAAAGGGTTTTAGATAGTTTTTCTAAGTGAAATATATTTCTATATTGCTAAAACACTTCTTATTCAGTTACTAGACATTAGAAGACTTATACTTAAGATTTTAATTTTTTTAACGAATGACCACTTCGATTTTCAGACAACCTCGGCCGAGCAGGCCACCCAGGACCCTGGCCACGCCTCCAACGAGAAGAAGTAAAGATGCCAAAAATGGTGGATATTTTTTCGTACTTTGGCTTTGGTTTTTTATATTTAATTTACACTTTCTGTTTTAGTCAAACCCCCTCGCCACCTACCGTCCAGGCCCAAGGAGCCCAGCCGGCCCCGCCCCCCGTCCACCCTGCTACTCGCCGACCCGACCCGACTGCTCCACTCGGTGGCACCAAACACAAAAGAAGACACATAAAAAACTAGCGTGTTTCAACATTTGCGCTAACGATTTCGAAAATAAAGTTATAGCACGGGCTGTGCTTTGGTGTCCATTGGATTATATCGCATCGTATCGTACATTGCAATGCAGAGTATTCTCTTTCACAGCATTCCGCCCTTTACCAGTTGTGTTCGCTTGACCGGGACAGGATGGCAGGCATACAGGGGAAGGGAAAATATGCGCTCTGGCCCCGCCCCCTGTTCTCTTCCCCCATCCCCTATAGTCTAGTCTCATTCTTTCCCCGCCTATTCCGCGCCCCACCCCTCCCCTGTGTGTCTGCACCCTGCCGTCTGGCACACTATCCGCCAGTCGACTCACGAACACCGCGGAATTATGTGCTTTCTATGTTTATGGGCACAATTGAATGCCGTAATCGGTTCGCCAGCTTTTTTAAGGTTACCGGGAAGTGGTCAGGGGTATCGTCTGTGGGTTGTTTTGAAGCGGAAAACTCCCAAAAGAAGCGCAAATTTCTGAACTTGGAGCTGCGCGACCGGAGGGGTACTTGTGCCATCAAAAACTGGTTGCCCAAGCTCTTAAACCCGTTTAAAAAGCTTGGAAAGCTTGCCCAAGCAGCCTGACGTGCCGCTGCCATTGGCCGGGACGCCGGGTTACTGTAGCCCCGAGTAGCGGTCCCCTTATCGCTGCGCCCGGCTCCACGCCTCGCCTACCTCCATAATACTGCCTGGAATAAAATAAAATGCCAAATTCAAGGCTCAAAATAAATCAAAAACTTTATGAAAACCGGCAACATTGAAAAAAGGTATTTTTTGTTAAGAGTTAGCATTAAAAATACAGATGAAAAAACTGAAAACGGGCGATCAAATTAACACAAGAAATAATTGAGGATTAGCAATAAAGTTTCTGTTCCCTTTTTCAATCAGCTACGAAAAGTCCAAGCCGAAGCGCTTAGATCTCCGTTCCCCCCTTCCCAGCCCCTTTAAAAAGCCGTAAACAACCGTAACTTGCCGGAGCAATTTGAGAATTCACCCTGTTTAAATTGAAAGTGATAAACATTGTTGATGTTAAGCCCAAAACGAAGCAATGAGTCTGGGTCAGGTAAACGGCATTCACCGAGACAGGGTGTGTTTTGCTCGCCATCGCCCCCGGCCTCACGGCCAGTACACACGCTTTTTTTTTGTAGACCCTTATCTCTCGGCGACGGTTTGCAACATTCGTCTGGTAGCCGGACGCGTCACGCGCCGCTGAAAAACGCACCTTTTTGTCGGTCTGCTTATAAGGAGCGACTCAGAAAAACGCAGGGACCAACACGTTATTGCAGGGCGAGCAAATAGATTATTTCTCGTAAAAATTCAGTTTTCATGGCTGTAAAACCGGATCCGGATACAGCTTTTCCTGTCAGAACCATGCTAAACAGTATGTGTCGTGAAATCTAGCCTTGAAAATGCTAAGATTCAAAAAAGATTCTTCTTCTTCAGCCATCCTTCGCTGTTCAACGCTAGAAACCCTTCACAGTCAACTTTACGGACACTATAGGCTGTGTTTTGACGCGCGGAGGTTGACCTTGAACTGTCAAAATTGGCCGAGACACACTTTTTGTAGACGAGCTTATCTTGGTTCGGCCGTTCGCAACTTGTCTGCTAATAAGAGGGCTAAAAAGTTGCCTGCTGCACGGCAGCCTGCAGGAGCCACCGACAAAAAGATATGAGATGGATCATGTCGGGGCAAAACACGAAGAATGAGAAACTTGAGCGGTGAGGAGAGAGAGAGCGAGAGAGAGAGAGAGAGGGAAGCTTTGTTGAGCTTTAACTATACCTGATCCCGTTGACCGAGCGCTCATTGTGAACTAATTGGATCAAGTTCCAGAAAACAAGAACAACCGAATTTCATGGTATAGTCTTATGTAACGTTTAAGCGACGGTGTCAGCAAGGTTTTAAAATCCACTCGCAATTTTTTGACTGAAAAAAGGAAGCAGTTTTAAGATGTCTCTTACTATTCCTAACGCAGAAAGTTTACGAATTTTTATCGAAAAAATCGAGAAAATCGACCACAACTGGCCTATTCTTGACAAGAATATTATTATTTTCGATGATTTCGATTTTTTTTTGCATTTGAACTTTATTAAAAACACTATGAAAATAATGACCATCACGTTACTAGGCACTATGGGAAAATCTATAAGAAAAATAGGCCTCTAGGTCAGCCCCCAGCCCCTAACTCAGCCCCTCCAGGTATAGGTTTCCGGCTGTTTGGTTGGGAGCGGTTTGGTGCAATATACGGAATACCTTTGAATTATTATCATTAAAACTTGGGAAACTAAAAAAATTGCAGTAAATGACATGGATCGAGCCCGGGTATACCGTAGTTCACCAGTCTAAAAATGCCGGAATTCGTATTCAGCGACAAACTAAGCAATGGCGATCTTAAAGCCCGGATTTTCCCGGTCCTACCGTAATCTTGACAGCGCAACGGACGCCCTGACCAGCCGTGAGCAGCACACACTTTTTGCCGAGCCGCTGCAGCCTTATCTCGCACCATCGACTTGTACCTAAGACGTGTAAGGTCGCACGCCCAAAATTGGCAACTTTTTGCCTGGTCGCGATGTTGCAGAAAGCTAATGGTTAGTAAAAAGGACATGATAAGCTTTCAGTATTTAAAGGTAGGTATGGTTCGATGGCCATACTCTCGGCTGCACCGCCAGTGGCCCCCCCCCACTCGGTGGATTACGGTAAGTCGATAGCTTTAAGCAGTTGCAAAAAACCTAAATAGTACCATTTTAATAATTAAAAGTACGAAAATCAAATTAATTTAATTTCAACGTCTCTAAAAAACTTTTAAAAATGGAAAGCTTCATTTTAATCTTAAAAAGACCCATACTGGTTGCTGGAAAAAGATTTTCTTATGGAAATACTTAATATAATCGAACACCGATGTATTCGACAGTTTTTTTTACGAATTTTCAAAGTCTGGTTAGTGTGGGGACGGTATCGCGTAAAATATAAAATTATTTACCTAGATTTTACAGATCAAAAACATGTTTCTGCTCATCATCTTCACCGCCCTCCTCGGCTACGCCCTCTACCAGTACTCGATCGCCAGAAAATTGCCTAGTGGTATTTTCAAATTTTTACAATCATACCGTAATCAACAAATTTCAGGCCCACTCCCCTTCCTATTCCTCGGAAATCTGCCCCAACTCTACTGGCATGCGTACTGGAAGGGCAACTTTGCAAAGGCGATGAGGGAACTGCAGAAGCGGCATGGCGATGTGAGTGAATTTGATAATATTGAGAATCTAAGCCGCTTTTAAGTGTTTATTAATTAAACCTCTTGAAGTATTTGAGTTACAAAATTTTAGCAGAGTTTCTGATTTTTTGATTTTTGTAATCCTGGAATCAAACTGTTTTAATTTCCCAAATTTTTCAGGGATGATTTGGAGTTCTAAAAGTTTAGAGTTTAGAGGTTAAGCTATTCTAAATGTAGGTTCACACCATCTGGCTCGGCATGCAACCATTCGTCAACATTTGCACCCTCGAAAAAGCCAAGGAGCTGTTCGTGGCCCAGGGCAAAAGCCAGATCGGCCGTTTCGTCGCTCAATTCATCCAGATCAACCAGAGAGGTATGTTTTAATCGATACTTCTGTAAAAGACCCGTCAGACGAGACCGGGAAAACCTGGGGAATCGTGGCCAGCCATGGCGAAACTTGGACCGAGCATAGGTAGCCTAGAAAATTCTAGAAAAACGAAGTATTCTCGCTTTAGACGATTCGCGCTGCACACCCTGCGAAACTTTGGCATGGGAAAGAATATCATGGAGGGCAGGATTATCGAAGGTATATTGTAGCAACAGATTTTAAAATTAAGGAAATCTTTTTAGAACTGGACTACCAGCTCGGAGAGATGGAAAACGATAAAATGATCAATGGGGAAATGTCGGTCGGGGCTTGGCAGTTGACTGATCTCATCGTCGGATCGATCATCAATCGGATTCTGTTTGGATATCGATTCGATAAGGTAAGGAGTTTAAGGCAAAGCTCAGAAATGTTAAATAAAAGGGGTTTCTAGCTTAAATAAAGACGTGTTCGAGGGGCTGCGGAGTGTAAAAGTCACTTTCGGATCCATTAGATGTGTCCAGCTTGTCAGGGGTACGCAAGAATACCCAGATCGATTCCAGCGCTTCCGATTCTTTTAATAACCGAATTGGGCACTTAAAACCTGAGAAACTGCACAAAACCAAAGTATCTGGAGCGTAATGTGTTAGCATCCAAAATTTCCTGAGAGCGTTGAAACAAGACAAAAATAAGAACCGACAATTGCGAGTGATAAGCCGCGCGCCGGGTTTATCATTATAAAATCAGCACTTTTCCTGATTTTTCTCGATTTCTATTAGACGTAAGGATGAAGTGTAATGCAAACTCTTCCAGGGAAAAGCTACAAAAGAGCTTGATAGCGATTTACAGAAACGCCGCGACCACTTCTTCGCCATCAAGCACAACATGGACAGCATGATCGAAAATATGACGCCGATCGATGTGCTGTACGCTCCCTGGTGGAAGAATGTACCGATTTTGAAGTGGTAAGATCTATCTAAAGGGACTGGCAAGACAAAATTTGCGGTATCAAGCCATTTGCCATTCGAAGTGACAGGTTATACCCCAAGACTCTTTTGTGTGTTAGGCGCCACGAGCACATCCACCACTGCCTCGATCCGGTTCTCGATTTCGTCAAGCAGAATGTTATGCAGAGGTTGGAAAAATTTACCTTGACGAAGGATAATTTTTATTTTAGAGTGGAGGAAATCGAAAATGGAAAACACATCATCGAAGAAGAGCCGGAAGACTTTATGGATGCCTACTTCTTGGAACAAAAACGTCGAGGGGATGATTTGGGCGAAATGAGGTAGCTTTTCGAATTTTTTGCGACGAAAAACGTCCGGTATGATACAAAACTGTTCAGATGTGCATATACGTCTTAATTCTTACAGTACCCATGGGTTGATCATCGATCTGCACGATCTGTGGCTAGCCGGCCAGGAAACAACAAACATCACCCTCCAATGGTCCATTCACCTGATGATCCAGCATCCGGAAATTATGAAAAAGTGCCAGGATGAGGTAGGTTATACAAAAACTATATTAACAATTTACAGCGCTTCAGTGGGCTTCTATAATGTTATTTTTCAGCTCTCCCTGGTGACAGCTGGCTCTCAGAACCTGTCGTTTGCCGACCGACCGAACACTCCTTACTTCACGGCGACCTCGATTGTGAGTTACAATTTGTAACTTTGACTTCAAAAACTTTAATTGCCTTTAGAGCCGACATTTAAAAACCAGAAACAAAGAAATTAAGCAGTAAACTAAATTTAAAAGCACTAAACACAGCATAGGGCCTTCGTCCCCGAAATTCCAACCTTAACCATTTCAGGAAGTCCAACGCGTCGCATCGATCCTCAACTTCAACCTCTGGAGAACAACACAAGAACCCTGCCAAATTGCTGGGTACGTCAGCCGAGCAGAATTCAAAAACTGCATTTTAGCAACGATCTTCCCCTCGGGACCCTGACCACAGCCCAATTGTCTTTGTTGCTCGGCGACCCAGAAGTTTTTGAGCGACCTGATGAGGTAGAGTCACTTTAATTTATCATACTTTATCTTTGTAGTTCGACCCGTCCCGCTTCCTGGGTGAAGAGGGGAAGAAACTGGCCGACAAGGTGACACCGTTCGGACTCGGAAAGAGGAGTTGCCCTGGCGAGAGTTTGGCAAGGAATGAGATCTATTTGGTGGGTGGATTAAATTTTGTTTGAAGGGACGGGGAAGACCTGATGTGGAATTTTTTGGCTGTCAGTGTGCTAAGTCGAGCGGAACAGAATTAATAAAATTATACACCACGAAAATTAAGAGTATTGGCTTGCCTGATTGCATTAATCTCGCTTACGTCTTCTATTTTTTCAGATTCTTGGCAATCTCCTGCTCCGCTACGACATCTCGGGCTCCCCAAAAAACCCGCCGCGCGGAGATGCTTCTCCCTACTCCCTCGCCCGAGGCCCCGCCAAATACGATATTGTCATGAAGACAAGGAAAGCACAGACTTTAGTCTCGTCTCTACCCCGTCGTGGCGCCTTGGCTTAAGCTTCTAACCTATCGATTGTACATAGCTTTCTGGTGATCCTATCTCGTTTTTCGTGTATCCATGGGTCCTGCGACATCAAAAAAAATTTGTTGATTGTTATTTTGATGCAATACCGTATGGTCAAAACTGATCGATGTCTGATGAAGTGGAATTGAAATAAATAATTTCTTAATATGACTCGAATTCGCTATTCTGCTCTTAGTCAAGAAGAGAGAGAGAAGACGGGAAAAGAGATGAAGCGAAAAAGAGTGAGGGAGAGAGCAAGAGTGAGAAAGAGAGAGAGAGAGAGAAATAATGAGAAAGAGAGCGAGAGAGAAATCTTGGTACAGTATCCCCTGCACTACGGCAGAAAAGAAACGCTTTCAGAGCACGCAGAAACTGCCAGCAATGATCAGAACCATCCTAATATCATCCACGAAGCCTGGCTAGGCTAAAAGCCAGCCCTGCCGTTTCAGGGAAGCTCCCATTTTCCCATTTCCCACTTATCCTTCCAATTACCGGTTTCATTGCTCGTTATTGCCACTCTCGCTGAAAAATAAAGCTGTAATTTTCAGTAGATACCACCCAGGCAGGCTACAAAATAATTTGTACTGGTTGGTCCCTTATAGGGTCCTGTGGATAAGTACAACACAGAGGGCGGGGCCTGACAGAGGTGCTAATTATTTTTTAATGGCACCAGGTGTATTGGAGGGCTAGCTGCCCGGGGTTGCCACTTACGAGTTTTGTTATCTTAAAACGACAACATTAAGACAACACAAATTATTTGAGCCCGCCCGTTTTATAGCACTACAATCATCATATTCTGCTCAAATTTATGCCTTTAAATCACTAAAAACTCTGAGGGTTTTTTGTTGGAAGAAATCCAAGATGCAAGTATACTTTACAAAGCAATACCACCTTCGTGTTTCAGAGTGTAACTAGGGGCGCACAAAAGACACCAATTTTCCGTTTCCATGGTGGCGTAATTGCACCGCCGTAGTTAGCCATTTCCGGGCCCGAAGATTGCCAAAATTGGCTTGCGGGCGTTAGCAGGTGATTGGAGTGAGCAATGCCCCCAAAAAATAGGCCAAAAAAGCGGCATTTCGGGTTTTACATAGTCATGATATGGCTGTGTTTTCATGAGCAATATGTCGGATGTAAATCTGTAAAATCATTGAAAAAATGTATTGGTTTTTTCTTTTTTTGGTTTTGTTATTTATCAAACCAGCCGCTTATAGTGGCTTTTCCGCTGCAAGCGGCTGGACTTCGGGATGCCCCCCCCCCCGCCCGCCGCGCTGCCTCCCCCTTCGCGGAAAGGCGCGCGACCTGGCTCACTATGCCCAAACTCGCGCAAATAGCCGTTTTTACCACCAAATTACAAATATCCAATTTTAAATACGAAAATGACGTTTTTAAATTCAGAGCTGGACCAGTTTGGGCGTTTTTGACCGTGTTCTAATCGAATCCGAAAAGACCTAAGCTCTAGCTCCTTTCCCCTTCGAGTAGAATTCAGCTTCAGACGGGCACCACAACCTGTTTATCATTGTGGATCCGGGTAAGATTTATTTTAGCGTAGGAAATGGGATGCTGCACTCGAACGCTCAATAAAATAAACCCGGGCTGGGAATTTGGGACTACAGTACGCGTACTTTTTGTCGGTGAGTTTTTCGTACTTTGCCTTTTACCTTTTAATTTGTTTAAGGCAGACCAGGCTGCGGACTGTCGACTTTCATGAAAATTGTTGAGTACGGTTTTGCAATACGTAAAAAAATGGTAGTTTCAGACATATGACACCTCCAGGAGGTTTCTCCCCAGCTCAAATCGAACAGCAACGATTTACGATCTTTGAAAATGTGCTGATCAACTTGGAGCGGTTGATACAAATTGCGGAAAGAACCATGGAATTCGATCATGAGTTGGAAGTAACAATTACCTGAGTTTTTACATTTTTAGTCAATTTTAGGAACCGAAACAGCTCGTTTTTCGGTGTGTTGCCGCGAAGAAATTAGATTCCATTGATACGATTATAATCTATGCAGTCCAAGTTAGTTATTTATTTTTAAATCGAGTTCTAAACGTCGGATTTAGGCCCTCTTCAATTGTCCGGTCATTCAAAAAGTGTACGCTTCACAGGCAGGCCCGGAAAGTTTAGAATCAGCAGCTTAGTAAGTAACTTGTTGAATTTTCTCCTATTTGTTTTTCTATCATACTTTTCAATTTTTTGGCCCTTTCAATTTTAAGTTTTCCAAAAACAATTGAAAAACATTTTAGCTTCTTCAAAAACCTCGAGCGAATCTGTAAAAAGGGCTATCAGCCCACATTCGAAGATTATTTGAGGGCCCGGAAGCCAAAATCTGGGATCGAGGTGATTGAATATGGAAGCAAAATTTCTTCGCGTACCTTGTAAGTATTAAAAAATTACAGTAACGGCTATAGCACCATCTATTTTACGAAAAAATTGTATAGAAACTTCTAGCACCTACGCCATGCCCGTCCGCGGGCCAAAACCCCCAAAGTGGACGGCGTTTTTCGATCGGTTGGACGTGATCGCGTTTGTTGTCGATCTTTCTGAATATGATATGATTTCGGAAACCGAGGGGAATACGGTATTTCGTCAAAAAATCCTACCTTATATAATTTGGTCGCGTATCTTTGTGTGTGTGTGTGCGGAGGTCAGTTTCGAGGCCCGATTTGAGGGCCTTCCGGGGTCCAAAATGCCTTAATTCTCCGTCACCCGGGGGAATCGACCCACCTCTTTCCGATGGCGCTTTCAGAATCCCGATAAAATACAAGTTTACAAAGTTAAAGCCGGTTTTATTGATTTTTGGGGGTCCGGGAGGCCTAATTTGCATAATGTGAAAAAATACAAATTTCCTCATTCTTGCCAGTGGCACTCGCGAGTTTGGTCGTCTCTTTGGATCTGACTCTCGATGCCTTGCCTTCCCCTGCCCCGGGCAGTCCTCTTGAGGCATAAAACGGATGTTTGACGCGTGCTGCCAAGCATTGCATGGTGTAGTGGTTAACGCTTCGCCCTGCTAATCTAACCATCGGAGGTTCGATCCCCGTATCTCTTGGTTTTTTTGCTTTTTGCTCGGAAAAAGCTAAGAATAAGAATAAGAAGGCTCAAGCTAGCGGCTCAAGCTAGCGCCGCAGGCTTTAGAACGAAGCCAGCCGCGCAAGCTAGCGCCGCAGGCTTTAGAACGAAGCCAGCCGCGCAAGCTAGCGCCGCAGACTTTAGAACGAAGCCAGCCGCTCAAGCTAGCGCCGCAGGCTTTAGAACGAAGCCAGCCGCTCAAGCTAGCGCCGCAGGCTTTAAAACGAAGCCAGCCGCTCAAGCTAGCGCCGCAGGCTTTAGAACGAAGCCAGCCGCTCAAGCTAGCGCCGCAGGCTTTAGAACGAAGCCAGCCGCGCAAGCTAACGCCGCAGGCTTTAGAACGAAGCTAGCCGCTCAAGCTAGCGCCGCAGGCTTTAGAACGAAGCTAGCCGCGCAAGCTAGCGCCGCAGGCTTTAGAACGAAGCCAGCCGCGCAAGCTAGCGCCGCAGACTTTAGAACGAAGCCAGCCGCTCAAGCTAGCGCCGCAGGCTTTTAAAACGAAGCCAGCCGCTCAAGCTAGCGCCGCAGGCTTTTAGAACGAAGCCAGCCGCTCAAGCTAGCGCCGCAGGCTTTTAGAACGAAGCCAGCCGCGCAAGCTAACGCCGCAGGCTTTAGAACGAAGCTAGCCGCTCAAGCTAGCGCCGCAGGCTTTAGAACGAAGCTAGCCGCGCAAGCTAGCGCCGCAGGCTTTAGAACGAAGCCAGCCGCGCAAGCTAGCGCCGCAGACTTTAGAACGAAGCCAGCCGCTCAAGCTAGCGCCGCAGGCTTTAAAACGAAGCCAGCCGCTCAAGCTAGCGCCGCAGGCTTTAAAACGAAGCCAGCCGCTCAAGCTAGCGCCGCAGGCTTTAAAACGAAGCCAGCCGCTCAAGCTAGCGCCGCAGGCTTTAAAACGAAGCCAGCCGCTCAAGCTAGCGCCGCAGGCTTTAGAACGAAGCTAGCCGCTCAAGCTAGCGCCGCAGGCTTTAGAACGAAGCTAGCCGCGCAAGCTAGCGCCGCAGGCTTTAGAACGAAGCTAGCCGCGCAAGCTAGCGCCGCAGGCTTTAGAACGAAGCCAGCCGCGCAAGCTAGCGCCGCAGGCTTTAGAACGAAGCCAGCCGCTCAAGCTAGCGCCGCAGGCTTTAAAACGAAGCCAGCCGCTCAAGCTAGCGCCGCAGGCTTTAAAACGAAGCCAGCCGCTCAAGCTAGCGCCGCAGGCTTTTAGAACGAAGCCAGCCGCTCAAGCTAGCGCCGCAGGCTTTAAAACGAAGCCAGCCGCTCAAGCTAGCGCCGCAGGCTTTAGAACGAAGCCAGCCGCTCAAGCTAGCGCCGCAGGCTTTAGAACGAAGCCAGCCGCTCAAGCTAGCGCCGCAGGCTTTTAGAACGAAGCCAGCCGCTCAAGCTAGCGCCGCAGGCTTTAGAACGAAGCCAGCCGCGCAAGCTAGCGCCGCAGGCTTTAGAACGAAGCCAGCCGCTCAAGCTAGCGCCGCAGGCTTTAGAACGAAGCCAGCCGCTCAAGCTAGCGCCGCAGGCTTTAAAACGAAGCCAGCCGCTCAAGCTAGCGCCGCAGGCTTTAAAACGAAGCCAGCCGCTCAAGCTAGCGCCGCAGGCTTTAAAACGAAGCCAGCCGCTCAAGCTAGCGCCGCAGGCTTTAAAACGAAGCCAGCCGCTCAAGTTAGCGCCGCAGGCTTTAAAACGAAGCCAGCCGCTCAAGCTAGCGCCGCAGGCTTTAGAACGAAGCTAGCCGCTCAAGCTAGCGCCACAGGCTTTAGAACGAAGCTAGCCGCGCAAGCTAGCGCCGCAGGCTTTAGAACGAAGCTAGCCGCGCAAGCTAGCGCCGCAGGCTTTAGAACGAAGCTAGCCGCGCAAGCTAGCGCCGCAGGCTTTAGAACGAAGCTAGCCGCGCAAGCTAGCGCCGCAGGCTTTAAAACGAAGCCAGCCGCGCAAGCTAGCGCCGCAGGCTAACGAATAAAGCCAACCATTGAAGCTAGCGACGCAGGCTAAAGAAGGAGCCTTGCATGGGAGATGCGTTTTTCTTTCTTCAGGGTAACTTTATGTGGAAGGGCGCCGGGGTAATAGGGCCTAGACGGGGTCCAGCGGGGGAGAGTCGCGAAGCGGCTCCTCCCCCGCTGGTTTTTAAATAATTTTCCTTCAGAACCTCCTCCAAATGGCCCTAACGCTTTGGGGAAACATTGGTAAAGGCAACTATGCCTTCGACCCTCTAAAATTTTATCTGTTTTTCAATAAAATTGATTTATTTTCGGAGAAGTTAAAGTGTACCCCATTGCAAGTATGCTTTCCGGAATCGAGTAAGTTTGTTCCGAGTGGTTTGAAAAGATGAAAATTACGCATCTAGCGGCTACAAACTATGACGAGGCATTGGCGTATGTTAAGGAAATTTTTACGAATAGCTTTAAGGTATAACCTAAAAACTACAAGCTAAAAATCCCAATGGTTTAGGAGAACTATCCAAAATGGACTGATGGTTGTCTCTACACGATGAGTGCAGTGGATCCGAGTCTGGATAAAGTGGGTTATAGACTTAAAAGATTACCCATTGCTGAGAGAAACATGGGATTACAACTTCAACAATTATTTTTAGTTATTTTACATTTTAAAATATAGTTTTTTTTGCAGAAAAATATGTCCTCAGTTCGGAACGCGATCACCTGGTTGTTCGTCGGCGCCACGCTGCGGGCAAGCGGCTTGTATTAAGGCGGATTTCATTCCGGATGAAGTTTTTTTTTGATAGTTTTGCTCAATTGGAAAAATATTCCAGATTCTTGCCCATCGATGCCAAACAAATTCGAAAAATTATTTCCAGTCATGCTCACGTATCACAGAGCCGTTTATTCCCAGAAAAAGAACGAGACACACAAAAACGATGAGTTATGCAAAAAAAGAGAGCGGTCGGCGGGGGCAGTGATAGGGCATCTGTGGGTCGCGTTTGGGGGTGAAGGTGATCGTTGAGGGTTGGACAGCTTCAATGGAACGGACTGCAGGTATCGTCGACGTTGTACTGCAAGGGAAAGGGATTAAAAAAATAGCGAATCAGAGCAGGCTGACAGAAAGTGAGAGAGCGCGATAGGGAGAGAGCGTGGGAGAAAGAGAGAAACAGATAAAGAGGGAGAGAGTGAGAGAGTGAGAGCGCGAGATAGAGGGAAAGAGCGAGAGCGAGTGAGAGGGAGGGAGGTAGAAAACGAGAGAGAGATAGAGAGAGAGCCCAAGATTATATGGAGGTCCGTGTGCTTTAGTGGAGGGGCTGAGGTTAGCTTCTAACTATAGAAAAACTGAAACTGAAAAACTATAAAAACATCAATACAAGGATTTTTAAAAGTCAGTTGTTGTTTTCCACCAGAAAATAGAAAACGTTTGCCCCCCCCCCCATAGTTAACGACATCAGAACCAAAATAAATCAAAAGCGCTGATACCTGGAACATGCTGAGGCCCAGGGAACACTTGTACGTCTTCTGAAAGACGGCCGATGGCATGATGGCGCCGTTGACCGCGGCGTAGTGCGCTAGGCGTGGGCCGTTCGGGCTGGAATATCAGGGTTTTCGATAAAGATTGATCTTTCCTTACCTAGCCTGCACGTCACTGAACTTGTCGCAGTAGGTGAGGGCGGCGGCGCGGAAGAAGAGGTCGTTGCCAGAGAGGCCAAGCTCCGAGCCGACCTGAAAGGGGGGATGCTGCAGCAAGAGAGAGAGAGAGGGAGAGAGAGCGAGAGAGAGAAAGAGAGAGAGAGATAGGCATTCCTTACATCTATTTGCCAATCATCCACATTATTCGCGCCGAGATCAAACGCCAGCCGGGCCATCAGCAGCGAGTGCAGCCCCGTGTCGCCGGAAGAGTTGTAGCAGCGACCCTGGAGAAAGTAAGCTAAATCTGAGCACCCCGACCTCCTTGAACAAGTCGCAGGCGGTGTCGAATTGTGAGTATATACAGTCGCGCTTCTGCTCAGAGACACGAAGGTGAAGGCCCTTATGGCGGTCGGCGTAATCGATGATGTAGCTGGTCAGTGGGGCGAAGACGAAGCCAAGCTACGGAAAATGGTTTATCCATAGAGATACGGTAAAACTGAGAGCCTCATATACTTAAGGAGCTACAGACCAGAGCCGAAGTGGCGAGCGGCTTATCCTTGGCCATCGCCATGTACAGCACCGGGGGTGGGGTGCGCAGGTCTAAAAATCCGCAACTTTCTGATCTAAAAACCATTAATGCGTGGAGGATCTGAAAATATTTGCCGCGATTAAATTACTATAAAAAGTTGTTTCCTTACATCAAAAATTGTTAGAAAATTTTTATAATGATTATAAGTCTGGGCTTACTTTAGTTCATTTTCCTGGTCCAAGTGAGTTTTCGTATCTCGACTATTTTTAGTCCTACAGAGCGGTCAATAGTACCAAAATGTAGCTCTAGCTCTGTAGAACCAACCCACAGTACATCTGAATCGAAGGCTCAAATCTAGGAAACCCCCCCCCCCAGCCGACTTTTCAACTTTTCTACCTTACTTATTTTTATTTTTCGCTGCTTTTTTCGACTCAACTGCAATGTAGTCTTACTAATTAGCCTACGGCGAACATTTTGGTATACTTTAGAGCTCGCTAGCACAAAAGGGGGCCGAGATACAAAAGTTGGTGCCGGTTGGGGGGGTTTCTAGACTTTTACCGAATCGAATCAAATAGCGAAAAACAAAATAATTGAGTTTTAGAAACCTGGTACATTGAGGCAGGGCGACTTAATATTCACATTTCAACTTGTAAAAATTTTTCTAGCAATTTTGGGCGTCAGGTAACAAGTTTTTTGCAGTAATTCAACCAGGGCAAGCATTTTGAGATGCTCGGTACACATAGGATAACGGGGGGGGGGGGAAAATAACGGGGGGCACTCAAACTTTTTATATGATAAAAGTATTTTTAAATAAGCTTTTTTCGGGCTGTAAAAAAACTCTTAGTATATTTTTCGGTCCTCTATCGAATGGCATTTTCAAAATTTCGAAAATATTCAAAACGCCGAAAATTCCCCCCTGTTATCCTATGTGCTGCCCATAGTTTTCAAAAATAGTTTTTAGGCTATAAAACTTTTATAATACATTTTTTCGCGTTGTAAAAAAATCTCTTAGTATATTTTTTGATGTTCTATCGATTCGCGTTTTCAAAATATCGAAAATCTCAAAAATTTGGTTTCCCCCGTTATCCTATGTGCTGCCCATGGATTTTGATCAATTTTTGTTTATTCGATAAAAAATTTCATTTACATTATTTCGGGCTGAAATTAATTTTCCTAGGGCAGTTTTCGACGCTTTATCGAATGACGTTTTCAAAATACCGAAAATGTCGAAAATGTCGAAAATTTGACTTTCCCCCCGTTATCCTATGTGCTGCCCATAGATTTTCCTCAATTTTTGTTTATTCAATAAAAAATTTCTATTACATTATTTCGGGCTGAAATTAATTCTCTTAGTATATTTTTCGACGCTCTATCGAATGGCACTCGCAAAATCCCTCAGTAATTGCAAATTTCATAATAATGAGTGCCCCCCCGTTATTTTATTCCCCCCCCGTTATCCTATGTGTACCAGATGCTCACGCATTAATAGGACGTATGGCTGGAAGGTTAGGGCTGGGGGGGGGGGTAAGCTAGACCCTTACCCAGAGCCTTTTTTCACAATTCAAAGATACCCACGCTGCCCCTTCATAAAGTCCTCAAAGTAGTACTCGAAGGCGAGCTCGGCGGCTTTCTAAACCGAAAATTCTTGGAACGGCGACATTTCCAACACGAGCATGTGCGTCGCGCACTTCGCGACGCTCGCGGATCTCACGGTCCATCCCAAAAGCGGTCAGGTATTCGCCGTAGGTCTCGAGGAGTTTGTCGATGTTCTCGAGGTCTGTCGCGAGAGCCGTCACTTTGGTGCGATACTGGAAAGGCGTTTGGTTTCCTGACATCCCAAACCCACCTTGATCCACTGCGCCTCGCTGGCCGTGTTGTCGAAGAACCACAGCAGCTCGTTGTCCTCGTCTTCGGTCGCCATCTCGGCCCACTTCTTCGGCTCCTCCCCCGGGTCGACCATGAACTACGATAAATAAACAAGTAGACGCGGCTTATATCAGTGCGCTGATGGTCATCACGAAGAGTTTTTTTTTAAAGTGCAGTTTACCCCCCGGCCGGCACCCAACTTTTGTATCTCGGCTCCCTGTTCATCTACAGGTGTTTTAAATATACCAAAATTTTTGTCTTGCTCTGGCGAGTATTTTGGTATAGTATACACACCTGTAGATCCACGGGCCGCCGAGATACGGTAGGTGGATGCTGGCTGGGGGGGTAAACTGCACTTAAGTCTATACATCAATCAGTGTGTTGATGGTCTTCACGCGGAGTGTGTTTTGAAAGCAGGCAGTCAAGATACCTCAGCCATTACGTCGTCAAAACTTGCGAAGAATGAGCCGAAGAGCGTGGGAGGTTTGCCGGTCACCCTCGAATAATCGAAACTACGGAAGAAGGGATGCTCGACACGGGCTCGGAGAAGGCCTAGAAGGCGGGTATCACGCTCTCTCTCTCTCTCTCTCTCTCTCTCTCCCTTTCTCTTTCGACTATTCCCTTCAACCCACCGATATGACGTTTCACGGCGGGCAGATACTGTGAGAAGGCGGGGTTTCTCTAAAACATTGTGAAGCGAAAAATCGAGCACCACCTCGACAAACTTCTCCCAGTGAGGATACTCCTTGACGGTGTCGCGCCACCCGTCGGCGGCCAGCGCGTCTTCAATCTGAATTCGAGTTTGAGGGAGGAGCAGAAAATCGCCAAAAAGCTGTCCAGGTGGAGAGCGAAAGCGTGAGAGAGAGAAGGAGAGAGAGAGAGAGAGAGAGAGAGAGAGAGATGTGAGAAAGAGATCCTATACCTTTTTCAACTGCCGAATCAGCGTCAGCTTCTTCGAGTCGCGCGGGCAGACCTAAAAAGCAGCGTGCCCCCCAATAAGTTGAAGCTCCCTAGCTTCAACTACAAACTACATACATGACGGAAAAAGTTGTCGCACTCCTTGACGGTGGTGCTCTTGGCCGCCAGCGCGTCGCGGTAAATCCCGGTCAACACGCTCACATCGATGCCAAGGCTGAAAAATGAATAAAAATCTCGAATTTGCATCTCAACGCGGCAACAAGCAGCGAGAGCAGCCAAACGATGGGTGGGCGCATTTTGAGAATAATAGAGTTGGACCAAAAATTTTATAAATTAAAATCCTGGGCGAATATTCGAATTTTCCGGATGCAACTTACTTACTTAGGCCACGCTAAATTTTAAGGCGCCATCATTTCAAATGTTCTTGTAAATGACAGGTGCTAAATAAGTTATCCAAGCTGGCAAATTCGTTAAAATCGTTCTTCGATCTACCGCATCACCCACTCGACCAAATTTTTCAAACCTAAAAATGGCAATACATTGTTCTGGTCTTCTTCTCACCCATTTCAGATTGCTCTGGTGCACGGTTATCAGCGTCGATTCCTGGCAAATAGCCAGATGCGATCGCTACGCGGCCGCGCCGCAGGACCTGTTGCCCTGTTTGGACGTAAAAACGCTTGGATTTAAAATTATGACGCTATTTCTGTAAATTTCTGTAATCGTCATAGAATTTTGATCGTTCTGGACTTTTTAATTTTCAAAATTGGCCAAAGAAATGACAGGGATTGAGAGATTGGGTGCCTTACCCGGGAATTACGACATGTAATCACCGCGCGCTCAAACATTGATTTTCGCCCCGAGAATATTTCCGTCTTACTTAAATATTTTACATTTTTCCACAACGAAATCACTTTTCTGGTATTTCTCGGCTGTGACCCTTTCGTTTCTTGACCAGTAGGTCCAATCCCCGCATGCGTGCAGTTTGGCTGCCGAACCCCTTGAAAGCTCCCGTTGTACCAGTCAAAACCAAGGCATTTTATTCATCAAACGAGCGACAACACACGTATTAAATTCGAAGAAAAAGGTATTAACTTTGGGCATCATTTGTCGGGGGTAGCAGCTATTCGGCGATCGGGCGGGGCTGGTGGAGGAGGGCGAGGTCGGTATTCTGGTAGGCCGGGAAATTGAGGGCGTCCGGCGCATCGGGGGCCCAGTTGTCGAGGCCGGGCGGGTGGCTTTTGCTGTAAAAATTGAGTATTTAGGGTGCTTTTCCCAGCATAGCAGATGGTCTCTGCCAGAATGCCCTTGAGGCTAACAGTTCTGCGCCCCAATTTCCACAAAAATCACTGCTAATTTGCCTGAAGATCCGGTCAAGCTATCGAGAACCTTTAGTTCCGCAAATGATCTCTGCTAGTCTGTTGAACACGCTGGGATTTTCTTCAAGAATCGCAGCTAGTTTGCTATCTTGTCCGTTTCGGTCTTCCTCCAACGTTCCCTGTTTTTTTTCGCTTCCTATTTGATCTAGCGTGGCCAATGTTCGCAAGAATCGCTGCTCGTTTGTCTTAGTTCGAATCCGAAGTCCAGAATCTTTCTAGTTGTGCTCGATATCCTTCAAAAAACCCTGCTAGGCCGCCAGCGATTTCCCAAAAATCACTGCTAGCTTGCTCGGTAAATTCCTCACCGGCAATGCCTCTCAATCAACTTGTGCTTCTTCTTGTTGCTCTTCCTCGGGCCCTCAGCCTCCTCTTCGGGATCCAGATACCCGATCCCGGGCCGCGGCGTCATGATGAAGATCAGCTACAAAAAACAGTTCAACCCATGTCGCTATCTTTCAATACCTGGCGATGCATCGGCGGCACTGAGCTGGCGAGCACGTCGGCGGGGCGCGATTTGACGTACAGGTAGTTAGAGACGTTGGTCGTGTCCAGTTGGGCCTGAGTCGGAATCAGAATTCTGAATGTTCACCGACCTGCAAGTGACAATCCGGGTCCAGGTTCTCCAACATGACCATCGTGCCGGCAAACTTGTCGTGCTCGAGTTGGAAGAGGAAGCCCTGGGACTAAATGGGCCAAAATTTGAAATTTATTGGCCTATCAATTGTATATTCAATATATTTCAGATTTTATCTATATTCTCGAATCTAAAAAGATTTTACAAGCTTGTAAAAATACTTAGAAAAACTTTGGAAAGTGGAAATTTTTGTGATTTTGGCGTGAAAAAAATAGTTTTTTTGGAGCTAGCAAAAGTAATTCTTAAAGTTCATACTTTCTACGGAAATAATAGGAGGCCTTAGAGCTTCAAGGATCTTTGCTAGTAGTCCTCAATTTTTGGCTACCTTCTCCTCGCCCTCCTCCGTCTTCGCCCGCACATTGCACGCGTACTGCCGCCCCTTGCGGGCTACCAGCTCGATCAACGAGTCGGTGTACATCAACGGCGCGCAGGGGATGAGCCGGGCGGTGAATTGGCGCTCACTAAAAAACCGGGTTTTTACTTTTAAACCTTTAAAAACGGCTGGACAGCGGGTTCTTTCAGTATTAGAAGCGCTACGTTACACACCAATGCACAACAAGCGCGGCTCGGCGCTTCTTTCCGACGACACCGACCAGTCCGAGCGAGTGCGCGATGATCACGTAGAGGCCCTAAAACATAAATGAAAAGATGTAAAAAAATTTCTAACCTTCTTCAGCTTGGTCTCTCCAATGTTCACCGCCTCGTCGGACTTCCACTTCGAGTAGGCAGCCAGCCGACCGACTGTGCCATCGCCGTTGACACGATGCACGCAGAGGAGGAGGTCTTCCTGAGAAATATTTGGTTTAAAGGAGCGTTAAAGTCTAGCAAAAAATGGCTTACATTCAGAACGCTGCCAATAGCGGCCCGGGGATGCAAATTCGGGACGGCGCGGCTTTTCGTGTTGTGCAGCGAGAGGCGGATGGTCGCCGGTTCGGGCAAGTCGATGAGGAGGGCACTGACAATGGGAATTTTGGCTTACTCTCCCTCCCTCTTTCTCTCTCTCTCGCTCTCTCTCTCTCTCTCCACTCACTTGTCCCGATCATCAAAAGCCCCGCCAATCCAAAGCGGCACGCGCAGCACGCTCCAGGTCGCTTCACTATCCAAGTCTTCGGCAGTTGGATAGGGCACGATGCGAACCCAATGCACCAGCGTGTAAAGGAAGTCATAACTAGAAGTACAGTGTGAAAAAAGCTCAAATAAAAATCGATACCTGATCCAGTACATTCCGGGGGGACACGGCTTCTCCCGTAGCAACCGATCGGTGATGGATCTCGGCCAGTGACTGAAGGCAACATTCAAGGGACGTGTAAGGCAGAATAGAATCCTGAGAAGGCGGCTCCGAATAGAAGAAGCCCCACCCAAACGTGACCATTCTCGAGCTGAGGTCTTCGAAAAATGCGGGCGGATCACGAAGGAGGACGGCCCTTAAGGATGAATTCCAATAAATGAGTTCCAAAACTACCGGTGGTCACGATCCCCTTCCCAGGCGTCTAGAAAAGCGACGGCGTGCGGCCTGAAAGTCTCGAAATCTCTCTCTCTCTCTCTCTCGCTCTCTCTCGTTAGGTCCCCATCCTTACCATGGAATCGTGGTCCCACAGCACACCAGATGATCCTCAAGACTGGGCAGCACCACTCGGTCCCACACCATCTGCCGGCTCAGCTGCTGGTACGGCTTGTCGGTGTGGAAGACGTCGCACGGCTTGCCCGTCAGAATTGTCCAACCGAGCTGGAGGCTATATAGAGGGACGTAAGGAATCAAAAACTGCCTAGTACCTTCCCAAAACGAGACGATCGTACGAGCCGAATGCCTTGGCGACAGCTTTTTCGACGAGAGCGACCCAGAGCTGGAAAAACAAATCTCTCTCTCGCTCGCTCGCTCGCTCGCGCGTTCTCTCTCTCTCTCTCTCTCTCTCTGTCTCTTACCTGGTTCCGGATGAATCCGGCAAATAAAGCCGGTCGCTTCTCCGCCTCGATTTCTTCCGGATCCTCAGGCACAAATGGGAAATACCCATCCACCGTGATGATCTTCCACTCGCCGTCGATGCAAAACCTCCAAACAACAATTTCAAGGAGTTCAGCAAGGGCATACTGCAACTGGTAGATGCCGGCCGGGTTGTACTGCTTGGTGATGAAGATGTCGTCGATCAGCTCCGGTTGCTTGGCCATCGTGCACAGGACGGCGAGCAGCCAGCAGTCGCTCAGGCGGCCTAGACGGACAAGGTAGCCGCTTCTCTCTCTCTCGCTCTCTCTCTCTCTCTCTCTCCCGCTTACCCTGCAGAACATCAAGTGGAGACGGGTTGTCGAACAGCGCCCATTTCTCGCCCTCCTTGCATGGGATTCGATCTTCCGGACGCCGCCAGATCGCTCGCTAAAACAAGATTTTCTGGCGACGTGTCCAAGCATCAACCTTTAGGCTGTCCTCATACTTCTCGCGCCACTCCGGCTTATCCCGAGGGTAGTATCGGTTGAGATCACCCAGCGAAGAGGCCGACGGGGCGAAGTCCGAGTCAATGAAGGGGGTGCTGGACTCCCTGAAGTTGATGGTGTCCCGAAAATCGATGAAGACACTCACTCGTACTCGGCCATCAGTTTGACGAATAATCTCTGGGCGGCCCTCAGCTGCTCTGCGCTGGCTCGGTGTTTTCCGGGGCGATGGTCGAGCACATCGTCGGTCTAAAAAGTGGCGCTGGAGTTGTACAGCTACATATCTAGTTCAACCTACTTAACTTCACGGTTCTGTTCTATTTCGCGTGGGGGAAAAAACTGTGCTGGGGGGAAATTTTCTTCGTTTTTTTATAACTCTTTTATATGATGCTATTTTGAATTGTAATTAAAACTCTTAGTATATTTTTTTCACGCTCTATCGAATGGCATTAAAGAAATTTTTGAAAGTTATCGAAGGTGTCGAAAACTAGCTTTCGACTCCACGATCCTATGTGGAAACACCGAATAAACCTTGTTTTTGCTATAACTATTTTATAAAACAGTATTTTTAGATCAAATTAAAAATTTTTAAGTTAAAAAAAAGTTAAATTTTCAAATTAAAAAAACTCTGAGTATATTTTTTGATGCTCTATCGAATGACGGGTTCAAAATATCGAAAAACTGGCGAAAATGCCGAAAACTAACATTCCGGAACCAGTTTCAATAGTTTTTTTTTGTTTTTGCTATAACTTTTTTATATTACAATATTTTTAGCTAAAACAAAAACTCTTAGTCTCTTTTTTGATGCTCTATCGAATGGCGTTGCAAAAATCCCGAGAAAATAGCGAAAAGATGGAAGGTTCCGCGAAGCATATTTCCCCCCCACGCGAAATAGAACAGAACCTACAGTAGACTCGTCCACAACGATGGCATCGAGCGGGATACGGTAGGGAGGGGAGAGCGGACCCTGAAAAGTCAAGGTAACAGTAAGCTAAGCCGAAGTCAGGTCATAAGCTGCTCAAGACGGAAATTAACCTTTGGCTTAAGTGCAGTTTACCCCCCAGCCGGCACCCACCTGCCGTATCTTTGCTCCCTGTTCATCTACAGGTGTGTAAAGTATACGAAAATGTTCGTCTTGCTCTGGAGAGTATTTTGGCACACTTTACACACCTGTAGATGAACAGGGAGCCGAGATATAAAAGTTGGGTGCCGGCTGGGGGTAAACTGCACTCTAACCTAACCTTTTCCGGCTTATCGCATCGACAAGACAAGTAGCGCGCAGCAGCTGTGACTAGATTAACATATACAACGTTCAGAAACGGTATCCCACAATTCTGCCAAATCCAGCTGGGCGTGCAGGTGAAGTGCTAAAAAGCAATAAAGCGTCGAAAATTAAATCACTACCATGTGTGGCGGATCTTCAATTGGCTCCCGAAATTCCAGCGCCATGCAAAACGGCCGAAATGGGTACGGTATCCGGAGCGCGGAAGAGCCGCGACTTCCGCAGCAACAGGTCGAAGGAATGATTTATCAGTAACTTGTAGCTAGTCCTCAAGCCTGTATGCAAATTGTGAAGTCATGAAATTATGCAAACCTTACGAGAAGTGGCTCTAGCGATCTTTTAGCTTCACGCTCTCTCTCGCGCCCTCTCTCACGCTCTCTAGTTATCTCTGTCAGTCACTCATTCTCTCTTTATTTCTAGCTATCTCACGCGCTCTCCATTTGCCACTATGATCTTTTAACTTCATTTATTCATACAAAATTTTATTAATGCGTCTTTGCAGGTTCCCCAATGATCGCGGCTATGTCGCGGCAGATTCCGGTGGCATGCGCGGTTGCTTCGATCCATTTACAGTAGTGGGAGACATCGGTGTAAATGCCTGTAAACGTGGAAGTTCTCAAATTCTGTCTCTCTCTCTCCGTCTCTCGTTCTCTCGCTCTCTCTCCCTCGTGTGTCAGCTTACGATTTATTCCCGACCCATCGCATTCACCATCATAATTCGTCGCCATAGCCACGAGCACGTTGAATTTCATTCCTGGTGGCTGCTTGGCCGCCATCAAAACCACAGCCGGCGCCCCCAAATCACCCTGAAAAATCGTGAGCATGACGAAAGGACAGGTTTCCAGGTTTACGAAGCTGCGATAGCAACGCGTACCCAACATGGTATTGCCCTCTCTCCATCTTGAGAGCAGAGAACTTGCTCATGGTACTCCTCCCCGACACATTCGGTGCTGCCGCTTGGCAATGCGAGGCTGACGCCTACACTTCGGAGATCGCGAGAACCAATGTGTGATCCGTTGTCTGAAAAACTATATAAAAAGAGGAAGCGCAAGAGAATGAGATTCAGAGAGAGACCGAGAGAGAGAGAGCGCTGGAGAGAGACAGAGACAGAGGGAGAGAGAGACAGAGAGAGAGCGCTGGAGAGAGACAGAGACAGAGGGAGAGAGAGACAGAGAGAGAGAGAGCGCTGGAGAGAGACAGAGACAGAGGGAGAGAGAGCGAGGGACAGAGAGAGCACCCGGGAGTGCAAACCTTCTCTGGTGAGCCCCCATCCGAGCAGTGTCGCTTCGTAGGCCCCCGTAGCGTCTAGAGGCGCCTTCGGATCGGGCACAATGACGGGCCAGACTTCATCGGCAACACGTTCGAGCGGGTTTTTCAGCTAAAGTCGTCAGATTGCTTTTAAGAGGATCGTGCTCCTCTCTTCAAATTTCTAAAAGCGACCCCTACAATTAATAGAGCAACGTCGTTGACGTGGAATTTCGCGCTGTAGACGTCCTTCGGGTTCAAGGGATTCGGCCACGTTGACTCGACACTCTTGAAATCGTCATGAACCCAGATTCGGGCAATTTCGCGTTGTTGCTGGAAAATATGCAGATGCAGTTTGATCGTCGTGCACTTACTTCACTTACATTATGTAGGGAGTGGGCGCGTATATCTGCGACGCCGGCAATGATTTTCAACTCTGACTGGGGCCTAAATACATTAATCAGGGGCGTAGCCAGAAAAAATTTCGGGGAGGGCCCACGAAAAAATTTTTGCGAAAAACTCAAAAAATTACCGTGAAATTTTGGAAAAAAAGGCTTTATAGCTCTACAAATAGCAGTAAAAACGTGAAAAAATACCGCCGCAGGCAGCAAAATTTTTGAGAAAATAAAAATCGTAAGGGTCCCCCCTTATGAAATTTTCGGGCCACGGCCGATTTCGGAGGGGGCCCCGGGCCCAGGGGGCCCACCTTACGCTTCGTCCCTGAAAGTAATTATCGGAAATTGTATTAATGGAACGGGTTTGGAATCGAAAGTCAAGTGGTACTTAAAGGAGCTTAGAAACCAAAATTCGTGCGTCCGGGGAATACCCTACTGGTCAAAAAACGAAAGGGTCACTGCCGAGAAATGCCAGAAAAGTGATTTGATTGCGAAAAAACGTAAATGTTTGAGAAAAATCGAATTCTTTTTGGGGCAAAAACGACATTTTGAGTGCGCGGCAATTACATGTCGTAATGCCTCATAAGGCACCCAATCTCTCGATCTCGGCGATCCTCTGGTCAATTTTCATAATTTAAAAGTCTGGAATGATCAACATTCGTTGAGGATTCCAAAAATAGTATCAGACTTTTTAAAATTCAAGCGTTTTCGCGTCGAAATACAGGCAAAAGATCATGCGGCGCGGTCGCGTTGCGACTGCATCCGGCTATTTGCCAGGAATCACAGCAGGGGGGCCGTGGACCAGATTTCGAAGCCCCTTTTAATTTACAACGTTAAACTTTTCATATTCTGCTGTGATTTAGTTAATTTTATGACACCTACACTCCCTGGACGCATTGCGCTGCCGTCAAAACCGTGTCCTTATTCATAATCGATCCGGTACAGCGCTGATGCCAAAGCTCGCTAAATTTTCATACCACCTTAACAGATCGATAATTACGAGTCATTTGCGTCTTGCCGCATGACCGCCACCACAAATGGAAACGCTTTTAGGTCGTGGAGAATTTCTCCATTACGAATTGGCCAAATGGTCGGTAGGTTAATAAAAACCAGAAATATGAAGATCGCCACGGATACTTGCATCACTTGTGATTTTCGTAATAAATTCTTAGACCCATTACAAGACCTCAGGTTGGCACGGGGTTGAATTGATTTCGACCGGACCCTCCATTGGCGAATATTCGGCCCCAATACTTCTTTGGCAACTGGAGTGAAGCGTAGTGGAAAACGAAAATTTTTACGTTTAACGGGTTTCTTGATTTTTTTATAGTTAAAGCCTAAGTTATACAAAATTTTTGAACTTTGCTTTTTGCAAATTTGAATCCTGTTTCAGCCTCTTCAGAGGCTTGTCCATGACCCCGTATCCTTGATACGATGTACACCTACCGTTTTCCAAGAGAAAATATCCGGCTGCGCCTCAAATTTCCGGGATAGGCCAGACGGGGCTTGAAATTGATTTCGGCCGGACTTACCGAAAATGAACTCTATTACCTTATTTTCACTAGTTATTGCTGCGCTTCTTGCCTTTGCACAAGGTAATATTCACTTGATGTTTGCCAAAAATATTCATTTGCGCGTTTCGGTAAAAAAATCTTGCTTTATACGACGAGATTAAAAAATTATGAAATCTAAAAGCGCAAAATAGGCCCAAACTTTTCGAATTTCGAGCAACGGTTGCCTGTGCATTGAAAATTTTCAACAATTCTTTAATCTGGGCATCTTGCCGATTTTAAAAGCAACATCAGAATAAGCGAAAAATTGTAGGCGAAGGCTCCCGCGTGCGGAAACTCGATTGTCTCTAAAAATCGGTGTTTCCGTGTAAGCGGGGGAGCAAGGCGAGTTTCTTAATTAAGCGTATCCTACATAGCAATAAATCAAAATCTAGTTCAGGAAGGTTTTTGGTAGTTTCTGAGCACCAAAACACTGTGAAACTTTATCAGAACATCTTATAATTTTTTCTTGTATCCTAAGTTTGTGCCCAAATTTGGTTATTTTTCATATGGTTAGCCGCGAAAAGTCATTGTTTTTTTTGAAGGTTTGTTATTTTTTGAAAACGCTTGCATATGCATTATTGTTGGTCGTTGAATCAAATCACTGTGAATGCTATTGAAAATTGCTTGGCTTTAATTACTTCACCCCTAAAACGCCTTCGCAAGAAAAGTCTTCCTTGCTCCCCCGCTAACACAAAAGCAACAAAAGGCGTAGGAAGCTACAGACGTTTCATTTCTAGCCGGCGACCCGATTGCCGCGTTCAAGGCCGTCGACAAGGATGGTGACGGAAACGTCACTTTTGATGAGGTGCGTAGCGAGCTGATGGCGCGAGACCGTGGTGTTCCGGATGGAAAGGCCAATTCAGCGTTGAGGGCCGAATTCTGGGCCGTGGAGAAAACTCGCGATCGCAGGCTGAACCAGCAGGAATTTGCGAATTTCTACCCGGCGTTTAATAAGTATGCGAAGGAGGCGTGAGAACTGCGAATAAAAATATGCATTGAAAAAGCGCGCAACAATTTATACGGCAAAAAGGATAAATTCCGGTGAGAACTTCAAAAAAATCAAGGTTTCTTCTATATTTATAGGCGATCCAAGTCTCGGCATACAGTAGTTTTTGAAGCCGTCTCGATCCAGCTACAGTAATAGCTGGTACTGATGAAAACACCTAAAATGAGATCAGATTGCTATAAAAAAATTGCCATACCTCTATTCTCCACATATTTACAGTCACTATCACCGCTGCTGATGATTCCGTTTTGAATCCACAATTTCTCGCCCCGTTTGGTGGTCCAGGGCACGACAAGCGGGCCCCCGGAATCGCCCTGAAAAAAGTGTTTTAGTGTCGCACGTAGCTGTCGAGACCCAGTGGGCTGATTCTGTGCCTTCCCAGTCCCTTTAAAACTCCGATCTTACATACCAAGCATGGCCCAGTCCCTCGCGCTTCCCCGCAGACGATCAGTTCGCCAACCGAGCGGGGCACGATCCATGCCAAGCATCCCTGCGGTGAGTACATGGTGATGTACGTCGACTTCAGCTCGTTAGGGCGGGCAGAGTCTGGGAATTTAAGTCCAGTTTCGTCCTTCGATACCAGAATATGAAGTCTTGCCTACCCTTCGAAGTCTGGCCCCATCCCATCACCTTGGCTTCGACGCCGGCCCGCTCAATATTCGAGTTTTCTTGACAATGGTGGTCGGCCAAACTTGACCTCGGATCAGTTTTAGTGGTGTTGTTAACTGAAAGCGCGATTATGGAGGAGGTTCTTAGGTTTGGCTGTTTCTTAGTGGAACCGTTCCGTTACAAAATTGGCACAGCATTAATTTTGTGGATTGGCATTAATTTTGTCGATTTTTTGGGACAGCCTGCACAGCCTGTGCGCCGCGCGTCGCGGCTGTACAGCCCCCCCCCCCCCCCCTTTAGTGGGCCGCAGGAACGTTCGATCGGGTTGATTTTTACACCATTCTACAGCCAACGACGAGTAAACAAACGCTTTTTGTTTTACAATTTTTTTGCCCGCGCTCGAATTAACGGATTTCCTAAAAAAGCGCAAAAGCAGCGTCGTGCTTTTTGCTTGCGCGAGCAAGTTGCTACGGATTTTGCATAAAATCTACAGTTTTGATTTTCGTCCTAAAATTCGTTAACTAAATGGCTTATTTTGAAGAACTAAAAGTGCTTTTCTTCTCGGCTTTCCGAGAGCTTTTGCTAGATATCTACATCCTCAAAACCGTACATTTCTGCGGCCCGCTAGTGAGGGCCCGATTTGTTTGGGACACCTTGTGGTCAAATCAAAAACAGTCTAAACAATCTAAGCCGGAAGTCGTCCCCACCCCTAAGTTTGCCTTATAAAACCTCACCCTCAAGAGCGCAATATCGGCCTTGCGAAACGGCTGCTCCGGGCTGATCGGAACGTGGCTATATTGTTTATGGAAGACAAAGTGGTCGACGTTGACTTCTTGCTGAAAAGTGTTTTGTAATTTAGATCAAAACATCTCCAACTCGAACGGATGATTTCGTCTTGATTTCGGTGGCACCGGCGAGGACCTTCACCTGCATGGGTTCGCTAAAAAATTATTTTTTGTAGCTAAGGAAATTAATTAACGCATTTCGATAGGTCTCTTTCTAAATAAATTAACAAACACGTTTTGGAGGCAATGCGCAGCCGTCAGGATCCAGTTCTCGTCAATGATCGAACCGCCGCATAAGTGTAGCAAGGTTTTGCTAAATTTTCCGCGTTAAATTGTGGATATTTCTTTATTATCTGAACAATATTTTCTTTAAAAAAATAGTAATTTACGGGTCCATCGGATTCTTCTGCATCAACGCGACGACGAACGGGTTCTCGACCATATTCTTGACGACATCACCACCCAGGATTGCGCGGCGCTCGGCCATCAGGCCAATGAGAAAGGATGCAAAGACCAGAACATGGAGCCAAACCATGACTTTACATATTTTACGAAGAGCTCCAGGGTTTGTTTATATAGTTTTTGGGCTCCAGACGAGTTTGGCACCTCTTCAAAAAGCATCATAAAGCATTTGTCGATTTTCAATGGGCTTTTAGGCTGGTGAAAACTGTAGTAGAGAGAGGCTAGACAGCAACTAAGCCGATTTCCGGTCAATTTGAAGAGTGAGTAGGCCTGACGATGTGGACAGTATCGTGAGCGTCCGAGTGCGCGTTGCGTGCCGCACTGCGCTCAAACCAAAAAAACCCTAAAAGGCTGTTTTTTGGCAAAATTCAGCAAAAGTAGTTGTTTTTCGAAATCAAAAGACCATCTTTGAGATATATGGATGGTCAGCTGGCTGCCGCCTGGATCCTACACCACTTGACGCAGCATTTTCACGTGGGTTTTCTCACTGATTTCGTTTTTCGTTTTATTTTCACACCCGTTTTAGCAAACCAAACTAAAAAACCACTCAAATACACACGAGTATTCCCAACTTAACAGACTGGCTTTAGACGAACGATGTCGGTATTGTCCACTTATGCAGTAGAGTGGCGTGATTGTTTTGAAAATGTTGGCTTTACTGGGCTTTTGGCGTCATGGTGGAACTGAGCTTGAAACGGATAGATGATTTTATTGCCTTTTGTGAGAAAGTTGAGTGAAAAAGGGAGTAGCACTCAAAGATTCGCATCACCATCGTCAGCTTCTCACAATTCATTCATATCATGACAAAGGTTGTTGATATTTGTTTGTTTCTGGATCCAATCGCAGTAGTAGGCTGTGTTCATGTAGGTGCCTGGAAAGATTTTTGACTCTACACACCCTCTCTCTCTCTCTCTCTCTCTCTCTCTCTCTCTCTCCCTCTCTTTCTATGTCTCTCTCTCGCTCCCCCATCTCTCTTTCTCTATCCTATCTCTCTATCGTTGCGGTATCTCGTTTCAAAGTTACCAAAATTATACATCCAAACCTTACCCGTTGAGCCCTCGTATCTTCTGTCTCCCGAGCTAACGACGAGTCCGATCTGCGGGTAATACCTCCTCCCCTGGGATCCCCTTAGGTGAAGAACCAATGGCCCTCCAGAATCTGCCTAAAATTTTACCCCTATACTCTCTGTGTACTGCCTCGATCTCGGCTCTCCAAAAAAACAACCTACTTTCAAGGGACCGGTTCCTCGACTCCCGGCGCATATCACGTATTTTACATATCTCGCCGGCAGGTGCGGCTTCGATAGGCGACACCCGGCGTCCGTGTAAATATCGACAGTAGTGCTCCGCAGATCTGGGGATGTGTCCTCACCTAAACATTGTCAGCTAATTGTTCTAATGCATCGGAAGGAACCAAGGCTTGCAGGAATTTAACTGTACCTGGAAGAATTAAGCCTATTTTTGCTAAAAAGGCTTTTTAGAAAAAGCAAACTGAGCTGAAAATCTAACCGCGACCAGTGGTCGCCGACCACCCAGGTTCCGAAGAACACAAAGAAACGTTTGTCGAGTATAGGCGAAAAAATTTAACGTCAAACAGAAAGGATTTCCGGAATAGTGAACGTATTTCCGACCTGGAGCAGTTCTTCCCCAGCCCATCACGACTCCCCGTTGCCGTGGCTGCTTGAGCACAATGTTCGGCTTCACCAGCAGTGTCGGCATTGCCTGCTTGGATTTGAGGAGTATTGGTGTCTCGAGCTAAACAGTGTCGTAGAATCGATACTTTTATAGGAAGCGGTGATTTGTGTCAACTTCTAAGGTGCTGATTTCCAAGCACTGATTTTGCTAAATTGTGACTTGCGAAATTTTGAATTTTCAAGGTAGATTTGGCTACGGTTTACTTTACCCCCCCAGCCGGAGGTTTTTGGCTATAAATTTTTTATTTTACATTATTGTATGCTCAAATTAAAACTCTTAGTTTATTTTTCGACGCTCTATCGAATGGCGCTGCAAGAATCCCGACAAAATAAGCGAAAATACCGACAACTTTGTGACCCTTCGGCTGTGGGGTGAGGTAAAGTAAACTCTTACCGTAGATTTTACCAATTATGTTAATGTTGTTTGTTAATAATTAATAAATATGTTTCTCTAGTTCATGACCTCGCTCAGCTCGCATCTTCGCTGATCTAACCCATACCTTAATCAGCCCAATATCAGCTGGATCGTAAGCTTTTCTCAATTCGCGGTCATGCCTGGGGTGCGCCACAAACTGCGACGCACGAATCAGTTGCTAAAAAGCGCCTACAAAAAAAACGTACTCTATGGACTGACCCGCTGTGACGAGTTATCGCGAATATTAGCCACCCCTGCGATTATTGTTACGAATATCGGCTTGCTGAAATGAGCAAACGAGTCTGAGGTAACAAGGCGCGATTTTTAGGCGATCTTGGTCGATTTTGAGCATTTTTGGCTCCCGCTTAACAAAATGCGAACTTTGAGAAACTTCTTCTGGGCGACCGTTGTCGCTCAGTAGTTTTTGAATGATGGGACTGGTCCAGAATTTTAAGTTCTATCGAATGAGCTATGCCGCTAATTCCAAGATCATCTAAAAATCACTGCTTGGATGAAAAAGAGAGGACCTGAAATTAAACTTACGTGCCATTAAAACAATGCGCAGCCGTCAGAATCCATTCTGCGTTGACAATAGAGCCAACGCAGAATTGCTCCAAACCGTCTCTAAATTTTATGGTAATCTCCGCAAAAAATGACCTACGGCTCTCTAAAATTTCGCTGCATGATTGCGACGGCAAACGGGTACATGTTCATATTTTGCACGATTCGACCGTTGAGAATCTTTTGATTTCTTTGCAGGGCAGCTGCGCGGTCAGAGACCTTCAAAACGGCATATAGGAGGAGCAGAAGATTGTTCCAAGCCATGGAAAATATAAGCAGATCTAGTTTTCTGTTCCCGCAACCTTCACAAAAATTCAATAAACCTGCTTTATTGCATTGTAAAAATAGGCACCGGCCCCTGAATGTCCCGCTCTGCAACTTTAGCAAGTGCTGCGTTACATCTGCCTAATTCTTAGATTAGACGGGCATTAGACGGGCATTTTACGTTTTAAAAAACGACGGTTTGTGCATTGTTATAAAGTTTTCAGCATATTTTGGTTTGAGTTTCGAGGGCCAAAGTAATAACGATTTATTCAGTCACCTTGCTTGCATCTCGCGAGCTCCGGAAAACAAGAGGCGTGCTTCGCGTCAGTGATAACCGCGTATCCGTCCGAGCGATTTTGGTCCAATATTATAAATAACGCCTCGCCATCCGCCCGATCGATCCGGTAATAGATGATGGGAAGCAGCACAATGTCCTCAACGCAGAATCTGGGGTATTTGTTGAGAAATATGGGGGCCGAGTCGGCGTCAAACATCCGGCCCAGCCATATCTTGTGGATTTCACGATCGCCCCTCTTCCACTCCTCGATAATGGCTTGCATATAGACTTCAAAGGTTGGGTCTAATAACTCGAAAGACCCGAACCGCATCTTCGGGATCTTCAGGCGAAGGAATTCGAGTGGAATCTCCCAGCAAAACGCGTAAAACTCGTGGGTATTATTGTTTAGCCAGGCTAACAGCACGTCACATGGCGGAGCGGGTTTTGGCAGCTCCCGGCGATATTTTCCGGTCGGCTTGTGGACCTCCAAATCGGTAAGCGAGTCGTCGAGCCAGAAGCTTAGTTTGAGGTGGTGCGCGCGGATATCGATTGCCTCCTCAAATATGTCCCTGATCCAAAAACGACCGCCGATTGTCGAATTATCGAAAATCAGCTTAAAGACCCTTGGAAAGATGACCGGGCGTCCCCAGGGGTGAGGGACCGACGGGGACTCCTATCGACGTAATTCATATTAAAAATTCGTAATTTTTATGCAAAGCGCATTCTCGTCGCTTCAAGGGAAACGCGTTGCGAACAGACGATCGCGTTGTAATGGCCACAAAGTTCTTAAGACGCTGTTTCTAAGTCAATCTTACAATTTTTAGGCCAGTTTTTATGAGAATTGTTTTGTATAAGAATTTATTCTTCTTCTGCCCCATACTATCATAAGATGTTCGCATCCTGGCAGACCTCGCGGCCCACCACCTCCTTGACCCACCCGCAGCGCGGCGGCAGGTATTCAAAACTCTCTGAAGGTAGGATTAGTGCGGATTTTACTTATACGTACCTGGATGGTCTTTCGTGGTACACGATTCCGTCCTGGCGCGTATGAGCGCGATTTGGACCCAAGCCACCGTGTGTTTTTGGCTCACCCATGGATGCATCAACGGGCCTCCGACATCGCCCTGTGAAGCGGAGCTTGGCTGAATTTGGAGTGTTGTAAAAACCTGACATATCCCGGGAAAACTGGTCGGCACGGCGCAGAAGTAACCGGGCGACAATTCTGAATCGTTTGAATACTGTAACAGAGAGGACAGAAAGAGAATGAGTGAGAGAGTGAGCGTGAAAGAGTGAGAGAGAGATCGCGAGAGCCCGAGAGAGAGTGAGAAAGAGAGGTAGAAAGTGACAGAGAGAGAGGGAGAGAGTGACAGAGAGAGAGAGAGAGAGAGAGAGAGAGAGAGAGAGAGAACAGACACCACTACCAGTAAGGCTTTCGCATCCCGATTCCCCATTCACAAAAATGGCTCGTAGGCGCTCCTTTGGATCTGAAAATCAAAAACCCGATGCCAAATTTTTTAATCACAACGGGGAGCATTTTTCTGTAGAGTCTCCATTTACCTACCGCTCCCAGGCTGGCCCCAGCCCAACGCAGTCAGGCGCTTTTTGTCCTGCTCGAATTTGTGTGCGTCCTTGGCGAGGAACACTGGCTGCACGCTGTCCCCGAAGCTGAGCGGCTCTTTCAGCTAGACTTCAATTTTGAAGGAGGAATGTGGCTGCTGACCCGAAGCAGCGCAATCTCGGGAGTTCTCGTGCTCCATCCGCCAATACTCGGGATCTTGGGAGGGCTGCGCTTCTCGGTCACCTCACGCGTTTGCTATTTTGTGCCGATGATTACTTATATGTGAGGGAGTGAACCTTGAGAAGTGAAGCTGTTCTCAGCTCAGCAACGCCGGCGATGACCACCAACTTGGTGAGGTCACTAAAGAATTCCGGGCAAAATTCAGCGATTTTGCTTGCTAGCTCTTTTTCTTCACTTCCTCATTTCACTCTCACCCTCACACGATGTTTTTTAGCTCTCTTCCTCTCTCTCTCTCTCTCTCTCTCTCTCTCTCTCTCTCTCTCTCTCTCTCGTTCCTCACACTATGGATGACCTACACTTTTGCGACGCATTCAAGTGAAGTCAACACCCAATTCTTGTCGATGATCGTGCCACTACAGTTGTGAATTTGTTGCCATCTAATTATATGGCATATTACGATTAAACAATAATTCATACGGTTCTCCCTCCTTCTTCTCCATAATTGCCACCATATAGGGGTAGTCCTTGATGTCGTTGACGAGCTGCTCGGCCGGAATTTCGGCATTTACGCCGTAGCTTGACACCAGAACTGCCAAAAGGATTAGAGCCAGCATGTTGACTATACGATTTTTGGGCCGCTACCGCTTTTATACATACAATGTTTTATATTTAAATTTATACAATTTGGCGGCTTATTGCCTTGCGAAATAGACTGTCTATCCGTCGCGTTTTAGCCCTGTGGAATGTGAAGAATTTAGATAATAAAATATGCGGGTATTTAAAGATAGGGAGAGGGAGAAAAAGAGATGAGAGAGAGGGCGAGAGAGGGTGTGAGAGACAATGAAAGAGAGCGAAAGCGTGATTTAAATGATTTTTATAGTTTTTAGAGCGTTTAATTCGAGGTTTTAGGGCTTTTGGTATACCACATGAAAACAATTTATTTTTGCGCGCCCTTCACAGGCTACCGACATCACGGCATACAGGATGTTCGACGATCTGCTCCATCCACTCGCAGGCATCAGTCAGGTTTAGCAGTGACGCTGAATGTAACTTACAATATTTTATATCCTTCTTCTGCATTATCGGAGGTGGAGGGTAATTTTCAGATTGAAATTTGTCAAAATTTTACGCTGAACTATGACTTCACGGGGTTGCCGATAGAAAAGATTTTGCCCAGTGTGAAAAAGTGAGTGTTCCCGCCCCTGCCTCCCCCCGATAATGCGCAAATCCCTTTATACGGCAAAAAAGCAGCTTGTAGTATCAATAATAATCATCACCTCCTTTGGCGACGTCACACTGTACCCTGCTGCCGATCATCCCAATCTGGACCCATACAATCTGGTTGCGCCCATCGAGCAATGGAAACATTAGAGGGCCGCCGCCCTAGAAGGTACGAACATAAATCTTGTAGCACGCCAGGAAAATAAAAAGGAAAGGAAAAGCCATACGCACCGGACAAGTACGGCCGGAGAAGTTTGTGGGCACGCCGCAAGGTTGATAATAAATGTGCCCATAAGCTGCTAAATTTCGGAATTCTGAATTATTTTCCTCGCCTAGAAATTCCTAGCAATTTTTTAGTGGCAATTGAGTATTGCATAGAATTTTTTGCTGATTTCGAACATGATTTCAAAATCTGCGAAACCGACCGACCGATTAACTAAATGAAAAATTGCAAATAACTTCAACTTTTTTTCTAGACAATAAGCTTTTTAAATTCGGAAAAATACAAACATGGGTAATAAAAAAGTTACCCTTGTCGCAGGAATCGAGAGCTGCCTGCTGGGTGAACTCTGTCATGTAGAGTAGCTCGTTTCCACCTAGGGAATTTCATAAATTGACGAGAACACGTGGAAATCGTTGAAAAAAGTGTTTCACAGGGCTCAAACTAGTCCTAAAAAATGGCTTATAAAAATCAGCACCAGCGGACAGATTTTTACCCTGAATTTACTACCCACCTTGGCTACGTCCGAGCAGCTTCATTCGGGTCGAGGGGTTCTTCAGCTTTTCCGAGTTTTTCGGCACGACCACTGGCTGGGCACTATTCCCAAAATCGATCGGTTCTTTCAGCTGCAATTTTTGGTAAGCTGATGGCAAAAAGGCAGGATTTACCCGTAGCAAGGCGAACGCCACAACATGGGTGCGCTTCTTGACGACTGCTCGGACTTGCTACTTAATCAATATCGAGAACCTTTTGGAGCACGGACCTTAAGTTCAGAAGTGGTGCGAATTTCGGAGGTTCCGGCAGTGACCACCAAAGTGCTGATGTCGACGCTAAAACGTGTTTTTTTGAGGATGCATTTGCAAATTCATTTAAGAAATACGCGTGAAAGCGTCATGATGGGAATAGTTGTCTGTGCCAAAAGCGGAAGCTATCTAAACCTGCCAACCTCCTACCTATCTGGCACACAAGTCGCCGGCACCACCACCCAATCCTTGTCGACGATCGACCCATCGCACTTATAGTCTTGCTGCCATCTGAATGTTTTCATCTGCAAGGTGTTCGAAAAATAGATCCCCCACCGGTTCTGGCGGCTTACAATTCGGAGGAGGGTCCAATTTTTACGATTCATACACCAATCGAACGGCGATGATAGATAATTTCGCTGGTTCCCAATCTTTATATTTTTCCTAGATTTCCTAAAGTTTTTGAGCAGCGGGCCGAACTCGCGATGCTTTTCCGATGAAAGGGTTTTAGCAAAACCCATAATTTCCGGATTTTTACGTTTTTTTGGCATCCCCAAGACGTTCACGGCTATTTTTATTTGTTTGAAAACTAAAATGTCGCAATCTCATTTTGACGAAATTTTTGTTGATGAACTTCCATATACTGATCACAAACGTTTTCTGAAAAACAATTGAATTGAAAGCTGAGAACACGGCTTGACTAGCGCTTAAGCCAATAAAACAGAATTTTAAATGCATTAAAATGGCATGCAAACTTCCCAAAATCGAAAGCAATCGCGAATTTGAAAAAATTTGAGGAAAATTGGGTTATCAAAAGTTTTCATTGGATAAATATACATAAATCGCAATAATTGGGCACTCCTGCGGACCGTTCGAGAAGAGATACGGTAAAAATTCGAAACATACGGCTGGCTCTCATTCTGCTGGGTGATTGCCACAATGAAGGGATAGGCGGTCGCCTCTTTGATCACCACCTCGGGAGAGCCGGTGAGCTCGACACCGTTGTGTGCATTTGCCGCCAGGATTGGCAGCAGGAGCAGCGGAATTGAAAAGAGCATCGCGAAAATACAGTTGGGCGCGAGACAGGCAAGGCTTTTATAAAATCGTATAGAAAATTTATGCAATAAGCCCCGTATTGCTTTTGGTATTTTCGGTACACGTCTGCTTTTTGGCGGGGCTTTATTTGTATTCAAAAATTTATTAACCTTAAATCGTCTGGGTTATGCCACTTTTCGAAAATACGGTAATTCAAATCGAAATGAATTTTTTGTTTCTTTTAAACGCGTCATTGCGAATCCAAAAAATACGAATATGACTAGCAGGACATTTTCCAAATCCATCAAGACAAAAATAGAAATATGAGCTTTGCAAACTTTTGTTCTGCTGGATCGTCATAAAAATTCTACGCCAACCGTTTTTAGCTTGATACCAGGGTTGAAAAGCCGCTTCGCGACTTTTCAACCCTGGCCCCGTCTAACCCCTGAATATTCCTCACTCTGCATTCGTCTCTCGAATTTCGATGAGAAAATGAAAAATGACGCTCTCTAGCTGATTATATAGGCTCTTGTCACTTGCGGTTTATGCTGATTTTTTCTAACAAAGAGGGTTGCCGAAAATTTTACAAAAACGTAAATTTAATGTTGAAAATGGCTTATTTGTAAAATCTGATAAGCGTGCAGTCATCCCGGAGCCATTACGCACCTAAAGACGTATCATACGTGCCATAAAATTCATCCCCTATCGAGATATCCTCCGGACATGGTGACGGAAGTTGCATGCAAAGTGGCACACACACACACAGACACTATTTTTTTTTATATATAGTAGGATTGAAAAAAATGGGGTTTGCTTATACTTCCGAAAATGGGATCCCCGAAAATTGGTTTCCCGAAACTCGGAGCCCCGAAAATCGGAGTCCCGAAAAATCTGAGTCCCGAAAAATCTGACTCCCGAAAATCTGAGTCCCGAAAATCCGAGTCCCAAAAAATCTGACTCCCGAAAATCTGAATCCCGAAAATTTGGCTACTGGTTTTTAGGCTTCCGGCCCCAAAAAAAAAAACCCAAATCACTGCGGGTATTTTCGGGACTTAGATTTTCGGGCGTCGGAGTTTTCGGGACTCCGATTTTCGGGAGTCAGATTTTTCGGGACTCAGATTTTCGGGACTCAGATTTTTCGGGACTCCGATTTTCGGGACTCCGAGTTTCGGGAAACCAATTTTCGGGGATCCCATTTTCGGGAGTGTCATCGGAATTCGAAAAAAATAGAGCTTGAAACACGACTGGTTTCTTAGCAAACTGTAGAACCTACAGTAAAGCATGTTAATATTGTAAAAACCTATTTTTGGTCCCCGGCGTATTAGAAATACCTATATTCCTATATATAAAAGTATTCCTCGAACCACAACAATTTATTCTCATCGTAACTCCGCCAAATCTTTGCACAAATCCGGAATCCCCGTCTGCGTCTGCACCCAGGCGCAAAACCGGGCCGCGTTCATGTAGGCGGCTGAAAAAACACGAAAAAAAATCCTAAAATGGCTGGTACAAGGGAGAATTGGGGGCTAGGCGTCTACAAAACAGTACTATAGCGTCGAAACGAAAAAACCACGCACCAGATTTTCCGTTTTGCACACACGTCGATGAGCCGCGGCTGACGATGCCGATCTGGGGCCAGTGCTTCTTCCCACCAACCTTGACGGTGAGGACGAGGGGGCCACCGGAGTCGGCCTGAAAATACGCCAATTTACAAGGAAAGATGCGACATGCCGAAAATCAAAATACCGGCCGCAAAAATGCCGAGGTTCAGAATACCGACAACAGTAACTCCGAAATTCAGAAATTCGACAGAAAAATGCCGACGCTCAAGACATCGGCAGAAGAATTCCGACACGCAAAATGCCGACACCCACTGGAATTTAGTACACATTAATTAGCCTTTTTGGATGTCAGCAATCTTGGTGTCGGTATTTTCGCATGGGGCATGCTGGGTCACGGCGTTCCCGTTGTCGGCATTTTAGATGTCGGCATTCCGCTGGGAATAAAAGCTTGAGCGAACTTTTAAAAGTATTGAGACGACAGTCTGTTAAAATGCGAGAGGTTAGAAACACAATACGTTACAGTTCTCTATAATAAAGTTCGTCAAATCATACCGGACAAGGTCCATTCTCCGCCCTGCCTCCACAAAGAATATTTGGCGCAAAAGCCCTTCCGTAAATCGAGTGGCAACTGGCTTCGGAGTAGAGGTCGATGGTCGTGTAGCGGAGGTCTGGTGATTTCTTCGGGTCTGCAAGGATGGAAAACCAGAGAATGGAAAAGAGCTTCTAGTTCTCACTGCGTTTTGTAAAAACATTGTCTTTGTAAGTTTCGTGCTGCTCACAAGTCGTTGTTTTTAGATGCATTGGAAATTTACGATGTGGCATAGCCCATTCGAGAAAGCACCATTATCTTGGAAGAATTTGGGAACGAATCTGGCCTTCAGAAAATTTGCTGTGAAATGCTGACAATTTAATGCTGTTTGCCCGGCCCTAAATAAAATTCGAATTTGAAGAAACGTTTTTCCACTTCCGCTACCGGTCCGCACTTTGCCAACATCGAGAGCAATATCAGGCTCAAGGCTATCGATTTAAGCAATGATAAATTATCTCCAAAAACTCCAGAAGCACCTAAACTTAGTTTACCTCGCCCAGTCCTGCCCCATCCAAAAACCTTTGCTTCCATCCCGCCTTTGGTAAGCTTCGGATCCGGTTTCAGCAATAGCGTCGGCCACGCAACTTTCTTCGTTAGTTTCACGGGCGTTTTTAACTGGAAAGTTTAAGAAATCGACGACTACCAGCCTCGTCCAACCTTCAACAACGCCACATCAACTTGCTCGTAGTTTATTTGCTGCTTGGACTTCCGGTTTTGGTACGAAACGTACTTGCCGTGGATCACGAATTGGGCTACTTGAACTATTTGCTAAAATCGGGGAGCCATGATTACAATAACTTTTTTTTTCTACCCGCTGCGGCGTCTGGCGACGTATATTTGCGGCTCCGGCTACAATTACCATGTTGGTGGGGGAACTGGAAAGTGGATGTTGGGGCTGATCTTTTGAACGGACTACAAAGAAAGTGATTTGTTACGGAAATGCCTCTTGCAAAGTACAGGGTGTCCCAAAAAAAACGACCCATCTGGCGTTTTGCCGTGTTACATCCAAGCGGCCCCAAATTTCGATGAGAGGTGTATCAGGCCCTAAATAACAACAATCCTGACGTATAGCCCTGTAGCTATCGTGGTTCTCAAGTTATAGCGAAAATACTGTTTTTCTCGCAATTCCAAACAGTTTTTTCGCTGTCGTTTTGGACTTTGCATCGATTTGCATCGACTTCCGCCTGCGAAACCCCAATTTCGCTGCAGACCTTGGGTAATTTTGTGTTGTAAAAATAGCTTAAATCAAAGCTTATTTGATTAATTTTAGTCCGGAAAGAATTCCTTAAAGTAAAGAAAGCCTACCGAATCATTTTCACTTAGTGTTTAGGGGATTTAATTCCACGAAAACCCCATGAAAAATCAAAAATAAAGTTTGTTTTTGCTATAACTCGAGAACTATTATAGCTACGAGGCTATAAGTCAGGATTGTTGTTATTTAGGGTCTGATACACCTCTTGTCCAAATTTGGGGCTGATTGGATGTAACACGGCGAAATGCCAGATGGGTCGTTTTTTTGGGACACCCTGTATCTGAAAAATTACTGTTGATCGGTGCAATGGGCAGCAGTCATAATCCAGTATTCATTCAGAATAGAACCCCCGCAAATATGTCGCAGGCCGTCGCTAAAAATTGTTCAGCCGAGACTTTAGCCTCAAAAAATGTTTTCTTACGGTGCCCTGGCATCTTGTACCATGATCGCCACAACAAATGGGTACTTCTTCGTATCAGTAGCAATTTTCCCATTGGAAATCTTTAACCGTCTACGGGGTCCTTGTTGACTTAACTTGATGAAAAGCCCAAACAGCAGCAACAGGTACAAACTCCAATCCATAGTGGCGAAGACCTTGCGAATTCAATCGCAGGCTGGGGCACATCCCCGCAAAATCAATGGCGCTTTTTATTGCTTTTTGAAGTAGGCTTGGCTTCTCAACTTTTATGATCCTAAAAAAATTCAAAACGTATTGAAAAATTAATGGCATTGAATTTTTGTACGCTTCAGGTCATCCACATCCCTTTTGTATGCCATCCCCCTTTTCTGACTACATACCAATTTCCCGCAACCACTACTAAAGCACAGAACTGCTAACATTGATATGGCCTCTCTCTCTATCTCTCTCTGTCTTTCTCCCTGTCTCTCTCTGTTTCTCTCGCTCTCTCTCTCCTCCTCCTCTCTCTCTCTCTCTCTCTCTCTGCCTCTGTTTCGCTCTATCTTCCGAAACTCGTACTGTAAGATTTCTCGGATAATTTCCGGTTCCGCTTCGAAAGAAAAACGCGGAACATGCAAATTAGCTAAAAATCCCAACTTTCAGGAGAAATCTGTTTTCCTTTCAACGTAAAATCGAGATCAAGTATAACAAAATTGATATATTCCAGGTCACACCGGTCTAACGTCCATATCTTCTCAAGCTGTCAAAGTCTCGGCAGAGGGCCCTGATATTGGTCATTCTCTGCACCCAAGGACAATAGTGCGCTGCGTTCATGTAGTATGCTGGAATGGAAAATGATTCTGGAGTTTGAGTGCCGGGCTCTTTTGCAATATCGGTGGGGGGGCTCGACCGGGATGCGGTGAAGCCGAATTTATGTCGGTTTAAAAGCAAGTTATGGAAAAACTATTTTCCTATCGAAAAACTCACAAAAATAGAAAAAATTAGCAGCACATCAAAGCTGTCTAGGAAAAATTCTCGTGTTCAAAATTAAATCCGTAGCAAAAAATCCAGCCAAGCCCCGCCCACCTCCCCCCAGTAGTGCACAAGAACCGAGTTCGGTGAAGCGGAAGTGAAATGGTCCCTTTCACGTTCAAACATACCCAGTTTCCTGCTATAATTACAATTTTTCGGGCCGCGACTGACGATGCCGACTTGAACGTAATACTCCGTGCCGAAGGCATTCACCGGAAGTATCAGCGGCCCGCCAGAGTCGCCCTGAGTTCCGCCACTGTACGGTAGAGCTCGAACTCACTAGGCAAGGCCCTGTGTACCGGCTCCAGCCGCAAATGATGTTTCTGGCGTACGAGCGGGGTAGGGCGGCATGGCAGCCGCCAGGCGTCCATAAGTTCACCACGGTGCTGTAGAGATTCCATGCTGTTACATTCCCTAAACATCAGGTTGTCGTGGAAGTCTCATGGGCTTTCTAAAATGCTAAATTTTCGAAATTTCATAATTTCGAAATGCATAATGTCGAAATTCATAATGTAGACATTTTTTGCCTAGGATTTGGTGGTTTTATAAGGAATACTGGTTTATGTAAATTGCGTCATTCTGAATTTCGGCATTATGAAATTTCGACATTACAATTTTCGACATTTTGAAAATAACCCGATTTGGACGACGCTTAAACCAATTAATCTAATTTTTTAGAGAAAAACCAGTAACGACGGCATGAAAAATGCGCGTAGAATGTTCTAGAACTTAAAAAATCGGAGACGAAGTACTTCTCAGCTTCTCTGGGAGCTTTCGACAGAAGCCTAACTCGCAAAATCGAAAACGTTAGGGGGATATTTTTGGCAAACAGTAGTATTACGTAATAGTCCCCATCCGGCGACGATTCCCCGAAGATTCTCCTGGTCCATATAGCCGTTTAGGGCATCCGGCATGACTAGTAACGTCGGTGTCGTCTGTTTGGCCCTCATTTGGATCGGGGTCGCTAGCTAAAATGTGGAGCTGGTTCCTTAGCGGGGGGGGGGGAAGGTGGGTGGGCAGGAATGGGGCGAGTATGTTCTTTTTTCCTAGCAAGCATTTTCCTAAAAGTCATCTGTTCTAAACTCCGTTTTCCTAAAAATCACTTTCCCTAAAGATGGTTTTTCCTAAAGTTCATTAGAAAAAGAAGAAGGGGTACTTGCGTGGCCTTCCCTTCTATGTAGAAACTCTCGCATCGCGGCGACGGTAGGCGATAATCACTTAGCGCTAAACCCGAAAACTTGCCTTCAACAAAGCCACATCAGCAACATTGTAATCGTCCTCCAAAACGCGCGTGAGGTTGTAGCGTAGTGTGCGATAGTCTGGGTGAGGGAGGAAATATTCCACGTCGATGATTTGCTCAAAGTTTTTATCGTGTTGTATCAGAATCCCGGCCATAATACCGGCAGCCAAAATGCCGACAGCCCTAACCTAGAAAACGCAAAATCCCGACAGCTAAAACCTGGAAACCCAAAAATCAGGTCTCATCAATTTTGGCCCTTTCCTCTTTCTGATACCCTTTTCGATGAATGGTCATAAATTCTGCTGACGCCGGCGATCACCGCCAACTCGACCGCACCCCTAAAAGGGGGTTCGAATTAACACCATGGATCGTCGCCATAAAAAGAAAGTGAAAGTGTATTTTGATTCATCCTAAATAGCGCTAACATCACACTATCTAACACTCACCGATCCTCCACGCAATGCGCCGCCGTCAACACCCAATAAGGACTTACGATCGTCCCGCCGCAAACTTGTGCGTGCCCCCTAATTTCTTCATTTAACAAAATTATCCATGGCCTCGAACCTCAGAACCACGTCCTTCAGCATAATGGCAACGGCAAAGGTGAAATTTCCAATCTCGGGCTCGCTCCTACCGTTCCCAATCTTCTGATTCCGCTTGAGGGCTTCAAACCGATCGGCGCTGGACATCAAGGCAAGCAGTAAAAATGATAAATAGCTGGTCTTCATGGTCACAGTATCGAAAATAAGAAAGGCGAAAAAATATTTAAGGTCGTCAGAAGAGCTTGGCATCTTTTTAATATGCATTACATGCTGCTTTTGATTGCTTTTTGGGCGTATAAAAATAAACTTTATATGCGAGCCGTCTCGCTCTCTCTCTCTCTCTCTCTCTCTCTCTCTCAAACACACACTATCTCTCTCTTTATCTCTGTCTTTCTCTCTTGCCCTCGCTCTCGCTCTTTCTCTCTTTCTTTCTTTCTCTCTCTGTCTCTCTCGCTCTATCTCTCACACACACTATCTCTCTTTATCTCTGTCTTTCTCTCTCGCCTTCTCTCTCTCTCCGTGTAAGGTATGGATGGAAATTCCAACCATCACATTGATTGTACAACAATTATCATATCACAAACTCAGCAATCGAGAACAGTCACCAAAAATTAATCCGACCATCACCCGATAAAATTCTAGCAGGGGAGATTCTGACCGTGGGGCTGCTGTCCATCACGACAAAGCGGTAGACCAAAAATCTTGCAATATACAAAACTTAAAGTATGAAAGTTTTACGAAAAATTAGGTTCGATTGATTTGGATTGGCTTGCATAGCTAGTAAACCAAAAAAATAATAAAAAACAAATATACATGGTCGGCAGGTAAATCATCATACAAGAAAGGACAACACAGTATAAGTTTTCGGGGCAAAGGGCGACGGTCTTTCATGCCTGGCATCAGGCACTTCGGGCAGACATTTACAATCCAACTTCCTAGTCTGATTTTAAAGTTTAAAGTTTAAGTCTTAAATTTTTAAAAAATTTTAAGTTTAAAGTTTAACGTTTAAAAAAATTAAATTTTAAGTTTAAGTTTAAGATTTTAAGTTTTAGATTGTCTGGATACCCAATCACAAACAAATCTATCGTCCGGAGCGCAGTTAAATTGGAGGGAGGAGGAGGCAATTGTTGTTAACGTGTGGAGCTAAACACTTTGGGCAGCCATCCGTTTTCCCCCTTTCGACGGTTTCTACAAAGTTAAAGGTATCAAAGAAATATAACACAATTTTCAAAAAGTTCAGAAAAAACGCATGCATGTCGGAAACGCACTCCTTGTCTTGTTGTTGTTTGCCCCGATTCCCGTCTGATTTGACAACCATCTTTCCCCTAAAATTAACATGATATCTATAAATTTGGGATTGTGGTTACCTTAACGCTCGCTAGCTGTTCTCTTGCGACGTACAATAGCGCTTGTTGACTACGAGTGCCATCTAGAACAGATTAAATTAGCATAATTTTTAACTTTTAACTTTTGAGCGATTGATGTTGGGGGGGCATCTTTTATTGGAGGTTCTTTCCGGCCTAAGCTTGTCTTCAAGTCTAAGCTAACGAAGCCAAGCCCAGCCTAAGCAGAACCTAAGCCAAGCCTAGGCTTAAGCCCAATCCCAAGCTAAGTCTAGAACAAGCCTAAGTTGGGGTGGGCCAAGCCTAAGCTAGGCCTAGAATAAGCCTAGGCTAAGCTGCTAAGCCAAGCAGCCTGCTAAGCCTATAAGCTTAAGCATGTGCCAAAGCGAAGTCTAGGCCTAAGCTAAGCATAAGCCAAGCGTACGCGAACTTAAAGCTAAGCCTAAGCCTAAGACTGGGCGCCAAAAAAAAGATGACCGCCAACCCTCAACATCAATGGCTCCTACGACTAATATATCCATTCCCTCTCTACTATTACTAATTTAACAAAGTTAACCTTAAAATAGGACCATCAAAATTTATATGAAATTAGATTAAATTTGTATATATTCAACAATTAAATAAATTTTCTTACTGTAGAAAACCCGACTTTTTACCATTTTATTTCCATTAATCAAGACGTTGAAGCACGTCTCGGCTTTTTTATGAAGTCGAGCTTAGTTTAATCAAGCAAGCTTGAGGAGCCAGAGTTCCTCAAATAGGTGTCTTATTAAAACATTGTATTCCTAAGCAAAAAAGAAGGTACGAGAAAAGTAGGGGGAAAAATTACGCGAAAAAATTGTGTTGCGAGTGTTAATGTCTTGAAATGAACTAGCGGCGAATAGCTTTTGCATCCAATGTGAAGAGAGCGAGAGAGAGCGCGGGAGAGAGAGAGAGAGAGAGAGAGCGCGGGAGAGCGATAGACATGCAGGGAGTGAGATGTACGCACGAGTCAGCTGGCCGTACACCCGGGCCCCAATATTAAACCGAGCCGGAAATTGGTCCAAAAATTTTTGGATGTGATATTAGAACGTACATCATCTGAAGCGATCAGAAAATTTATAGAAAAAAGTCAACAGTACAAATTCAGCTCTTCACAAGGCCTTGATATTCTGGCACAGCGTCTTGATCTTGGTAGTGCGCTCGATCCACGAGCAATAGTAACCGACATTCATGTAGATTCCTGGAAATGAGGCTGTCTTTGATCTGTGGGTTTGGAACGGCCGAAGAAGCTGAAAATTTGATAAATTTAAGGTATACAAAAATATACACTTAAAGGGCTCGAGAAAGATGCATTTGGCGAAAAAGCAAAGAAATTTGCAGCGGGCGGGAGTCGAACCATCGATGGTTCACCCCACAGCCCAGCGTGCTAACCAGTAGGCCATGGCGCCAACCGAGCCGGCGCGACGAAAAGCCATCAAATACCCTAAGGTGCTTCCACCGGCCTTTCCCGGGTTTCTCGCTTTGGCCTGCGCGGAAATTGGACCTTGCATGAAAATTACGAATTCCGAATACGAATTACGTCGATAGTAGCGTCGTGTCGGTCCGTCACCCTGACGGACGCCTGGGCATCTTTCTCCAGCCCTTTAAGGTATACCCGGTCTGCCATCGTAGTTACACATCGTCGGCGCTTTGCTGACGACGCCGATTTGGATGCGGTACTTGGCGCCTGTGCGTTTGGATTCAACTTTCATGACGAGGGGACCACCCGAGTCACCCTGAATTCTATTCTGAATTCTAATTCTAGATAAAAAATCATACATGTTTGTGGGGGTCATCCACCATTAAAATACTAAGATTAAAATTCATATAAAATCATAGGGTACAACATTATTAATTGGTTATAGAAATAATGCTAAATTTTTTAGCTATAAACATTACCGGACATGGCCCCGTGTCGAACCTCTCGGCGCAGATCACATGTCGCAAATCCATGCCTGCGCGATTCCCAGACCTGCAACCAGCCGCCGTCCAGACGCCGAGAATTGTGTAGAGGAGGTTGGGTGACGTTATCGGGTCTGAAGCGTGTTAACGGAAATCAAAAATTTCATTTTTAGGCCGAAAGCGACAAAATTATCGATTTGGAAAGAAAATGCCTAACACCTCGATTTTTTTAGAATTTAGTATTTCCTATTATCGGTTTTTTATAGCGAAAAGTTATAATGAAATGAAGTGGTTGCAAAAATTTGAATTGAATTGAATTAAATACGGTAATTTACTATCCACTTCCTCTCCAATTTCACCCCATCCCATCACCACGGCCTTGTGCCCGGACTCCTTCAAAATGCCCTCCGTCTTCACCAGGATCGTCTTTGTGGCCACGTGCTTTTTCAACCTTATGGGAGTTCGCAGCTGAATTCACAGAAATCGCAGTCAAAATCGTGGCCAACCTCCAGCAACGCGATGTCGTGCGGAAACGAGTTCATCGGCCGCTTCGTGGTAGTGTTGGCGGTATGATTCCGATATTTTTCGTGGATATGACGTTGTTTCACCCCGATTAGCTGCTGAATGAGCGAGAAAAATTAACTTTAGGAAGTGAACTTACACGTTGTGGCTGATTTTGGCCCCGAATATTGGCGACGCCGGCGATCACGATAAGACGCTCTTCGCCACTGAATCGCTATGGTTTTTCGGGGGAAAGAGATAAAAAGAGAAAGAAAGAAAGAGAGAGAGAGAGAGAGAGAGAGAGAGAGAGAGAATACGTTTGAAATACTTACCGTGTCGCTACGCAATGTGCGGCTGTCAACACCCAACCCGGACTCACGATGGAACCACCGCAAAGTTGCTCCATCTCCTGGCTAACGCAGGACTGTCGAGTAAGAACGAATACCTACGGATGCTGGCTGTTGTTCAGCATAATGGCGACGGCAAACGAGAAATTGGTCATATTTGGGGCCCCTTTTCCATTGATAATTTTTTGGTTGCGTTCCAGGGCATCGAGCCTTTTCCAAGGGCTAAGAAAGCAAATAAATACGAACAACAAATTTTTGTATTCCATCGATTTGGAAAATGAAAGTGGAGAAAATGTTGGAACAAATGCTGACGTGCTATACTTTGGCATAATAATTCGGTTTGAGCTTTTATTGCCTTTCAGATGATGCTTTTGAAGGTAGCGCGACAATGTATGGATTAACGGCAGAAATCGATACATATTTATATATAGGTTCAACATAGAGACTTCTTGTCCCGGCATGACGCCATCATAAAGAAAAATCATGATTATTAAGACGGTTGCAAGGTCGCTTTTTTAAAGGTACACTAAAATCTCCTTCAAAAAGTCGGGGGTGGTCGGGAATTTTGGTCCCTTTGCCGCGGCTCGGCCCGACCCCTCTTATCCCCTCTTCCCCTACCCTCTCCGTCTCCTCCGTGGCCTAGTGGTCCAAGGCGCTGGCCGCAGGCGAGTAGCTCCGCGAGGCCCCGTAACCCCTGTTTGCTACCGGCGGTACCGGCCGAATTAGGGCACCATCGAAAGACACCATCCGTAAAACCCCTGAAAATTTGCTATCCCGCGGAAGGTTACCGGCCGGTAACCAAACCAACGAGATTTTAGTGTACCTTTAACAGCTTTCGAAGTGTGCAACTATCCTTCTCATCCTATCGACAACATTTTATTCGAAATCTCGTCAACCAAGTTGCTCCAATTTACGGCACAGCGCGACGATA